GGGTGCTCCCATGCGGTTACGGGCTGGCTTCCATCCTTGATGTAGTAGGTAAGGCTCTCTTGAACTGTTGTCGGCACTTGCTGCGGCTGGGTCGCCGGCGGCATCCAAGACATCCCTGCTGGCTGCATTGACTCGCCTTGGGGAATGTCGCTAATGCTCAGTGTATTGATTTGCGGCTCTTGAAGAGCAGCATCGGAAGCGCCTTTACTGTTCGCGCCTCTTGAGTGAAAGAAGTACTTTTGAAAATGTTGTCGACTTGTACAGGGGGGGCACGAGTAAGTATCGATAGACGAGGATATGGTGAAGGAGAGGCAACATACAATCCATTGTGACTAGGCTCCATAGCTAATTATAGATAAAAGTTCGATGGACTCTCGGCACTCGAAGGGAATTTTTTTTCTCTTAATAATCTTAAACGGTCGAGACTGATGGGTGGCTAGGTCCTATTCGTTGATCAGCGGGCGCCGTTGCAGACGGTCATGCAACACCGTTTAGGCAAAGCAAACCGGGGTTAAGGAGACTGTGTTGTCAATGGCACAACCAGGGTTCCCTTTCTTATAGAGTCTTTCCCACTTACACTAATCCGTGATGGCGTCAAAGTATAGTTGATATTGTCGGGTAGTATTCCAGCGGCCAGAAGAGAAGAATGAGTGTGTCCAGGGCGGCCGGATGGAAGAAAAAAGGATCGTCTAGTATGAGAGAGGGGGGTATACTCGTGGCCCACGTCCAAGGAGGGAGGAGGGGGGTTGTTGAAGAGAGAGCAGAGAAAGGGGGGGGAGCAAGGAGGGACGGCAGCGAGAAGCTGGCCAAGTGCTAGTGAGGGTAGTATATGAGAAGTTGGCATGTAAGATTATGCAGATGAGATGAGGGAATCGTAAAAAGATCGTGAGCGGCCCGCAGGAAAGTGATAAATGAACGGGAGGAGAACCGGCTCTCAATTCAGCACAGGAGGAGGGGGGAGATTAAGAGTGACGGGGCGTAGATGCGATTACAGCAGATCGAATTGGATGATTGATTCCGGAGAGAGCGAAGCCCTCGGGCAGGGGACGATGTATAAGTCGTCGACAGGCCGCAACCCTGAGCAGCCGGACTGGCATCCACCCCCAGCGAAAACAAAAATACCACCATGCTCTTGTGGCCCTACTCCGTGCTCCGTATGTAGTTTGAGCCAAACTGACGGGGCCAGGCTTTAGAACGCTGAATGCCGGCCCCGTTGCAGCCCCCCGGTGCGCCTCTCGCGATCCCAGAAGCCCAGTATGGGGTGCAGAGAGCCGGGCTTACAGGGCCTGTGCCTGAGGCCTGTCTGTACATGAACGGCCGTCGGCTCTCTGCATTGGCGTACCCGCAAGGCACAGACAGGAAAGTGGGCAGCAGAGGGTTGGAAGACAGGGGTAGCCAGGCTGGGGGTTTCAAGGAGCTGCTGGACCAATCAGCAAATCGGCCTCGAGGATCGGCCGCGACACGCCTCTGGCCTCAAGTTAAGCCAAAAGAGTGGCACTGAAACGATTCGAGAGAGCGAGTGAAACCAATCAAGGTAATAAACGGCCCCTTGTCGTTAGATCCGGTCGACAATTCGCTGCTAAACACGTCAGACGACAAGAGAGGCGCGTCTACAAGTACACCGAGAGAAGGCTGAAAGTTGAGCATTGGGCCGCCGTGTAAGCTGCCATTTTGCTATGCCCCAACGACTAGTCCTAGTCCTAGTTCTAGGCCGAGAAGAGATGGCACTGCAATGGCCAGCTTCATTCATAATCCGGGGCCCGAGAAAAGACAGTTGGCCTTGTCTGGCCTGGCCTGACCTGTCAGGTAGGTAGTCCGCGAGGCGAGACGAGTCCCCCCTCTGCAATCACCGCCAGCTCTCGCCATATCCATGCTCAGATCAGAAACGCCTTTCCACCAGCTCGACCAGGGCAGGTGTGAAAATGACGCCACTTTAACTAAGCAGACATCTAAGCGATGCAATTTATCTTCGTTTTTTTTTTTTTTTTTTCTTTTTTCTTGGCTCGATATTGGGGAGCCCAACCCTGGTCCGGGCACGGTCCACAAAGCCGGTAAAATATCGACGCAATAACGGCTAGTCAGGGCAGCCGAGTTGAGACCGAAAGGGCTATTCATCTCCCAGGCATAACCTGATCTTGTCTGGGAAAAACAGCCGTAAACGTTCGGGGCTAGAGGAGTGTCACGGCTTGGGTGGGTTCGTCGCCTAAAAAAAGAAACGGTCGGAAAATAAGAGCACCTGCAAAGCTGAACCAAGGAATGGAATGGATGCTGGAGGTATTCCTCCCCCTCCGCGAAACGTCAAGTATGCAAGTACGTATACAGTAGGTTCATGTAGCATGCGTCACATAACGTGACATCCAGGCAGCATCAGCTGGAGCCCTGTTCCAAGAGCCCCATCCATATCCATGGTAAGGTAGGAGAGGGACACCTCCAGCTACTATATCCATGACTGCAACCTGATGTATACGGTAATATACGGATATACGGAGTGCAGTAGTCTTGGCTTGTTTCTTACCCAGTACTTACCTAGTACTCTACCTCTTCTCTATTGTCTTGGTACCTACTTTTTTTGGAATCGAGCTTTGATTCCGCATTGCTTCATTTCTCCAGATCGGATCTGTGATGGCTCGCTCGCATCATCATCTGGGAATCTAGCCGCAGCAAGGCATAACAGTAAACATCAAATACGGCCAAGTCGCCAGTTCCGGGTTTGGCTTGACGCCACGGCTACACTTGCAGCCCGGGGTTCTAAAGATAGTTGCTTCTTGGACACACACTTGGGACTGCCAAACCGGCTAAAACGAAGCTAGAAGTCCGGGAGAAGCTTCAAGCCACACGGAGACCCGCACCAAAGAAGAAATAGAGACGACGAGATGCGAGATGCTATAACACGGTAATCTCCAGCAAGACAGCCACGATCCACACAGGCTGTCGGGAAGGCCGCCCTTGGATACGGACGGAGAGGGGCAGCAGCGAATCCTACATATCCTAGTGCGGGGGAGGGCAGATAACCAGGGCAGATAACCAGGAAGCACACAGAAACCGGACTCCCGAAGAGCAAGAAAACGGGAAACCTGCTCGTCTGGTATATCAGATCATGGTCGACATCGTCAGCTCACGAGCGCCCCAAACAGCAAGTTGAGCTGAGCCAAACCATTTGCAGAAACAGTCACGAGCCCAGTGCTTCACAATCATCCAAGGAACCCCCCCCGCTGACTGGATCCCACCCCCAAGTATAGTAATAAGTATGGATGACGTTTCTTGATGGTGTCCCTCCCTCCTCCCTCTCTCTGTGTGTCGTTGCGGCCCAACTAGGCGGCTATTCTCCGACCCAGCCCGTGAGACATAATCCGGCACAGCTGTATGCGAGATGCCCAGCTGCGAGATCACGCCTGCAGGGAAACGGTGTCGCCGCTGCAAGAGGAGATGACCGAGTCGGCCTTGAAGCCGATCACGAGCCCGCCGCCCTGGACAAGCGTGTGTCAAGAGCCATATGCGGAAGCAGGTAAAACGCTTGGCTGCAAACCAACGGAGGTCCAGACCCCCGCAATAGATTAAGGAGGAGACAAACGGTCGGTAACCATCACAAGAACCGGAGACGCTATTCGGCAGTGGCCATTGACATGCAGCCCAGGTCGATCCACGGGTGTGGCACCGGAGCTCTGTCGAGCGCCCACAGGCCCGCATTAGCCTCTCGAGATTGTAATTGCGGAATCCGCTCTTGGTCTTTTTGTTCGTCCGTATTCTCCCCTCGAGTCCTCGTCTCGTCTCTCTGCTCTCGTGATCCGAACTCCCGAAAGTAAAACCGAGTTATAGTTGTCTGGACGACCCCCCCTCCAAGTCAGCGAGTGAGCACAAAAAAGACGGTCCGTCTTCGCCTCGAGTCGGACCCGAGATGGGGGTCTACCTGGGAAAACGGGGAAAGAAAGACAGAAAACATGGTGGAGTTGTGTTTGAAGCTGCCCTGATGCGACGCTGCCCGCGCTGTGATTTGCCCAGTCGTTCATGGCAGCGCCAGGGGCGTGTCTCAGTTTAATTACTCGACACGCCTGATTGGTCTTTTTAATCCGCAGCCCTACACTAGGGGGTACAAGGCCTACGCAGCCGACACAAGAGGAGAAGCCAGTACCGGCAGGGATCAAGCCCCGACTAACTCTGTATACGCGTTTCAGATCCGTTTTACACGCCAGCGCCCTAAGCCTGAAGCATCAATTATCATGCCACTTGATGGCACAAGATGGAAAGGGTCATCCAAACCGCAGAAACGAGTTTGAAGACTTGAGCCGCTGCTACGTCCGCTCTGGCTGCCTCTGGATGCCTCTGGACGAAGCTCCGTGATGGCCTGCCTGCTCCCAAAAATACGAGCCTGAGAGCGGGCGAGTCAGCTCACCGTGAAACGTCCCGTGGCATCTCCGAACACCACTGTTTTGGACAAAATGAAGGCGTATTCCGCGCCAGATTCAGATCCCAGCTAGAGCTATATATAACTTCTGGCCACCAAATGCTAAGTGCCTAGTGTCGATCTCGTAACAACCCTGTCACGGATCTGTACGGGTATATTGCGTCAGAATCTTGATCCAAGATCTTCTCTCCTCTGTGGCCAATTTGGCCTTGAGGAGCTGTCTTGCATGACGCGCGACATGATGGCCTCTTTCTTTCTTTTTTTCTTTTTCGCCACCGCCATTGTTGGCAAGGCTCCTAATGCACAAGATGCGCGTGGGCTAGACATGGGGAAATCTCTAGCTCCATAGATAAAGGCTGCTCGCTTAAAAGGAATGGCAAAAAAGAAACACGTCGCATTTTGTAGTATCTGGTAAATTTCGCTAATACGTCTGGCCTAATTTCATTACCTACCCGGCAATCGCTGTCAATATTCATCTTTGCGCACTGCAATCCATCGCTTAAAGTTCGCTGCATCTCTCCGGCCACGTTACTCACACGTCCATGATGTTATCGTTTGGGTGATGCGGTGGATGTTTCCGTCGTTCGAATAAGAAGCACTACTCCTTGTTGATTCTCTTCCAGACTTCGTGTTCTGCTGCCGCAAGGCTGTCTCCCGCTGCGGCCGCCCACTTCTTTGCTGTGTTCCAGATACTATCCTCTTCATCGTAGTTTTCATAAGAACCTCCACCAAACGAGGCATTGTGAGCCTCCCGCTGGTCGCGTGTGAAATCCGCGGCATGGATATTCTGCTGGTAGCCTGGAGGATGCGAAAAGTCTGGCTCGGTGCTTTCACTGCTTTGTAAGAATGTTGGCTGCGGCACATTTGGCGAATACGCCGTGGAGACGGAGGTTGATGTGCCTCTCTGATGGGTTTGATAGGTCGTTGCCGGTGATGGATAAAGCATTTGAGGCGGCATAGGCATGGTCTGCGATCTAGGCCGTTGCTGGATGGGCTCTCCCGCCTTGGGCGGAGGTGGCAGGTGGCTGTTCCCCGGAGGCGAGGGCACAGCACCGGGTTGAGGGGGCGGAGGACTTGTGTCGGCCTGAGTCGATGTTGGTTTATATCTGTTGGATGACTCCGGGACCCCAGTTTGAACAGGTAGTGATGGCCTGGCGCCTGGTTGTGCAGGAGGATAGGCCGTTGGGCTCCCTGATGACGTTGTCGACGGTGATGGCTTCACATGAGGTTCGTTTCCCTCGGCAGCTTCTGTCTTTGGAGTGATTCCCGATGCCTTGGAGGCGGCATTGATGGGGCTGGCAGTGTACACCTGTACTGGCATGTTGAACCAAGAGAGCAAGAAATCCACCAACCTAATGAGAGACGCTGTAAGTGCTTTTCCTGGTGTGGTGTTGTGTAACTGTAAGTGTAACTATCGTAAGATGCTAGAGTAACGAGTGATGTGTTAGGTAGGTACTTGTATTTTTTTCTTGTCGTGGCAATAAGATGCTCAGTTCTGATTCAAAAGGGTTAAGGGTTAATGATATGTGTTGTGTTGGGAGAGGACAGTTGCCTTGAGCGGCTGAGGATCAAGGGAGGCCGACTACGTCATTCGAGTGACATTCATCAGGTGACTTTTGTCCCATGCGCCACCGTTCGAGCTCCTGTGGGGAAGCCGCGATGGCTGGCCATGTCCCATTTCCCTTTTCAGCTCGAGATGCAGAAGAAGCTGTAAATCATGGGAGAATGCCAAAGCCAGCAAGATTGTGAGGTGGCAAGATGGCAAAGATCCAACTATGCATCGCCAGATGTGGCGGCGGCAGTGGCTCGTTCTGGAATGGAAGCTGTGCAAGGTTGGCTCAGCCCCGTGTTTCTCTCTCGGTTCTACTCTGTACAGCCTCTATTTCCCTGCTAGCTAGGTATGTATAGTATAGGATAGGTATAGGTAGTATTCTTAAGTCTCAACTCTTCCTGGGCAGTGCAAAAGGACAAGCCGAAGCAGACACCTTTGTCTGCGCCACTCTTGCCAGGCGCGCAGTTTCATCAATTCCCTTGCCCATCTTGTCTCGAGGCCCAACGTCCTCAAACAGGAATCCATCCGGCATCATTGCTTCGCCGCCATCTCCAGCTACCTTGAGCCCAAATGCTCGTCGCATCAAGCCTTCAGGGCCCCAGCGAGACCAGAAGGTGGGCGGAGCGTACCAAGGATCCTTTAGATAATGATAATGCTGGATGCGTCCCGTCACTGGATCCGGTTTGCCGATGAATTTGGCCGGATAGATGCGAGGCAGACAGAGATAGCGTATAAAGAGCTTTCGGGCGAGAAGTAGAGGATATGTGAGGGCAGATTCTGGTACTCCAGGCTCGGGAAAACTGCACGCGTGTCAATACCGTTGCTTCATTACAATGCGGAAAAGGGGAGAGAGATTAAGAGAAAGCAATGTCAGCTCACCTGAAAGCATGCCGCATTCGCTCGCCCATGAGGACCATGAGGATCTTGTATCCAGGCTCTCGCGAAAATGCAGGATACGCCGACAAGAGCAAATCAACCAAGACCTGGCCGAGCTTGGCAATGTCTGGCGAGGGGCCGAGATGCTTGTTCTCATACTCGATAGCCCACTGTTCCACGTCTTCCAAGAACTCAATGCCATCTTTCCACTGGTTCTTGCCCAGCTCGGCTTCATAATCAATCTCCATCATCTCGCCAATGTATTTCCAGAACATGGCAACGGCTGCCACCTCCATATCTGCCATCTCTCTCCATTCGTAGAGACGCATAAAGCGGATCGGCTGATACATGGATTCGAAGAGGACATACAACATGTCTTCGTTGCGAATCTTGCCGGATTGTCTGTATGGATTGTGCAAAAAGTTTGTGCGGGCGACGCTCTTGGCCAAGTATTCGGATCCGGGGGGGAACTCCGCATAGCTAGAGAGATGTGATTAGTGTCAGAGGCAGTCCTTTTTCTGGTTATATATGTGTATATGAGAGAGAGAGAGAAAAATCTTGCCTAGCAAACAAGACTTGAGTATCGTCATATCTATCGCCAAGAGTCAGCATAATCCATCTCATATTAATGCATAGCGTTTACCGTTTCGAAGCCTCACTGGGCTTGGCAAGATCGCTGACTTTGTACAGAAGATTGCCGATATTGTCTATAGCGTAGGTCTAGTAGATTGCATGTCAGCCAAGTATACATAAACAATTAGCAATGGATGCCTTGAAAACCGAGAGACACGAGAGCCCACCTTGAAAATAGCATATCTAAGCGAAAAGTCATAAAGAAGCGGAAACTCGTAAAGGCTGATGTAGCTGACAATCTTCTGCGCATCCTCGTTGGACATGCGAGAAAGTGACTCTCGATCGGGGAAATTGAGGCGCTTGCGCATCGTTTTGAGTCTCTGGAAACGAAGGGAGGAGCAGAGGATGGCGTAGCAGGTGAAGCCAGCGATGGAGTAGAGCAGCCATGGGCTCAATCCCAGCCGACTAGCGAGGCCATCGCCACTGCTGGCGACGAGAGACGCCATGATGCGGGCCGTGGTGAGTAGCTGGAGATCCCGTAGCGAAAGCTCATATACGTAGGTAAGGTAAGGCGAATAAAGGGACAAACGACGAGGTTTAGAAATTGAGGCTGCTAGGTGGGATTTGATATATATAGCATCTCACCCCAAGAGGAGAAAAACCACACGTCACTTCAAGGGACGCTTTTCTGGGCGTCAGCCGCCACTCTGGGTCGTCGCCCGCTTTGAAAATAATGGACGGAATCGGGATCATGGGAATGACAATGGGAATCAAACATTGGCCAGATGTGCTGCTGTTGGCAGTCAAGATCCACTCATAGCTCCGGTTACATTTGCACAAGAAGTTGACGACAAGGGCCTCTGCGTGTGACAGACAGACAATACCTAGACTGGCCGGATTTAGATTGATTTGGACGTGGACTTGTTATAGTTTGATGGCTTAGGATAATACTCTGTACCTCACTCTGCTTAGCACCAGCCTACTGCTTAGTATCTACCTCTAAGCTGGCTCACACATGGACTAAATGAATCCTTTCTATTAATCATTCAACAGATCAACTCGAGAGGCATCATGCTTAACCACCTCGTCATCACCTACAGTAAATGCCACTCCTTCACAGGGGCACCACTTTCTGCCGTGCAGAGTCGCATCCCAAGACAGGACCTAGCCTTGCTAGCATCGCCAATTTGCGGGGTTCGGCACAAGCAGCCACTCACATGTTCAGATAAACAGGCAATCCCTCCGGCATTTGGACCTAGCGAAGCAGCTTAAAATATGCAGGCGGACGGGGTCGATGCAAGGGAGCGCATTTTTGCTGGCACAAGCTGATTTGAGCATCAAGCGAGATGGATTTGTTCACCCGGCTGCCAGAGACAGAGTACAAACATATGCCTACAAAAGGTGTAATAGTAATAGGCAGCTCAACACTAAGGTAATACGATAGAGACTAGTTTAATGCGGAGAGCAATCTCATATCAATAGTTCTGCTCTAATCAAGCTCATGTAAGCTCTGGCTTGGCGAGGAAATAAGTCATTTATTTTGTCATGCTGCTGTGGGTTGTTGGACGCACATATTGTTAGTGCATAAACCCAAGACAGGACTCTGAATCCTGCGGCCCGTCGTCATTGGCTCAACTCCCTCATAGCCTCACCGGACTTTTGCGACGGGAACAAGATTCATCCAAATGTCACAAGCCCCTCATTGGCATTACATGTATGTCGCCAGATTCGTATAACAGCTACAGGTTCCGAGGTTCGAGTTCAAGGTTTACCATTCTTCATCCATGGATACCTAATTATGCCACAACTTACTTTAGGCTCAATGCTATCCAGTACTGATCGGCAGGCTTTTTCAAGGTGCACAGCCGAGTATTTATGAACCATTGTGTTGTGCTAGCTTGCACTACATGTCGTATTGATTGGAACCTGATGATTCCAATGCTGTCCCTTGCGTGGTCCAACCAACACCTCCTCACTAACATGATGCCAACAAGCTACAACCGCATATCCGGACCAATTAAGTTCCCGTGCTGACAGAGAGAATACAAGCGATTCAAGTGGTTCATGAGATTCTCCGCCTTGGCTCTAATTCTAGCTAACACACATCACTAGCATTCCCCCACCTGGCTGTCCGTAATGGATTCTTAGCTCCATAAGGCATTGAGAGGTATCCAGAGCGTCACCTCTCTTCACGTTGAAATATAGACTACCCTCTTCATCATTGTGGAGCACTTGCACTTGTAGGCAAGGTGATCAACTGGGAAAGGATTGCCCCCCTCCCACATCCAAATGATGTACCATCGTCTCACAGCGCAGAGAAAGATAACACAGACTCCTATTTAACGTACAACATCACCTATGCCGCGTTTCAAGCTCTATTAAATAGTTTCTGTTCCTTTTGTGCTCTACTATAGAGAGACTTGCTAACAGTCGCGGTACAACCCAATCACAAAACAACCGATTCCTCCTATATCCTTTGCAATACCGAAAAGAAAAAAACTCCAATGCTCCCTCTTAATCCTTGTGCCCCTCCCCTTTGGTGTCCAGGCATGTCCCGCGCAGAGGTATATATAACATATAGAACTTCGTCTACCAAGCCCAGAGCACCTTGTGGTGGAGCGTACGGGCGCCCAGCCTTTCAAACTCAAACGGCGTGATCCACGAATCGTTGGTTGACAGTTTGGCGAAGACACTCGCTCCCTTCCAAGTCACAACCTGCTCGTCCATATCCCTCGCGCTCCTACTGACAAGGATCCTATCGCTGAGGTCGGGCTTCAGCGCCTTCAATCTCTCTTCTAGAACCACGGTGAACTGTGGGACCTTGGCGCCGCCACCGATGACCATAATACTGCCCAGCAAGTCGCGAACTTTCTTCTCGTCGCCCTTAGCGGCGTTATGAATACTTGTAAGGATGGCAATGTCCAGCGGCGCCAAAGGTAGCACCTCGTCTCTTTCAGTTGCCAGGTCCTTGGCACCGCGCGCGGCTGCGTCGACAAACATTCCTGGAGGCGGCTGGGTAGATTGTGACTGTCCTGGAACTGGCGTGCCAGCTGCCCGGATGCTTCCCGGAGCAGGGCTATCACCATTAACACCATCTTTGTTGGCTCCAAAGATATAGGGAGCTGGAACTGGGGTATTGCCACCCTCAGGCGCTGGTGACCCAGCATGTGATGCCATGGGGGTCCCAGTCGCTGTCTCGCTTTTGGCAAGGAAATTGAACGGCTGCGACTTCTCTTTGCTTGGCGTTGACACTTCGGGTTGTGACTGGGAGAATCCATTTGCGTTGGACATGAGTGATGGCTTTACCAGCGCCAGGATTGCAAGCTGCGCAGCAGAGGATGGGTCGTCGGGAATATCCACATCATAGGCGTTGTAGGAACGCTCGACTAGCTTTCTTCGGCCCCTGAGCTTCGTGCTGTTGTCAAAGATTGATGGCTCAAAAACTCCCATTGCCGCGAGAATCACTTCGTCGTACGTCTTGAACGCATATTTCCGCGTAGGCTGATTGGGTGCTCGGACGTGGAAGTTGAAAAGTTGCACCGATATGTTTGCCTGAGACATGGTACAATGTTTCCATTTGAGTTCTTCGGCCAGCAGGAAGTCGTATCTTCTCCGTAGGTTGATTTCCTGATACGGGAAGTTGTCGTAGAGCATCATCTTGATGAATGTTTCTGTAATGTCATATCCTCCGTACTTTAGGTTGATTCTCGAGTCCTCTATACACAGCCCGTCCTCGACACATGTCACCGCAGTCTTTTGGGCACCGACATCGACGACGCAGGCCTGGGTGTATCCAGCTCCAAAAGTGGCAGCCATGCTTTCCTGGATAAAGCATACCCTGCTAAACTCAAACCAGGTCATGCAGGACCGCAAGACCTGCTCCACATACTTCTTGTCGTAGAGATCGGGAATGACGAAAACACAGCTGTACTGTTGCCACTCGCTGTTTGTCTTCAAACCAAGCTCTTGACGCAGTGCCTTGTCCAATAGGGTTTCGAAATCATCAAAGAGGTGCTCCTGGCTTGTATATCCATCCTCGTTCCAGTATCCGTGCTGCATAGGCCACCACAGCTTAAACTTTGGGTTTGAATCGTCGGGGACTCGCAGCGCTTCGTTGCCGATGAAACAAGATGCCAGTGACTCTGGGTCCTCCAACTTCTCTATATCTGTCCATTCAACTTCCAGCACGTCATTGTGCCTCTGGATGATCTCGGCTTCGGTGCGGCGATTAAAGGTCTGGACCAGCTCCTTGGAATTGGGAAGGACCTTTCGCTTGTTGGCACGCATTTCAATCTTTAGATCGTTACACATCTTCTGGTATTTCTTGGACCACTCTTCTCCGTATTGCTGATCTGTGGTCTTTGCCTCGAACTGACGTCGGGGCAAGGCTTCGTACATCTCCGACTCGGTCTGGGGGAATTTGGTTGCCAAGGTAGTCGGGATAGTCTTGGGAAGTGCGTCACTGGCGAATCCAATGCGTAAGTTTTGGCTTCCAGGATGAATGACAATGACCCTCGACGGGTCCATTCCACCCGAGGGCGTTGCCGCTCCATCATCGTCGCCGAGATCTGGCAGTGGTAGGGGTAGCTCGCCATTAGCAGGCTTCGAAAGAGCACGGTCGCGATCTCGAGCACTTTGTACCAGCCTATCGCGAGTCGCATCGCTTTGGAGTCGGAGCGCAAGGACCTGGTCATCCCTTTTCATGTAATCTCTGTTCCAAGAGTTAGTCGAAGCGTACCAGCCACTCGAATTGCTGCCCCATCTTACGTGTAATAATTCTTCTGGTTGATGGGCGTAACATCAGGCCACGACGTCAGTTTCATGCCATTGTCGGTTCTCTCCAGCCCTGTGCAGTTTTTTTCAGCGTCAGCATCGATCGGCTATTCTGTCGACCAAGAACCAGAGATGCCAGTGATGCGAAACTGGACATGTTCACGTACCCTCTCGGAGGAGCACCCTCTCGGAGACTTTGCCGACCATCTTGACGGTGTGGCTCCGTTGGTGTCAAAAACAAAGGGCGGCTGGCGTTGTGCAGTGTTGTTGACGAGGAGAAGTGTTATAGTGCACTCGTCATCTTGTCCAGTTCCCGAACGCGCAGACACGCCAATTGCGATTGACCTTCCCGCGATCTCGAGGAGCGATAAGATAGCTTGTTCCTGGAATTGGCGGATTTTAGATGATCCGGAGCGATCCCTGCGTCTGCCTTTCTGGCCGCCACAGTCTTGTATATTGTTTGATTGTCTCCTTGTGCTGTATAAGGCGTCATGTTTGCGGCGAAATATTTGTTTATGTGATGAAAAGTGAAATTATAAGCTCACTCTATCGACTGTTTATTTTTATTTTTAAAAGTCATGAATTCACGTGCCCCCTTCTGTATCTTTGAGCTTCCTTGCTACTCTAAGTGTCACAGCATCAAGTCTGATATGGGTTATCACCGGATATCATCGACCACCCCAACAAAATTTTACATATTGTGACAATATAGATGTAAAATTTGTATGTGAATCAAAGTACCAAGCTGGCGAGATACTGCCCCGGTGAAAATAGCAACCTCAAGAGGCCTGTTTAGTCACGTAGAGTTATGTTTGACAACATGGGACATTCACTAACAGCCTCCTACCCTAGAACCATACAAACGGAATTCTCCCTTGATTGAACCTGAGACATGGATCTCGTAAGCTGGACCCAATATCGAAAATTAGTCCTCGTATACTTAGTACCAGCTGGTAAGACGAACTGTCGCGACAATATCAGCTTCCATTACTAAGGACCTCACCATAGACAGGTTGCCTCGGTACATATTACGGCATATGAGACTCAAAGCCACTGTTGCCGCAACATGGATGTGACGCACTTAGATCGACTACATTTAATCGATTAATACTGATTCATACAGACATACAGCTTTGATAGATATTACAATCTTGTTTATCCAATTTCTTCTTCTTCTTCATACTTCATGTGCCAGGCGCGTCTCCATGTGATCCAACAATCAAGGGATATCAAATACCTACCAAATGCCTCTGCCCGTCAAACGCGCTCTCTGATTGGCCGAACGAGAAAAAGGCCGAGTTCCCGATACTAAGAAGCTCATGTCCGTCATCGTCAGACTCCAAAAAAACGTACCGCAAAACAACACACCACAAAAACAGTAGAGAGAAAAAAAAAAAAAGCAGGCCTTTTTTCTTCTTCTTTTGCATTTACCGTCCTTATCTCTAGCTTCTTACGTTCCATCTTGCTTCTCCGTCTTGCGCATTCCGCATCGCCATGTGACTTCTCGAGCTGCTTCCCTTTACAGAGGCGTTTATTCCACATCGCATTCGATTGCATTTCGCCGGTTCGCGATACTAAACACCCAGAGACGAGACAAGAACCCACGTACCTTTTTTTTTTTACTTACCCATACGACACCATAGAAAGCCCGGTGCGTGCGCGCAGAGGCAAATCCAAAGACTAGAATAATGCCGTCCTCCATCCAGCGCTTCTTGCCCTTTGCGGCCTCGACGACTCCAACCCAAGCTGTGACATACCTGCTGGGCATCTCGCTCTTCTCCATCTCGTTCCTCGTCTTCCTCAACAGCTCCGTTTCCTTTGTCATTACCGACCTGATTGGGCAGAAGAACGGCGTGGGCGATGTCGTCGGCACGCTGGGCTTCGCAGACGAGATTGTCGCCCTCGTGGCCTGTCCTGCTTGGGGCCTCGTTTCGGACCGCCTGGGCGTGCGATGGGTCGCCGTCATTGGATATACCATTGTAGGGCTGTCGCTGGTGGTGTTTGTGCAGGCCAGGAATGTCTATCCGCAGCTGCTACTGGCGAGGATCCTCTTTGCGCTTGGAGCATCGGCTACGTATGTGCTGCATCTTTCAATTCCATGGATCGCTTGGAGGAATGCCTATGTATCTTTCGGAGCTTGATGGCTAACGTTCGACACTGAATCACAGGGCCACAATGGTAACTGCCATCCTTCCTTCACTAACAGATGAAGACGAGGAGCTGCGTAACAACGCCCTCGAGAGGGCCAAGGCTGCCGCCCAGAATCACCACACCGTCGCGCGCCTGAGCGCGGCCTTTTCCGTCGAGTCCGAAGCTACCATCACGCCCGAGGTGTATTCGCGATCGTTGTCCAGTGAGAGACCCGTCTCAGCCAGCGTAGATCCCCAGGCACGGTCGGGAAAGTCGTCTGTGCTGGCGGGCTATGTCGGCCTTTTCACCGGCTGCGGCGCGTTGCTGGCGCTGTCGTGCTTCTTGCCCTTGCCCGCTAGGTTCGGTGAGATTGACGGTGTCACACCCGGAGAAGCGGTGTCTTATAGCTTCTATGTTGTCGGCGCTGTCGCGCTGCTCGTTGCCGTCTTCGTCTTCTTTGGCCTGCGCAATATCCAAGGAGAGCAAGGTAAAGGATGGAGGCTGCTTCTCGGGCTAAAGGGACGGGACAGCGACCCCATCGAATACGGTTACTCTGGAAGGACACAAAACAAGGTACGAATCGCAAGAATGAATCAGTTGTCCTTCCAATCGAACTCCATTATTGACATTGACTACAGGTGATCCCATTTCTTCACCTTATGAAAGACTCGGTGCTTCTCGGGTTTACCGACTCACGAATTGCACTGGGCTACCTTGGTGGTTTCGTTGCCAGAGCATCGACAGTTGCCATCTCACTCTTCGTCCCGCTTTACATCAACACCTTCTTCATCGGCAACGGTTTCTGCCAGGGCTCACCAAATGACCCTTCACCAGAGCTGAAAAAGGAGTGCCGCCAGGCATACGTCCTGTCTTCCATCCTCACTGGCGTGGCACAGCTCATGGGCTTGATCTGCGCCCCCGTGTTCGGCTATCTATCTCGCCAGCCCGGCAGGGTCAACTACCCTGTCGTCGTGGCCACTATCTTTGGCATCGTGGGCTACACCATCTTCCCCCGGCTATCGAGCCCTGAAATCGGTGACATTGACGGCAGGGGCGGCACGCCCGCCATCTTCCTCATCGTGTCCCTCATCGGCATCAGTCAGATCGGCTCCATCGTGTGTAGCCTGGGATCCCTCGGCAAGGGCATCCTCGCCGTCGAGATCCCCCGCAACGCCCGCCGCCAGCACTCCATCGCCCCCGACGAGGACGAGTCCACCGAGTCGGAGCCCCTGATCCGCATCGCCACCGAAGAGGAGTTTGTGTCGCGGCTGCGGCTCAAGGGATCCATTGCGGGTGTGTACTCGCTGTGCGGCGGCGCGGCAATCCTCGTCCTTACGAAGCTGGGCGGCCTTTTGTTCGACAAGGTGTCGAATGGCACGCCGTTTTACATGATGGCGGGCTTTAATGCGGTGTTGCTTACCGCAACACTGCTGGTTGACGCGTCGCAGACGTTTTCGAGGCGTTGAATTGCGAATTGCCTGATAGAACAGCGCAGATGCGAGTATAGCATAAAATCAAGGCGTTAATTGAGCGGTGGACTGGAGAAGATGGGGGCGCAGGATATGGTGGCAAATCGAAAAGAAGCGAGAGTTGCGTTTTTAAAAAAGAAAGATGGAGCGTTTGATTCTTGATGGATACCATTTTGGCTTTGGGTGTTTGAGAGCCGTTTACACAACATTTCCTTTGTCTCATTGATTTTGCTTCTGCATCACGTATATACCAAGATTGTTTTACAATTGACTCGCCTCGATGCAGGGAGATTTCGTTTATTGTGTTTGTTAAAAGACTCAGAGTGTATCAGAATACGAAAAGACACTATTATTTGCTACCCAAGATACGGTTCCATTCCAAAGAACACACTTATAATAACCATTAGTCTGGATCTTTACCAGAATCGCTTTCCAAAAACGCTCAAATCCCACTAGAAAGAAACGGAATGGAACATAAAAGGCCAAAGAACAATGAAGACACTGGAAGCCCAAGGTTTGCCCATACATTTCTAGATTGCAATGAAACGCTCCGGGTTTGGTTCCACCTCCTCCTCTTCGCTGCCAGCGAAGTTGTGTCCAGGGAACCATCGAGGCGTATTCATTAGATGGCCGCCGTTCAAGTCAATCCAAATAAGCATTCTTCGCAAGAGTCCTCCCAGGCCCAGGTTGTATAGGCCGCCTCTCATGGTTACCATCCTCTTGGTAGCATCCATGTGAAGTCTGAAGTACCTCTCATCGCCGTGCATGGATTCGAAGCTCGCCATCTTGGCCACTGCACCGATGATGGAGTCACTGCAAGCAGATGGTGAAGCGATAGCCTGGTTGATGGACTTGATCGCATCGAACCTGAGCTGCTCCATTTCAAATCCTGCCTCAGCGGCGATGCCACCCTTGACTGTGATATAGTTACCCGCAGAGAGCAGTAGAACGACTTGGAAAGTGGATATTTCTGTTGTCGCGAGACGGAACCAGCGGCTACGAAGAAGACCCTTTTCACCAGGCTCATCAAGCTCAGGGATGTCAACGGCCATGTGGACGATGTCTATGTCAATGTGTTAGCGTCGCCTTTCCATTTTTATGCTCGAATTGATCCAAGCTCCTTGTCTTTGGACGGGAACAAAGGGGGATGAGCTTACAGTGATCGACCAAATGGGGTATATACGGCTTCCATGGCGCAGGGTACGATCTGAAGGGATCAACCCGTCCACCTCCAAGCTGGTAGTCAATCGTCATCGTTTGTGCGGTTCTTGCGGCGTTTGCCCGCATCAAGGACTGGACCAGCGCATTATTGGAGGTTCCTTGAGATTCTGGATCATTAGGTGCTGGGAGTTCCCAAGTGACAGTATGCTGAAGTCGCTTGCGCTTCTTTCGCTTAGCCCTGTCCTCGCGCTGCTGATCTACTTTTTTAACTGGTGCGGAAGCAGAAGATGATGATGATGAAGCCTCGTCGTTGTGCTGCAGCAAGTAGACCTGCCAGCCGCGTTTGGATAGATGCGACCGTAGCTTTGGGTTGGACCCGGCTTTGAGCTGGTCTGGCCGATCTCCAACGACAAATTCAAACGTCGTTGGAGGGGCTGCTATTGCGTGTCCAGACATGGAAACGGGAAACGGCTTATAGAGCAGTTACCCGCGTTGCTACCTGCTTAGCCGGTGTCAGCTTCAACTCTCGGAAATAAGGGGCTGTAGCGTGTACTCGTACCTGGTAATGGGAATAGGAGTAGTTCGTATAATATCGCAATAGGCTGATCTGGGCCGATGGCTCGTCTTCCACGGACATACAGGTATGCTTGGTATTCGCGCCCGGAGATATACGCAGAATAGGCTGAAGATGGTGCCAGAGCGTGGTCAGGTGGAACGAGGAGAAGGAGGAAGAAGTTTGGCCCAGCCAGGCTGGCAAAGGAAGGTCATGGTATGCCATGCCATAACCATGTCAACAACAAGCTCATTGCTTTTTTCCGAGACAGGTTATACGGACCCAGGCTCTGATGGGGGGTGGGTTACAGTACATGCATCTTTCAGCTCGGCTCCCACCTCATCTCTTTTCTTACACATGCTCTGCCCTTGACAAGAATGGCCATTGGCCCAGTCCCTGCGCCAATGATGCATCTTGATATTAAACCCGTCGAGCTAGCCATCTAGGTGAGAGCAAATGGCCCAACGACGCGGTGTGCGCGGATCGTGCCTAGCAATCCCGGTGCACATGCATTGGTCCCTGCTAGTTTGGCTCAGGCTATCGGCGGTCGTTTTTTGGTTTGTGACACAGCATGATTGATACCTTTGCCACCTGGAGTACTCCGTATTGGGTCTGGATTTCCAAGCTTCAAGCCAAGTCTTGATATCGTCGCGATTTGGGCCATGAGTGGCATATTGGACTCGATTGTATATGATAAAACACTTGGGTTCCCATACCGGAGTCAACCTTCCAGGGGGGAGCAAGGACAAGCAAGGATCCCCAGATTCCGAGTCTTGTTAGTGTCGTGGATTCGTGGATTCATGTCAGAGGCTGCTTATTGAGATGGATCATCCTAGACAGGCCATTCTGCTCCTGGATACTTTCAAATCACATGTCAGTGGTTGCGCTCTCCTACGCAGCTCCCCATCAAAAGAAGACATCGTCTTCCCCGAATGTCACTCCCATCACTGACAGGGCCGTGAGTCTCAGAAGCCGGTTCCCCTACGCTAATTTAGCACCACGCTATAACTTAGACAAGGCACAGGGCCAAGCCAAGCCACCGAGGTGGACGAGCCTTTATCAAGGTCAAGTCATAGTTACTCGTACAGGGGAAAAGAAAGCTCGCAAGAACCGTGTATGGGAAATTTGAAGTAATTTTGAATAGTCGGGGTTGTAATACCCATCACCAGGTGAATTCGGAAGAGCATAGCATACGCCGGAGTCCTAAGATTGGATCTGCGGTGGGATGTGTGTTGCGTGTGTAACGTTTGACCAGCATGGGTGGTGTCTTATTCCCAGCCTCATATTCTCATGGATACTAATCCTGAGACACGGCGCTATATTACGTACCTCGAGGCGCTTTTGTGACGAGGGTCAGTTGATCATTGCTGCCTGTATTCGTACGGAGTGCGGGACGATGCGTACGAGTACCCATAACTCCTCCCTTGAGCAGCTACTGTAGCCAGAACCTCAGAGAAAGGCCCGATGGTCGCCTCTCGCCTCTGTCGCGCTGGCAAGTTAGAGGCTCACGAGTGTGCAATCTCCTTTTGACATGGGTCGTCTGGTTACCGAGAGAGATCTACTAATGCATCGTTAGCCTTATTACGGAGTGCTTATGGTACGGTAGTAATAGTAGCATTGCTCCCTTTTGCAGCCACCTCGCATCCCGGGAGCTAGTGCTCGGAGTATGGAGTTTCTTGTCAATTTTTATGCTACAGTATGGAGAATTGAGGAATTGCGAGTGCAGTTTTAATCCAGAAGTAGAGAAGAGCAGGTGGCCCAAGAAAATTATGGGAAGGGCTTTTCAACACCCCAAGTTGGCTATCCAGCACTCCAGTGATTAAAAAAGAGTAACGAATATTGTAATAACGCAGAATAAAGATCTTTCTTATCAGTATTACTTGAATAAATATTCGGTTCCTGGAGTATCTACTATTCTCGCTACTTTCAGCAACTATCGCTATTTCCTGCTACTATCGCTACTTTCTGCTACCGCCGCTACTTTCTGCTACTATCCATATTTTTCTCTACTATCTGCCATTATTACTAGGTACCTATGCCGCTTTAAATTTAAATAAGAACGGGATGCTGAATAGTCATTCCCAAAGTGATGCTGCTTCTTCCCTTTGTCCTGCTTTCACGTGCTGCGTGACGACACTGGTTTGGGACCACCTGTCAATTCTGATTGTTGGATGGACAGTAATGCGTCAAGAGAACCTGAATAGAACAATAATGAAAAATTCATCAAACGATAGATACCTAGCAGTTGTAATTCATCGTGTTCATTGTATACCTAGGTACCAGGTACGATTGCTCAACGGCAATGTGCAGGTAAGGTACTGCCAACCCCACCAGTTAAACTCTTGCTTAGTGCCGTCCGCCATCTGCTACAGAGCCAAGAGAGAATCGGCTTCTGCATTCTCGTCTTCTCACAAACCCACCAAAGCCACCATCTCGCGCCTTCAGCATCCTCACAGCCATGGCGCCCGTCGACAGGATAGACCACGATGCCATTGAGCGTATGATTCTCTACCGCTACTATAGCGACAGGGACAAAAGACAAAGCAATCGGCTAACTCCCAAGCAGAACAGCTCAAGGACGTCATCCAAGACTTCTACCGCATCATGGTCCAGGTCTCGACATACGACTCCATGGGCCGCTCAAGCAAAGAAGTCCTCTCCAACGAAATGTACCAAAACCCCTCCCCCAAGAATATTCTTCTCAAACACGGGGCTCAGCTAACCAAAAACAAAAAAACAGCAAAGCCCTCTCCACCTCCCTCCAAAACGTCCACACCGCCGCCTCCCCGCCAAACCACCTCCCCTCCGTACCCCCCGAACTCCTCGAGTACGTCGAGAACGGCCGTAACCCGGACATCTACACACGAGAGTTCGTCGAGCTCGTTCGCCGCGGCAACCAGCTCATGCGCGGCAAGGCCAACGCCTTCGCCTCCTTCCGCGACGTCCTCGCCGAGCAGATGGCCTCGGCCATGCCCGAGCTGCGCGACGACGTGGCCCGCGTGCTCGAGGCTACCGGCGGGAACCCGGCCATTGCGAATGGCGGCGCGAATTCTAACAGTCTCCCGGCGAGACCCGCGCCGACAGGGCAGACCGGCAGTCAGTAGGGAGGAGAGGAAACGAGGTTCGGCAAAGACCGGCTACGGGAGCAGTTGTGCGGGATATGGAATTTCCAGATGTGGGCGAGGGCTTTTGAAATTCGGCGTTGAGAGGGCGTAACATGATACCCAAGATGCCAACCAAAGTAGTGCCATAGCTACCTACTTAGTAGCCACTTTATTTTCAATCATTCTTTCTACATTTGCACTACTTGCGCAGCGCAGGAGGCGTCCAGTCCAGTGAATTCATCATGTCAAAGAGCAAGAAACGAAGAAGCTTGGCTGAGAATCAAAAAGACACAAGGGTATCTGACAGTGGATTGTGGAAAAGACGGGTCACCCGCATTCATCTATATAAAGCCATTGCAACTACGTTGAGCCCACCCCGATCCCATCCGGCCTCTTTTTAAACAAGACACTCATTATTTCCAACATCAAGCGTGTCGTCCATTCAGTCTTTAAAATGAAAAGGCGAGCCGGCCCTCCCTCATCTCCCCTTCTTTTCCATCCGGCTCTGATAAATGAATATTTTCTCTTTGCTCCTCCGCGAGACAGTAGTTAGTTTTGTGCAAATGAATCAAAAGATCGACTGTTGTCTTTCCCGGTTCTCTTTCTTTCTAAAATGTCCCAAAAACGCCATAGCAATGAGGATGCGCGTCTTTTTCTGGTTTAGGGAAAAAACAAAGACTTCCAACAAAAAGATAAAAAAAAAAAAAAAAGGAAACCCAAATGTCTATCCTGCGGTGTTGCGTCTGCCGTGACGACGCTGCCGGCCGTCTCGTCTCATGCACAAGTATACAAATGCCGTCATGACCAAGCCCAATGCAACTAGTTGCGGAGGCAGTAAGACAATCGCCGCCAAAAGCCACATCCCATAACGTCGTAATGCTTCAACCAGCTCATTGCGATTCTCTCGACGACGTTGGAAATCGTCCCGCAATTTGCTGTCTGGCGCGTCGTCTGACCAACGGCCAAAGGAGGAGAATCGAGGTTCAGTATCGGCCTCGTCCTCTCCCTCGCCATCATCATCATCATTGTCGTTGTCCTCCATTTCTGTTTCTTCCTGGTCGGCGGGTCACGAAAAGGGGAACCCAGCGCCAGCACCAGGGAAGCCGCCTCGCTGGCGACCACCTGCGCCAGCACCGCCAAAGTTGAAGCTCGCGCCTCCGGGAAAGCCTCCAGCACCGCCTGGGAAGCCACCGGCACCTCCGGGGAATCCACCGGCGCGGAATCCGCCTCCTCCAAATCCGCCCTGGTTGCCCATCATGCTGAAGAGAATCTCGGGGTCGATGCCACCCATGCCGCCACCCATGCCGCCAGCACTGAACATGTCAGCTGGGTCAATGAGGTCGTCGCCATTGTCATAGCGTGCTCGCTTTCTGCATCGTGTGTCAGCACAGTTTAGTTTCATAAAGAAATGCTGTTGAGGGGGGTAAATCTTACTGAGGATCGCTCAGTGTCTCGTAAGCTTCCTGCATGTCTTTGAACTTGGCTTCGGCTTCAGCATCACCAGGGTTCTTGTCAGGGTGCAGCTTGACAGCCAACTTGCGGTACGCTCGCTTGATGTCATTGGCATCAGCATCCTTTTCAAGGCCCATGATCTTGTAGTAGTCTTTCCGCAGGCTCTTCTTCATCTCCAGCTCAGCTTTGCGGATTTCGTGGCGGACTGAGTTGTCGCTCGGGTCGAGCTCTTGAATAGCCTTCCATTCGCGAATGGACTCTTCCCAATTACCGGTCTTTCCAAGGGCATTGGCCTTTGTCTTGCGTGCCTTGGTGTAGCTGGGGTCAAGGCTGACAGCGCGGTCTGAGTCGGCAATGGCCTCATCGTACAGCTGCAGCTTAATCTTGCACTGAGCACGGTTCTGTAGCAGCTTGGCATTCATGCTCTTGTTTGAAGGGTCAATGTCCAAGGCGTCGCTGTACTTTTGGATGGCTGCTTGCCATCGACCGGCCTTGAACTCGGTGTTGCCCTCTTCCTTCATGCGGTCAAGCTTCTGAACAATCCTAAGCCACTTGACAGCGTCTCGGAAGTCGGGGTCACAGTTGCAAGCCATTCGGAAGTACTGAATAGCCTTTTCATTCTCGCCCTGACCGTAGAGAACGCGACCACGGAGAACCAGAGCCTCAGGGTCCTGGTTGTTGTTGCGCAGGAGCGACATGGCAACGCTCTGGGCCTCTCCTAGAGAGTTCTCGCGGCCCATCTTCAAGTATGCCTCGCCTCGCATCAACTGCCACTTACGGGGCTTGCCAACGCCGTGGCCAAGACCGCGCTCGGCCTGATCCAGGGCATGTAGCACCATAGACATGGCCGAGCCTCGCTGGAGAGTGTCCTTGGCCGACTTGATGTGGTGCAGCATCTCCCGAGCGGGGGCCATGTCCTTAGCAGATGGCTGTGGGATAATGCGGGAGAAAGTGGCCAGGGCTTCCTCTGGCCTACCCAGACCGGTGTAGATCCTTGCTAGGCGCAGCAGGACCTTTGCGTTGTTGGGGTCGAGGTCTGTGGCACGGCTGCAATCATCCAAAGCAGCTTCAAACTGGCCATTTGACATGTAGGCAGCCGCTCGGTTGCCCAGATAAGTTGCCGAGTTGGGGAACAGATCCACAGCTGCACGACAGAGAGAAAGAAAAAAAGTTAGCCCAGTAATTTTTCCCTTAGGCGACGGATTAAAGAGAACAAAAGAAAAAAATAGAACAAGGCGAAAAAGCTAAATCAGATCAAGGCAACGGCATGATTCATGCCCATTGGTCTTTTGCATACCTTTGCTATACTGCTCGATGGCCTTGGGATAGTTCTTCTCCTTGAAGAAGCGGTTTCCGTTGGTCTTGTATGACTCTGCATCCTCAAGAGGCGTGGGGATGGGGCTGGACGGGTTGGACTTGTGCGGCGGCGGCGCTGGAGCCTCGTCGTTGCTCATGTTCCCGTTGGGAATGGGCACAGCAAAGTTCTTCTGGGCAGAGGGATTCGAAGAAGGCTTGGGAGGCTGTGGTGATGCCGCGCCGTTAACGGGCTGCGGGTCGATGTCCATCTTGGCTGACATGGCAGAAAGACGCTTCCGCTCTCGCTCCTCAGGGGGCAGGTTCAATGGATGCGTGTCCGGGTCGTATTTGCTGCTGCGGCGCGACGACGAGAAGCCTGCGTCGGTCGAGTGTCGCGACAGGCGAGAAGACCTCGAGGACGGCGGTTTTGCGTCCTTGTGGTGAGAGACGGGCCGCGAGGATCGCTTTGTTGGCGAAGGCGAGGAGTTGGTGGAGGAATAAGCCGGCGGGGGGTCGGCGTGGACACTGGGGCTCTGGGGAATGTCCTCGTCAACACTGGCACTGGAAGCAGAAGCGTTCTTCTTCGAGGCCGGTTTCTTCCCGCCGAAAAACTTCATTGGGGATTGGGGCCAAGGCTGTCAAATCTGGGAGCGTGAAAAGGCTGTCCTCCGTACCCGACACAAGGTTATGCCGGATATTTGGGACTTGCAGAGAAGGGTAGTGAGGCCTAGGCAATAAAGGGATTTAGAAAGTCCGTCTAGGGGGGCTAAGCGCCACAGACTTGAGCGCACTGTGGCCTGGAGAGTCGGATGACTGAGGTGGGAAGGAGTGGGAAGAGATGCGATGCGATGCGATGCGACTCGACAAAGTCGGATCAGGAGGAACCCAAAAGCCAGCCCTCGATTTATCAGCGGCACTGTGAAGGCTAGTTTCAACCCAGGCTTCACCAGGCTCATCAGCGAAGCAGTTTCGAGCTGGGGGGCACGTCAGAAATTTCAATCCAGCCAAGTGTGAAAAGAAGAGAGACTGGCCCCGGCGAGGCACTGTACAGGCTCTATACCTACATGTACGAGTACTATGGACAGCACCTAGCCGGCCTGCCAGTTCAATTGAGGGCGCGGGAAACGGGCCGCAGCTGGGCTAATCCCCACAGCAAGGCACTCGCCTCCAGCCACGCAGGCGCGTAAGAAAGCTGTAGAGAGGCCAATGGCTGCTGCAGCGGCACAACCCATTGGCTGCGCAAGTACGTGTGCAGGCATCAACATCCGTCACTCATGCCTGATGGTGATTTGATGTCCATGTTTATTTACATGTGCCCGCGCAACCGAGCCCAGCGCTGCAACCCCGGGCGGCATGGCAATTCAGCCTTCAATTGTGCCACTTGTGACGACGCGGGCGCACAGTACAGCTTCGCGCCACAGCGCACGGAGTACGGGCCCGCCTTGTGCCTGTCAGCTATCGGGGCTTTGCAGCTACGAGATATGCTGGCGTAGGAGGTACCTAATTCCAGAAGGTTCGGTGGGGCACGATCCCGCCCCGACGGTGCTGGAGTCAAGACGGAAGGCTGGAGCGCTGACTTGATCCATTGACTTGATTCATTGGCATCAAACATGCTGTACTTTGATGTACGAGGACGGTATCAGCGCCACCGCGCAGAGGGTCGGCTGAATGCGCACGCAGTCAGCTCCTGCGCCAGACTGCAGCTGGGGGCTGAGATATTAGTAATTGATTGGGATGCTCAGCTGCCATGCCACGACTACCTACCTAGTAGGTAGACTATCTACTACGTACCTATGTAGGTATTGAAGCGAAGCACGCAAATCGACCTTAGTACCAATGGATTGACATGTATCTACGAGTATATGTGGTGCCGCCCAAGTCAAGTTGAGAGTTGACAGTTACATTGACGCTCTGCACCCACTAGCACCAGTACCGAGCTTTCTGCGACATCCGGTAATTTTGCTGTGCGTGCAGCTAAAATTGCTACCCGCAATATGCTTATATTCAACTCAAGGTACGGAGTACTCGTACTTTCACATCGCGTAAGAAGTCAAGTCTCAAATCACAATCAGTCACATCCCGTCTGCCGCCAAACCGGTCTCACCTTTTGCTTCCTTCTCCGCACCTCCTAGCCGCTGCAACCCAGGATCCTGGTGGCTTGACAAGTGCCATTGGCCCAGCATCTGGTCGTCCTGGAGCTCGCAATCTGCCGCTGGCCCGTTCATTTCGTCACGCCGCCGCCTCCTCTTCCTCAGCGAGCATCAACGGCCGGCTTATCTTGCAGTGTTTTCGTTGTAATACTGCATGTGTTGACAAGTACACGACTCCGTACTGTAGCATTTATGGAGAACTTTGCACGGGAATACGATTCGAAACAAAGACTGACGACACTCCATACGGTATGGGGCAATTGGCAGATCACTTCCAAAGTCTGCGCCCATGACGCGGAGCACATTCTCCTCCGCAATCCTTATTTGTGCCATGGTATGTATGTATTAATTAATTATGCATCCATTAATCGTAACTTATCCCATATATTTCGTACACATGTGCAGGTTACTCAAATGAAAAGACCAAAAAAAAAAAAAAGTCAGAGGAAAACAGAATACACAGCAGGATTGACGCAGCTCATTCGCCCTCCTTAACAGGCCCATATCAGACGGAGCCCGGGCTGGCCCTGGTACCTGTACCCGTGCCTGTCCAGTAACACTCCTAGTAACTGCATCGTGTCACTCGTGTCAACTGGAAACGAAACCCCGGGAAACCACCAGTGAGCGGAAGGCGGAATGACACCAAACCAATCAATTCGTTACTGCTCCTCGGCTCTCTCGTGAGACCCTCCTTCGGACCCGCCGTTGGAACCCATGATTGAGTGTACAAACTCCTGGTATTTAAACACCTCGCCCCTTCTTGCCGATAAGTGTGCATTCATGTTCCGGTTGAAGGCTCGACGACCAGTGAACCCCTCGACGACCTTGTCGACCTCTGCAGCGCTGAGGGCCGACTGCCCGGCTTCCGGCGGTGTGTTGAGCAGAGCATCCCTCAGCTCCGCCCAGTCGATCTGACCGCTGTCGTCCTCGTCGAACGCCGAGAACGCAGATAAGAGCTCGGTGCTTGGTGACAACACCGCCAAGGATTCTGCCAAAGAGTTGAGGAAAGCGGCTAGCGTCATGGTTTGTTGTTTTGATGGTGGAAAGAAGCGTCCTATGTCGGAGGAACCAGAAGGGAGGCCTTGCCAGGAGTTAGCATCGTAATGGGGGGAATTAAGCATGCTTCATGCTTCGCCGTTAGTGACCGCAACGGAAACTCACCAAGTTGACCGAGCATATCGGCGACATCTTCTCTATTGACGACGCCGTCGCAATCTCGGTCCAAAATCTGAAATCCATCCCTCAGTGTCCTAACTTGAGTAGGCTGAAGCTGTGAGAGGGCACTGCTGCCGCCTAGAGAGCCGCCCACTGCCAGCTTTGACCCAGCCTTCCACGAAGGTGGTGAAGCCCTTGTGGGAGTGGTCATGCCAGGTGTCTTCTCTCGCTCCGTGGCCTCAGCAAGATCGTCAGTATCAGTAGCGGTCGGCGTGGTTGGTCTCGCAAGCCTCGACGTTCTGTTGGGTGTGGTCGGGGTGGCCTTGGTAGGCGAGCTTGTTGGTGTTATTTGTCGGAGTGGTGAAGGCGATGCAGGCGAGTCCGCCCGGCGGAATGGAGAGTTACGAACGCTGGGAGGCGATCCGTAACCCAGGGGAGAGGGCTTGAAAGTTGTTGACAGAGACTGGGTTAGTAGAGACTGATTAGCAGATAAGCGAAACGGCGATGCACGGGGCTGCACCGTAATACGTACCATGATGCAGATGGTAGGGGATCTGTGCTGGAACGGTGTCCGCAATCGGTTGGCCAGCGAGCAGCAAGCGGAGACGGTGTACAGTATGACGCACGAGATTCTGATTGCTTGAGGTGGTGCAGAATGCAGATAATCTTGGACACCTGGGCAGAGATATGCAGTCAGTGGTCTGGCTCTGGATTGTCTGCGTGGGGTGATGCACAATTGCATCTGGATTGAGATGATGGCCCCCCAAAGTAAACAATCAAGTTGTCTGACCTGACAACCGACTGGTGGTGTGTGGCTGGTGAGTGCGTCCAGGTGTGGCGCCGTTTGGAGAAGGGACAGACCCAGCCACTGACCGCCTGCAGTAGCGTCACTGGTCCTTTTTAGGCGCTGATAACCACCAAATGAAGAGCCTGAGCCTATAATTGCCTAATTAGCGCTGTGAAGCACCAGCATGCTGTATACCAGGAACCCGCGTCTCAGAGGCTTCGTAGGCTCCACTCGTGGTCGACTCGTGGGTGGTCCCCTTCACCACATTTCCCCGTTTGGGTGACACTAAGGTAAATACGGAGTTCCACCATGGCACAATGCCCCTGTCTCGACTTTCTCCCAAGAGAACTCGTCGCAAACGCAGCAGACGATGCCTGGCTCCAGCATCTGTCCATTGGCCTCTCCATCTGCTGCTTGCTGCCAGCCTCTCCGCTCGCGCGTTATTGTAGCGTAGCGTGACATAATTGCGAGGGGGATAGCGTCAACATCACCAACAGTCACAGAGCGTCGAGGATCCTGGGAGAACCGACAAAGATAGACCGCTCGAGCCAGATAGCAGTCCCTGAGCTGTTCCTGCAAAATAACCGGGCTGCAAAGCTGTATCTGCGTCGAATTCGCCCCGACCGAGACAATATTTAATCTGCAAGATCCGGAGGACATATTTTGAGCAACACCGGCTCAAGCATTAATACATACCTAGGCAAGCTGGTGTACAACTCCCAGCATCCCACAATAGATTGGATTGGCCTGCGGGGAGGCACTTGAACAATGGCGGCGGCTCTCCCCTATGCGTCGCGCTCGAATGGCGCCAGCAGCTCCAATGTCTCGCTGCCTCATCACCGCCGAACTTCTCTTTCTTCGTTTCCTCCGTCCCGCTCTCCGTCGCAAATGTCCTTCCATTCGCGCCCATCAAGGTCGCCGCACCCGCCCATGGCCGATACAGACCGGACTTCGGACCCGAGCTCCAAGTCCAAGGCGTCTTCCATCGGGCCATCTTCACAGCATTCGTCTCTGTCGGCAGTGCGCCGAACCAATGAAGATTCACAGCCGCAGAGGAGGCTCCGCGCACAGTATCCTCGCGGGTCTGACGCCAACCATGTCGAGTATATCCTGGTGGCGTCGTTTGATATTGACCGCGGCCCGGTTATGGAGCACCAGTACCCTGTCGCCATCACTGGAGACGAGAACATGTTGGCCGAATTGATGCTTCCAGACCAGGCTCACGCCCGTAACCAGGATTGGACCATGTTTTTCCTGCACAAGGACTCTTCGCCAGAGGATGAAGACGAAGAACGCAAGCAAAAGGCTAGGAGGAAAGCTCGGAGGCAGAGACGGCGGGATAAAGCGGCGGGGCTGGTTCCTGAGGATGGAGCAGAAGGCGGGGCTGGTGAAGAAGATGAAGATGAGGACGACGAGGGGGACGACGACCTGGATGAAGACTTGGATGACGACGAATCCTCAGATGATGAACCTGATGGCTTGGAGGGCCCGCCGCTCATCTACGTACTCAACTTGGTAAATACCAAGCACGACAAAACTGTGAAACGAGGAGCTATTGTAAAGGCCATGGCAATTTGCACAAGACACCCTTTCTTGCATATATACAAGGTACGCAGCAGACAGCTGAGCTTTCTGATATATTCTTTTGCATTGGGTTGCATAGACTAATGATTGAGGATTGTTCAGCCGCTTTTACTCCTTGCACTGGAAGAGTACTTCAAGTCGCCAGTGCCCGAGACTCTTTCCATGTTATACGACTCCGTCAATGCGATGGACTTGTCTCTTATGCCCAGATTGAGCTTGCTCGAGAGGAACCTGCTACTAGCGAGCGACAACAAGGATCTGTTTGTGGAAAAGTTCGAGCGCATTATCCAGATGCGCATGGCAGAAGACAGGGCAGAGACCGCTACTGAGGGGTCTGGCGAGAGGAGTCAAAGCCCGCAATTCACCGGCGGCATCTCGAGGGCTGGCACCAAGGCGCACGTCGAGGGCGGCGGGCAGTCGACGTACTCTGTGGCCCGAGATACCCACGAGTTTGAGAGCAAAGTCATGTACAAGGGCATCCCCATCCCTATCAAAGTGCCCACCGCGGTCATGCCTGAGACTGTAGGAGACTTTTCGCTTATCAAACTGATTCAAAACTTTTCCGAGGCCCATGCCAAGTCGCCGCAGCCGTTTCCACTGCACCCGCATCTGACGACCAACGGGGTCAATACGCACCCAATCATTGTACTGATGAATGGGCTCCTCACGCAGAAGAGAATCATCTTTCTGGGCCACAACATGCCTTCAGGAGACGTAGCCGAGGCAGTGCTGGCGGCATGTGCTCTCGTGTCCGGCGGCATCCTCCGGGGGTTTACCAGACATGCATTTCCCTACACCGACTTGACCAAGGTCGACGATCTGCTCAACGTGCCAGGGTTCATAGCAGGCGTTACCAACCCTACATTTGAGCTCCATCCGGAATGGTGGGACGTCCTATGCGACTTGCCTAGTGGCCGCGTCAAGATCAGTAGCAAGATTGAGATGGCGCCGGTTACTGAAGGGCTGATTTACTTTCAGCAGCAGCACCCCAACCTCGCCAACACTGCTAGCGGCGTCTCCAACAATGTGCAGGACTTGACGGGGGACGCGGCCTTTATGACAGATATTCTTAGGAGTATTGCTGCCAGACATGGCGAGCGAGTTATCCGAGCAAAGTGGCGCGGCTGGGTCAACAAGTTTACGAGGATTGCTGCCCAGTTTGAAGAGAGCGTGTACAACGCATCTGCTCTGTATATTGGGGGCCAGGACCAAGACCTGGCGCTGCCGGGAGCCAGTGGCCATGGGTACGTATGGGCAGACGATACTGCAAAGTTTAAGGAGCTGGCCGGCAACGTGACGAGGATTGAAGGGTGGCGTAATACACGCAGTTACTACAGCTATATCCAGGTAATGGTTTCTCCATCTTTCCCATTGATAAGTGGGGATTTGCTAACGAAGGAAACTCTTTGCAGGATCTTGCAAGAATATACACCTTCCGCCCTCTCAAGGGGCTGGACCTAGCCCACATGCACGACCGTCTTCGCATGCAGCGCCTGACACCAGCGCAGAGCAAGGATATCTATCTGACATTATCCAAGCATATCCATTCGTATGAAGAGATTTGCCTGCTGCTTGACGTGGCACCCGAGTCGCACGCCGGGCTCTTTTACGTTGCACTCGGTCTCTTCCACAAGGACCGCGAGGTGCGCTTGAAGACGGCTGATCTGCTGGAGCGAATTTCTGAGCATGAAGCTGGGCAGCACTGGTGGAAGAGCCTCAGTCAGTTTGAGAAGCTGGCGTATGCGCGGATCCGGCGCGAGGCTGAAGCGGAGGTGAAGACGAAGCTGGAGAAGGAAGGGCTGGTTCTCAGTCCTGTTATGGAGAAGATGATGAGCTAAGTGGCCCAATGAAATAATCAACCAAAGAAAAAAAAAAGAAAAAGAAAAAGAAAGAAAGAGAAGAGAGGGAGGGAGATTGCGGCGCATTTATATGGGATACACATGACGGCGCGCACATTTGTGGCTGCAGTATATGCAATGCCAACGAGCAATGACGGGAGCGCTGCGCGGCGTACGCACTACGATTATTACTATTTGTATGAATGTCTACGACGTTATTATATTATCTTGTGTTTGGACGGGCGTTGTCGAGGCGGAGCGAAAAGCACAATCGACATGGATACGATTTGATGGGACTTTTTTTCTTTTTCCTTTTTTTTTACCTTTTTTTTTCCTCAGTCGGATTTTGGAGGGCCCCTGGTTGAAAGATTTTTTTTGCTGGAATTTTCTTTTCTTTTCTTTTCTTCCTTTTTTCCTTAATATTTTTATTCGATTGTCAGAGGGTATAGAAGAGACATGCGAGATAATTACAGATGTTTGGAGGGTATCTTCTTCCCCATGTTGAGCACTAGCAATGTCTTGTTCCTTTATTTTGCTCCGATTCAATCATCGGGGATACTATTTGTAGAGCGTGTTTATGTACGGCATGCATTTGAGTATATAACAGCGGAATTTGGTTGCTTATGCAGCTCGTCATCTCATCACATCATTACCCCGTTTCCTCCGGTATCATGCTGTGTGTATATTTTTTTTTTCAAGCATCTCCCTATCCAAGTATGCATTCATGTATGTACAAGATCAATCAATCACAGCAAACCCAGATGCTTGGCATGATGCTTAATATGGTCCTCACCAAAAGTCGAGATGAAGAAGTATGAGTGGTCGTAGCCCTGTGAGAAAAAACGCATGTAAGTCAGCATACACGCAAGATGAGATTTGCGATCAATACATCAGAATGAACATACATCTTGGTATCGCAGTTGCAGGCCCTCAATGTCCGCAGACTTGGCGGCTTCTGCAAAGTTCTCGGGCAGAAGCTGTCTCTGCTTGTAAAAGTTGTCGGCGGTACCCTAGTTGCAAATTCATCAGCAAGATATTCCTCCCATTCCCGTTGCTGGGTCGTTTTCAACATACCACATCAATCAGAGCATTCAGATGACCCTTCCAGTGCTTCACAAGCTCCGTCGCATCATGCTTCTTCCACTGCTCCCTGTCACCACCTAGATATCCCGTAAACGCCTTCTCTCCCCACGGGCACGCACTCGGGTTTGAAACAGGAGACCACGCGCTGACACTCTGATACTTGCCAGGGTTCTTCAAAAACAGCGTCAGAGCGCCATGGCCGCCCATGGAGTGACCCGCAATGGACACACGCTTCGAATCCAACTGCTTAAAGTGCGAAAAGACGAGCTCTGGCAGCTCCTTGGTAATGTACGTCTCCATCTTGTAGTTCTGGGCCCACGGCTCCTGCGTGGCATCAATGTAAAAGGACGCAGCGCTGCCAAAGTCCCAACCATCGTGCTCGCCCGGGTGGTTCGAGCCGCGGGGCGACGTGTCGGGATACAGAAGCGCGAGCTTGAGGGGCGCGGCGTGGGCGTGCAGGAAGCCCTTCTCGGTGACGTTGTCGGGGGAGCAGGTCAGGCCGGAGAGGTAGATGAGCAGGGGCGCGGGTTCGGACTCGGAGATGCCTGCGGGCAGGAAGAGGGTGAAGTTCATGGGCCCGCCGGTGACGGACGACTGGTGGGTGAGCTTGAGGAAGCGGCCGCCAAAGGAGGCGATGGAGGCATTGGTGGTGATGCTCGCCATGGTGTTTTGGAGGGGGGGTGCAATTGATATCGACAATAATCACAAGGCTGGATGGACTGGGAGAATAAAAGTAAAGCTGAACAAGAGGTTGTGATTATATGAGCAGAAGAAGCAGCAGCAGCAGCTACCCAGTTTATAGGTGCGAGGATCGAAGCCATGTAGCATCATTGAGAGCATCCGTATTTACCCCACCACCAGACCTGTCAAAGCACCCCTCCGAAAGCTCTACCCTTTCCATCATCATGACGCCCGAATTATGTCCGAAAGCAGCAATCCATCAAATGCGTCGGTTAATAGTATAAACGCCCATTTCCAAGCACAAACTGAAGCAAAAAAGCAAAGAAAAAAAAAAAAAAGCAACCGTCTCCCGTCTAATGAACACTCGCCGACATTGCACCGCTAATGGCTTGATGTCATACTCCGTTCTTCACCCCTGTTGTTTTTTTGTCTAGTTGGAGGGGCAGATGTCAGTTTTCGGGGGTCCGATGTAGGGCCCTCTCTCCCTAGATGTTATAAATTGTATATTAAACAGAAAAGACGCGATTCCCAATGACTCAATAAAGAAAATTGTGGGTGTATGTTTTTTTTTTTTTTTATGTTTTTTCTTTTTTACTCAGTTGAGGTTTTCGGCTTCTTCGAGCAGTCAAAGCTGGAGATCAAGTTGTTCCACTGGATGGCCCCCAGATCGAACTTGTGCTCGTAGTTAAAATCGACGCTGCCAAAAGTGCATCCCGTCGGGCTGGTGCAAATAGAGCCGCAGTTGCCGATGCGAGGGAAGCACTCAAAGTCCTCGCCGTCGGGAGCAAAAGTGCTGGTGTTTTGGTGGAAGGGCGCCTTCAGCTGGTGGCACGTGTCGAGCTTGTAGACCTCGTAGTTGCAGGTGCCGGTTGCGTTGGCGCCGGTGCAGAGGAGGACCTGTAAGGGATTGATGCCAAGTTAGAAATGTTGATTCAGAAAGGGATGATGCAAGGGAAGAGGGGAGATGACATACGCCGCCAATTTCACGCTTTTCGATGGGAGTGCCGGAGACGGCAATGGCTGAAGAGACAGCAGCGGCGACGATGGTTGTGAACTTCATTTTGAATGGATAAGATATGATGAATAGGTATGAAGAGTCAAGCTGTCTTGGTAGCTGAATTATTCCAAGATGAGGTAGAAATGCTGCGTTGGAATTGTGTGCAAGATTTAAAAAAGCCACAAGTTGTGTTCTAGGCCAGGATTGCGGTGTGATCTGTGTGTTTGTCTCGATTCTCGTGGAACCAACCGGCCCATCTTATATACAAGCAGCTGCCACAGCACAGGACTCGATGCGTCGTATCTCCTCGCCTCCTCGCATCGCTGACCGACGTAATGCAGCCACCATTTCCTTCCTTCTTCCTATGACCTTGCAATAAGATTCTGACGTCTGTTCCCCCAATCCCCGTATTGCCTTCCCAGCAGCACGGACCCCTAAGCAGCCACCCGAGACTAGAATGCCATAGCCTTCCTATGGCTGAGGAAGAATATGATCGATCCAGTCTCTCTTTGTTGTGCAATGGGCAGTGCACGCGCCTTCGCGCGGTCCCTTAGAAGGGCGGCCCGAATAGGAAACGCCATCAGACATACGAGAGCCGTTTGTCGATCCTCCTCTTTTTGCCACACCCCGACATCATGCCAGCGCCTTGGCCGACGACACAAGAGCCGATCTCCGTGAGAGTTTCGACGGAGAAATACGAAGGACGACGGTGGTTGGACTTGTCCCATGGAGATGGACAGTTTGTCCATTCATCGGCCCTTCATTTGGCACTTATTGAATCTAGATTTCATACGGCACATGGCAGCAAACTCGCCTGCTGGAGCAAAAGTGCATGTAACCTCATATCCTATTTACTTGCTCCCTTCACGGCCGTTCCGACAAAAAAAAGCTAATCAAAAATAACTTTCCCTTACACAGCCAACCGGCAAACAACATGATAGAAATGGCATTGACTCGTATCTGCATGCAGGAACGGCACTTTGCATCGCCGTTTATTCTCCGCTGCCGGCTGTTGAGTAACACGGAGTAACCTTCCAGCAAGCCACAATTCATGCATAACACGCAGTGAACACTGCATATTCCATGTAGAAAGCCAATTAACGACTGTTAAGAAAGTAAATATTACTTCCACATTATGTTTCTTCTTTTAATTTGATAATAATTCGAAGCACAAAACTGATCGTACTCACACATGCCTGGTCTTTTATGATGTCACATTTCATTTTGGCTATTTTTAGTGAGCAATATGGAGCGACTAAACATGACCCGGGGCTAGCTTCGAGGGCGACTGCCGATGGCCCGGCGATACATACGATCAGGTCTCTTTATTGTAACAGTTCCATGTCACATGCAACGTAACAGCCGTGATAACACGAAAAAGTCATGCGCCATTCTATTGAACGTGACTCTGGAAGCATATTTGTCTAGGCAAAACATTGCTTGGGAATTCGGCTTCACTCTTCGCTTACAGCACAGGAATCAATACCAGGCGTGATCACACCTACTCTGGCAGATGCCCTGCAGGCAGGTAGGACTGTTACCATTGTAGTAAACATGTCGTTCCGTAGCAAGAAAGCAATTCCATTGATTTTTTTCTTTTCTCTTGATAATCTATTATTGTATTGACATACTTTGCAGTCATCCGTATAATATCGCCTTTTACCATGTTTAATGCCAAATCAATTTGTACAGGCTAGGACTTGCACCCAAGTCTAAGCGCTCTAGGCCTTGCGAGTTGCTCCCATATAATTCGTACATCTCTTGGTGCAGTCCTTCGGCTACCTTTGGCAGAGGCTTCTAATGTAGTTACATACACCAGAGAGATAGATTGGTGGCTAGAGACGCATCTGATCCTTGGCTGAGATCAGTTCGGATGCCGCACCAAAGACAGAGTGGCACAGAGTCGAGTCAAAGATGCTGTCTTTATATCCTAGCCGAGAGCTGAAATTAATCGAATCTCGAAACGCCACGCTGATGAACAAGTTTCTCTTTTCGACAAGATGAAGAAAGGGAGATGAAGCACAGCATCGTATTCGTTAAACTCTCATCTGCGAAATTGAAAAGAGTTGGCGTGAATCGAGCATCATCAGCTTCGCCCGCCTTCGTCTTTGCCAAGCTAGGCTTCGTCTACTGAAGAAGCTCTTCGCAGGTCCAGTCCTCGTAGCTGAAAAGGCGTTAGTCTATCACGCATCCATCTCCTTGACCAGGCCAGAGTCCAACTTACTATCCGTCGGGCATATATCTTCGGACGATGAGAGGGATCTTCTTCTCGCGTAGCTCCTTGATCGCAATCTGTAAAGGATCCGTCTCACCCTCGAGGTCCACCAATACCGGCGCGTTCATGCTGTACCATCCAGTTAGCACATCTGCATGCTACCCTCTCAGTTCTCCCAATGCCGACCTGATCTGTAGGGCGCGCGTGCCCAGAATACGAGCTCTCTCGTATTTCGTCATGTATGGTGTTGTCGTGCGCTGGTCGTCGGGAATCTTCTTGTCCTTGACGGACTTGTCTTTGGAGGCGTTCGCAGCCGCAGAGGGATCCCCAGAAATGACAACGTTGTCCTGGTCGTCGCCGTGCGCATGCTCGCCATCTTCGTCATCGGCGACTTCGGGCTCGTAGAATTCGGTCACCTCATCCTCTTCCAACACGGGCTCATCGCTGTGTGCACAAGGGGTTAGCTATCCACCCCACAGCCCTTTTGTTTCCGCCCTTTGCACTCTTCTTGAAGCACGAGGCTGTACTTACCCGCCAACGCTAACGTCATCATCGCCGAAATCAGACATTTTGAAGAGATTGGATAAGTGGAAAGGCTGGGCGCGTTGGTAGGAAGACTTGTTGCTGGCTGCTTAATCTTCAGCCTCGCGAAAAATATTATTCCAACCACAGAGTCTCAAAGTTTTACCGTAGCTTCCCCGGCTGAACCTCATGGCGCATCGAGTGGGTCTCTGATTAGCGCCTTTCTTGCTGGGGCAGGTCCAATCCACCATGACTTAATATTTCGTCCTTAAGCGGAGCTTGCTTATCTTATCGTCCCGTGACCCACCTAAAAAGTTCCCAATTTCTGCCATCGTTCGAATCTCGACGACATGCCACGACTTTGCAGCAATTGACGGGTCGCCATGACAAAACGGGTGGCCACAGAGGAGGCGCCTGGTGCCTCCTCTTCTAAGAGAATGAGTACCCGTAACATTAGAGTCCAATGTTCGTTGCCAATCCTCCAAGGCATCTCACTGACGGTGAGCATGGCTAATATTGAATTTGATATAGACACCATAGACGATGACGATGACGATGACGATTTTACCCCAAGTTCAAGCCCAGATTCAAGTGCGGAGGTTGATTCAACCATCACTGCTGCAACGACCCCTCGCACCAAATTTCCATCAGATTACAAGACGTTGGCATGCACCTGGCCAGGATGTCCGAAAAGCTTCAACCGTCCAGCTCGATTGAGAGACCATATGAACTCTCACACCAACTCCCGACCTCATAAATGCCCATACGACGGCTGTACCAAAGACTACATCGAAGATAAGCATCTGAAACAGCACATCAAAGCCGTTCATACAAATGACCGCAAATACGTCTGCCAGAGAGAGGGCTGCGGAAAGACTTTTGTAACAGGCACGAGGTTGAAACGTCATCAGCTAGTCCATGAGGGAGCAGACAGATTCCGCTGTCAGGACTGCGGCCAAAGCTTCAGAAAAAAGGAAACGCTCAATAAGCATGTGCGGAAGGAGCACCAAGGCTTGCCAGCGCATCAATGCCCGGAGCCGACATGCACAAGAGCGTTCGATTCCAAGGGAGCGCTCAACCGGCATCGGGAGAGGGAGCATGGCCCGCTCAAGTACTGGTGCATGGAATGTGCCCCACAGATGCGAGAAGATGGTACTATGCACCGAGTTGGGTTTACGACAGATCCACAGCTGCAGTCACATATGCGGCAAGAGCATCAAAACTGCATGTTCTGCGAGTACAAATCCAGCTCGCTATGGGAGCTGGAAACACACATTGAAATTCATCATTCGGGGAAAACGGTCCAGGACCGCAAGACAGTAGTTTGCCCGCATGCTGGCTGTGACAAGAAGTTCACCAAAAAATCCAATCTTAACGTTCACATTCGAACGGCACATGAAGGATTCCGTTTCGTCTGCGGCGAGGTCGAATTCACCGGCCCCGGTCTTGAAAAATGGACCAACGACCAAGGTTGTGGCGACAAATTCAGCACCAAAGTTCGATTAGAGGATCACATTCGCTTCATCCATCTAGGTCAAGAACGGCCCAAGGTATCCAAGCCGGATAAGTCCGTTCCAATGGACGTCATTGACGAGATATCCGGCGTTACAAACGCCAAGAAGCAAACCCTGCGTTGTTTCCACTGCAACGAGGGCTTCATTCGTTACTTTGACCTGAACGCCCACATTGCTTTTGCTCACGGCCCAACGCCCGCCGCAGACGAAGAAGCCCCGTTCGCAAACCCACCCGCATTCGATAATGGGAACGGGAATGCTCTTGAGCAGCCCGCTTGGTCGGAAAACTTTCAGCAAGACGACATTTTCACCTCGCAAATGGGATTCGAAGCGGGACAGAATGGCTGGACGGAGGAGAATGCGACTCTTTTGATGCTGGCTCAGGGGGAGGCCGGCCCGGATGGTAATATCGACCCTACACTGGGAGGATTTTAGACCTGATGGAAATTAGGGGTTGAGGTGTTTTGGAACCGTAAATGGTGATTGGTGGTGCAGATAATCGAGTAGATTTCTATGTGGTTTAGATAAAAATGCTACTAGGTAGCCATAGCGTAGACAGATAGCGTCGGCAAAGACGTCACGATGTTAATGAAACAATGACAACAAACAGGAATGAATAAATAATGCTAATGCTTCGACTCTAGGGTCGGTCATCCTAAACGCTTACAAGCCATCAAAAAACAATGCTTCCATAACGCATCTAGGTCCCGCCTCGGATACCCATCTAAGTCATTCCTGACACCCAGTCCTCCATTGTGTGTAATAAGACGGAAAAAAAAGGGGGCATATCCACAATTCCCCGATTGCTCCTTGATTTATAGTCTAGTGCAACCAAAACCCAATGCGCTATAGAGAGTGTAAAAAAGAGAGTGTAAGTGAGAGTAAAAGACACATACAGAAAGTTTTATATCACAGGGAAGAAGTGGTGGCTATTCCAATTGCCTGAGCCTCCCCCCCTTAAAGGAGGGTTAAGCATGGATACTTGTCGAGATCAGTGCTCTGCAAACATGGCGTTGCTGAGGCCCAGCAGAGACATGCCCAGGAAAGCAAAGATCATGCACAGGTTATGGTTGTGTTCAAAGCTCAAGCTTTCGGCAAAGAGCTGCAGCCCGACACTGACCATGATGCCCGAAGTCAGCGCGAAGAGACAGCCATACACAACTGCGCTCGGCGTCATGTTGGTGCTGTTGGCAAGCTTGAACCACAGAGCTGCGATAGCTGCACCAAAAGGCTGAGACAAGCCGCCCAAGACAGCCGACCAGGTCATGGCCCGCCAGCGGGATCCAAGGGCCATATAAAGAGGCAAAGCCATGGCAAAGCCCTCCGAGATGTTGTGAACGAAGAGTGCCATAAAGACGTTGAACCCGAGCGAAGGGTTGACGTGGTTCGATGCATATGTGATGAAGCCCTCTGGAAACTTGTGGAGGGCTATGGCTATAGACGTTTGCAATCCAATAGAAAGAAAGGCATTGGTTGGGACGTGGTGATGATGCTGGGCTTCGGCATCGCCCTCGTCCATCTGCGAGCATGGATAGCCGTTTTCGCTGGCCCCTTCTTCCGTCAAGGTCGTAGAATCGCGAGACGCTATTCGACTGGGGCTAACACTGGCGTCGTGGATATCCCCATCAGTATGCTCATGAGTGGCGTGAAATGAGTGGTGGGGGTGGAAATGTCCAGTAGTTGTGTGGAGGGAAGGCGTGTTACTTGCGGCGCGGCTGCTCAGGTGCTTGAAACACTCCTGTCCACAAGGATCGGAGTATCCATAACATCGTTTGGACTCATCACAGCGGCAATCTGTGTCCCAGAAAAAGGACATCATCCGCTTCCTGATCCCGGGAGTGGATTGGCGTCTGCTGAAGACCCCGGCAGCGTCGGTAGTGGCACGGGTGCGGGAAGACGGGCGAGGGCTACCGGACCGCCGCACCATATCGGATGCATGGCGAACTAACATCGGAGTGGCATGAACATGCTCTGAGCTGAGTAGAGGAGTCACCTCGCTAGTGGGAGGCTGACCATCGCCACTCTCAGCAATATCGGAGATTTTATTGTCGGGGGGTCGGGAGAGACGCCGTCTGGCGCGACTCGGCCGTGAATGCGCTCGGCCGCCATGGGCATGGGAATGACCGTCGAGAGAGGCAACGCTGTCATGGCTATGGTCGCAGTCGACGACGTGGGAAGGCATAAACTGGTGGACGATTCGTGAGACAGCCTGGATGCCAACGAAGCCTGCAGCAAAGAAGCCCATCATGACGAAGCCAGCAGTTTGATCGGACCAACCCTCTTGCTGAAAGTATTCTTTCGATTCGGGGAGCATGCTGTAGAGCGAGGAGAATAGCTAAAAAGGGGGTCAGAAGTCTGCACTGCACAAAGTTTGAGACATTAATGCTCACCATGACGCCAAAGCTCAAGCTCAGCGAGCACGCGAGGAAGACGTTGCTGTCTTGGATGCGGAAGTTGGCCTTGCCTGGCAGGAGGCGCACGAAGACGTCGACGAATATGATGGACGCTCCAAAGACGCAAGCTGTATCGAGACAAGATGGTTAGTTCGCCAGCCGGCAGCTTCAACGAGGGATCACATACCAAAACCGCTCACTGCGGACAAAATCCAACCTCGGGTGTCATTGTCGATAGCCCTCGCCGTCAGCTCCATGGCGGCTCTCTTCTCGTCTCTCCTCGAACAGATGGGTACGGCTAGGGCGGCACAGGCATCAAGCGTTCGACGTTCTGTGTCTCTCTGTTATAGATGGATTCGTCAAGTGTCGAGGATGCTTGGAGCAGGATTGCCGTGTTCGATTTCCAGAATCCGAACCGGAGGCGGTGTTTTTATGTGCTTATGTAGGAGTTGTGGTCAAGGGTCAGAGAGAGTCTTGCCTAGCTGCCAAGATTTGGAAAACTGCATGCAAGGGTCTGGTTTAGTAGGCCGTCCGCTGACGTAGGAGGGATTATGGAGTGAGGTAGCAACAAAGAGGCGCTGAACAGATGCCTGGCGAATACCAAAATAATCCGATATCGACAGTTCAGGAGGTTAAAGGAAATGTACATCTACAGCAGCTGTTGGTTGTGCAAAACACCGTCAAGTCACTCAACTCCTCGATAATGAACTCAAGCCATTGTCCGAGCGATTTCTGCGTCAGCAGATGCCTTTGTGAGGCTGATGACAAACCATGCGCCAGTCAGGCCATCCAGGTTCTCTTCCTGAAGCTCCGGTTGCACTGGCGGATTGTGGCTATCAAGGTTCTCGCAGCTACAGTAAGATTCCCCCTTTCTTTTCACTGAACGAGGTACGTGCGCGTGTTTTGCGAGACATCAAAGGTGGGAATCTACATATAAATATCTGCAACGGTTCATAAACGGGAGATACATGAGAGGTAGTACCTATTGAATGCTCCTTGGGCTCATGTACCTCGCGGCATGGACTGAACAGCATAAACCAACCGTCCGAACCAACAACTGCAATGAGCTGAACTGCCTCAATGGCACCACCACCACTTGGTATCAGCGCTAGAGCATCTCCTGTCATCCATCACACGCACTCGTGTCTTGAACCGCCGTCAATGGAATGTCTCACAAAGTTCAGAGCGTAAAGAGCTGGTGATCTGTTGCATGTAATCGCCCTTGTTCTGGTGACGACTTGTGCCGCTGGTGCCGCCACTGTGGCGTCCCTCAGGCGATCAAATGGAAATGCAACCACCCCACTGCGGTTCCTGTGCGACGAATCACGGCATGATGCTTTGTAAATGCATGCAGCTACCAGCGATGCAAGTTGCCGGTCCAATCGGATGTGAGCAGAGGTTAGTTAATACGGCCTTAATGTACGGGTATACGTTGTACACATCTTCAAACAAAAAAGGAAAGCTCTATACAGGGATTCCTATCATAGATTGCTTAATGTAGGTTAAGGATGGCATACTCCATGACCATTAAGCGTGATGGAAATTTCAAGTACAAATCCGCTTGGTATACTAAAAGACTCTAGCAACGCAGACTACGAGACTGATACGAATTTATAAGATTCAAGCAGTGGTAAATATAGCCATGTTTCTGCAAAGACCTAAATTGTCTGGCAAAATTGGTAGTAGTCAACAAAAACAGCTCCCTGGCAAACTTTTCCAGCACGAAGATTCACATCACGGTAAAGAATGAGGCCATATGCTTACTGAGATAGAGACTGATATACCAGTACTGTCGCTGCCTTCATTTGCGGTGGCCACCTATCTTTACCTTCTTGTATAATCGCTGCGCTTTACGAGCATCTGGAAATAATTACCTACTAGGTAATCCTACCTAGATCTACCGCTGCACTCTCAAGGTGTTGAATGATCAATTTAGAGTGTTGGCCACGATAGCCATTACTTCCGCCAAAATGTACTCCGTAGAGCTCAACACATCTACCAAGCTAGAAGCTGATATCGAGATGAACCGAAAAAAAAAAAACATTGGTAGGGCAGGCCCAAAAGGACATGTACCTGAGTAGTGTAATTGACCAGGTCATATAATTCTACTCAGCCTCTCAAAGGGAATTGCACGTAATCGATACTGCTCCTCGCATGCCGTTAAACGAGTCTAGCCTTTCTAGAAGCGCAAAACTCCATGGGCCCCGACCGTATTCATTTCAGTGCTCTCGGTAGTGCTCGAGTCACCTGAATTACAGACCTGTAGGAACTATACAGGGTTTGGTTCCATCATCAAGGAGACGAGCTGGATTCTAGAGCCCCTGACGCGCGCTAGAGCTGCAGCAGGTATTTATAGATCTAATAGCAAACATGAAGCATGGATCGATGACAAGTAGTAATCGATGCTGTATAGGTAGGTAGAGAGACATAAATGTGAAAGTGAAACAAAACTCTATTCAAGCACTCTATATTAACTTGAGCATCTGTTTCTCGAGGTGCATGATCGATATTTAGACCCGTGGAGATTCTGCGAGGTACCTGCTGGTTTTGGCAGTACTTTAGTACAATGCAGTTCTCTGCGGGGGGCCTGTTAATTGCCCCCCGCTAAATTTTAGGGAGGCTCAGGGCCTGGTCCCCCAACAAAAAATGGCCGTAATCGTGCAGCCACGGAAGACGTCATGCGTCACTACGGCCTGAAGCGGCGCAAATGTCAAGTTTGTCAATCTACTCTTTACATGTACATGCAATCTTACGACTCCTCGCCTGAATCACATGGAGCGCAAGTCCTGCCATATATGGGCTGCGCCGTCTTTGATTTCTTCTGCTTCTTGGAGATGACTGAGTACCAACACGGCGTGAATCTGCATCACCATGTCGGCCGACACAACGCCGAAGCCCTATCCTGAGCTTGCTCCATACGACGATGCGTATGGCTTCTCCCGCGAATCCTTTGACCCGTCGGCGCTACCAAACATCGACTACGAATACCTCGATTCTGAAGATTTGGCTGCGTTTGAGACGGCATTGCAAGCGCCTGATCCCTTACAAAGCCCCATCGATGATACCTTTAGCCTGAGGTCACCGAGAAGCGTCAGTTCTGTCAACTTGACTAAGAGAGATTCGACAACTGGCAGCGTCTTGGAAGACGATGTCGCCGCTGTCGCAGCAGCGGCCGGGGCTGCTGGGGGCGATCTACTCGTGCCTCCGACTCCGACACTGGGAACCTTTGTCACGGCGCAAAACGACTGGGCACCGGTGAACCCCAGCAAGCACCGCAGAGGCAGCAGACGAGGAAGCAAAAAGAAGAGAAAGGGTGCAGGGGCAGTAGAAGGGCTTCTGGGCACCCGAACAAAGGATGAAACGAGAGAAGGATATCTGTACCTCCTGTCCAAATGGCCTTTGTTATTCTTCGTGTTCTCATGGCTCATCGGTTTGAGCATCGCATATCTATCTACGAGATGGTACATTTGGTTTTACGAACAATTCTGGACGTGGCGCGGCCGACGTGAGATTCTGCGCAAGAACATGCGCAGGACATCCAGCTATAAAGGCTGGGTCTCTGCGGCGAAAGAGTTGGATGAATTCTTGGGTCGAAAGAATTGGAGGGAAGTTGATGACTTTGCTTACTACGACTCCAAAACTGTAAAGCGAGTTTGGAGTCAAATTCGCAAGACGCGGGCCAAGGCCGAGGCGCTCGAAATCGATGGCGACCAGCAGGAACTGAAAAAGGCTGTTGATGATTTGAGGGCACTACTGGAGGCCTGCGTCAAGAATAACTTTGTTGGCGTGGAAAATCCAAGGCTATACAGCCAAACATATTATGGGACCAAGAATCTGGTCCAGAACTTTGTTGACGATGGTAAGCAGCCTGTTTGGATGTTTTTGAAATTCACACTTGGTAGGATGCTAACCCGGGATTAGTCGAGAAGAGCCTCCGATTTCTACTCAACACGGATCACCTCGACGCCGATGAAAAAAGAATACTGTTCAAGCACGTACATGCCAACTACGGACGAACGGCGCTTTGCCTGTCTGGCGGGGCTACATTCGCCTATTATCATATTGGAGTTGTAAAGGCGATGCTTGATGCCGATTTATTGCCCGATGTCATTACGGGAACCAGCGGAGGTGCACTTATTGCCGGCCTCGTTGCCACACATACAAACGATGAACTGAAGGAGCTTCTGATACCAGCGCTTGCGCATCGAATCACTGCCTGCGGTGAATCCATGAAGACTTGGTTCCCCAGGTGGTGGAAGACTGGCGCCCGCTTTGACTCGGTAGACTGGGCTGAGCGGTGCTCATGGTTTACAAGGGGCTCAATGACATTTAGGGAGGCATATGAGCGAACTGGCCGCATCCTCAACGTGAGCTGCGTTCCGGCAGACCCTCATTCCCCGGCCATTCTCTGCAACTATTTAACCAGCCCCGACTGTGTCATTTGGTCCGCTGTGCTTGCATCGGCGGCCGTTCCGGGAATCCTAAACCCAGTTGTCCTCATGATGAAGATGCGAGATGGGACCCTGGCACCATACTCCTTTGGCCACAAGTGGAAGGATGGCAGCTTGAGAACCGATATCCCCATCAAGGCGCTGAACACCCACTTCAACGTCAATTTTACCGTTGTGAGCCAAGTTAACCCTCACATTAACCTCTTCTTCTTTTCTTCAAGAGGTACCGTTGGCCATCCCGTCACACATCGCAAAGGGCGTGGCTGGCGTGGTGGCTACCTCATGTCGGCGATAGAGCATTATCTCAAACTCGACATGAACAAATGGCTCAAGTTTATCCGACACGCGGAGCTACTCCCTCGTCCTCTAGGCCAAGATTGGAGCCAGCTCTGGCTGCAGGAATTCGGTGGCACCATTACCATCTGGCCCAAGTCCATCCCTTCAGACTACTGGCACATCTTGACGGATCCCGATGCGGAGCGACTCGCCCGGATGATACATGAGGGACAGCAGAGTACATTTCCCAAGCTCAAGTTCATATCCAACCGTCTCAAGATAGAGAGACTGATAGAGCAAGGGAGGAGAGAAACCAGGCCATGGGCGAGAAGAGGAAGCATGCAGAGAATTTACAGCGATGACGATTTGAGAAGCATTTTGCTTGAAGAGATGGCAGTGACGTCTTCGACAACGGAAGACGACTCGGAGCAAGATGGCGAGATGAACAGCGAAATTACGCCGTCTCAAGATTGCGATGAGAGGGACGAGATTAGCACTTGAGGAGATACAGGATAGAAGCGAAGCGGATTAAAGCATGGTAGAATTTGGTATTTTTTTCATTACAGCAGCTGTACAGTACAATCAGTATAAGACGAGTAGCATTCTATGTAAGCAATGATGACACATTTTGTCTCACTGGATAGGTTGAGAAATTGGCACTGGCGGTGATTGATAATCGCATGATGTGCACAAAGCAGAATAAAAAAAGAAGACGAAGAAAACATAAAACGTATGCTACATCTATGAGATTCCACGAGATGCTATTTCCGGCATCCCCCATCATTGAGATGCCTATTTGGACCAAAACAGAACCGAAGAAATTTAACGTACAAGTACTCCGTAAGCAGTAGCGAATAGAAGGTTTGCGCCAGTAAACCCGCCATGCCAGCACCTACTAAAACAAGGTACAGGCCCAGCGGTTAGCGCTACTGGCCATTGACGCTCTTGGTGGCGTTTCTTTTGAACACGGTGGCGGAACCGACTGTGGGGGACCGGATTATCCAGCGCCCGAGCCTTGCCGTCTTGCGCCTGCCATCATTTCAGAGGACACTTTTGAAGGGCAACTCGACACAGTTGGCCATCTTTTCTCTGTCTTTGCATTTTCCCAGAGCCGGCTGAGCTCCCCAAGGCCGTCAAAATGAGCTCAGACTACTCGTACGACGAACAGGTATGTGCAGCTTCCCCTGCGTGTGCGGCATTGCGCCGGCCTCAGGATTCGCCTTGTCGAGGTGGGCTTGAGCTCCATGGTTTGGCTGGTGTTTGCTAACCAGGTGTCTTGTCTACAGGGCCAGTTCTTCCCCTTCTTCATCCTGACCGTCACCGGCCTGGTCACCTTTCCTTTGACATACAGTCTTTTCCGTAAAAGCACCGACAACGATGCGCTTGCGCCGCGCATCAAGTCAGATTACACATCCAAGCATGGCGATGTCGTAGCGTCGCTGCGTGCGGCGCAGAAGAGGAAGCAGAGGAAGATCAAGCGGGCCATTTTCGTTGTTTTGGGCTGGGCCCTCATGGCGGGCATGGTCTATCTCATCATGGTGACCCAGAAGGTCGTTCCCAAGATCTGGAACCCTTATGATATCTTGGGTATCTCAGAGGTAAGGAAGACGGCAGCACACATCTGACGGGATGGCAGGGAACCAGGTGACCCCATATATGCACCAGAGCTAACACAAAATTTGAATTACAGTCGGCTACCGAGAAACAGATCAAATCTCACTACAAGAGGCTATCTGTCAAGTTCCACCCGGACAAGGTTCGACCGGATCCCTCCAAAAACGAGACGCTGGAGATGCTCAACGACCGATACGTTGAGCTCACAAAAGCCTACCAAGCCCTGACGGACGAGGAAGTCCGAAACAACTACATCCAATACGGCCATCCTGATGGCAAGCAGAGCTTTAGCATCGGCATTGCGCTGCCTCAGTTCATCATCGCAGAAGGCAACGGCAAATACTTGATTCTGCTCTACACTGGCCTCATGGGTGTTTTGCTGCCTTATATGGTTGGCTCATGGTGGTATGGAACCAAGCGAATGTCAAAGGAGGGCGTCTTGATGGAAAGCGCCAATCGCCTATTCAGACACTACAACGAAGAAATGGATGAGGGTGGCATCATTACCGCTCTTAGCACTGGCAAGGAGTTTGAGGCCGTCCTCAAGGGAGACCAAGCTGAATCTGGTCTGTCCAAAGTCGAATCCCGGATCACAGCTGAAGGCGAAACCGCCCCATTTGCCTGCGGATTCTCCATTAAGGATAAGGAGAAGCTTGAAGACCTGGACAGCGGCGTTCGACGCAAGGTGCTTGCCTTGCTGTGGGCATACCTTGGCCGTGTTGAGCTTGACGACCCTGCGCTCACCAAGGCGAAGTTCGAGGTCGGCGCGGTTGCCCGGACACTGAACCAGTCCTTTGCTGCGATTGCGATGGCATTTGGCAGCATTGGGCCCATTGCAGGATCATTCAAAGCCAACCAGCACCTCATCCAGGCCTTGTCACCCAAGTCTTCTCCCCTCCTCCAGCTCCCGCACATTAACGACAAGGTTGCTGCGGCCATCGAAGGTGACTCGAAATCTCACCTGACTGTGCAGCAATTCATGGACCTCCCTGACGCCGAACGAAGACGACTGGCCGTCGGCAAGGACCTCCTCAGCGAGGACCAGTACAAGGCAGCCATTAGCGTTGGCAAGCAGCTTCCCTACCTCCGCGTCGCCAAGGCCTTTTTCAAGGTTACCGGCGAGAAAGTCATCATTCCTTCATCCCTGGTTACCCTGGTCATCAAGGGCCGATTCATTCCCCCTGGTACCGAGTCGGTTCCCGTCGTTGATGAGCTGTCTCTGGAGGACATTGACCCCGCTGAAGATGACTTGGATGCACTTATGGGACGCAAGAAGAAGACGGTCAAGGGCCCCGATGGAAAGCCCGTCAGCGTTGAAGAGAACTCTGTCCTGCCGCCTCTGACTTTTGCCCCTCACTATGCCCGAGACCACTCTCCCAAGTGGTACGCTTTCCTCAGCGATTCCAAGCAAGACAAGATGGCGGTTCCTCCTTTCACCTTTGACAAGTTTGACCAGCCCATCTTTGACGAGGATGGCAAGCCAACTTTCAACATGCAGACTCTCAAGGCTCAATTCGCTGCTCCCCCCCAACCTGGTCACTACACTTTCTGCATGCACGTCGTCTGCGATTCCTACGTTGGATTCGATACCAAGATGGAGGTCACTCTCGTTGTAGAGGATGCCAGCAAGGCCGCCCAGATGGAGGCTGAGGATGAGATCAGTGAGCCGGAAGAAGGTAAGCCGCCTACCCCCTCATCACGAAGAATACCAAAAGACCAGTTCACTAACACGCTTGATTTAGACTCCATTGCCGGACAAATGCGAGCCCTCAAGACTGGCCAGCCTGTTGGCGGAGCTCCCAAGCCTAAGCGGAACCAGGAGAGCTCCGATGAAGAGTCGGGCACAGATGAGGAAGAGGATGACACAAGTGACACGAATACCGACACGGAAGATGAGAGCTGAGGACCTCCTTGACAATGAAGGGCTGTCATGGAGCTTGTTTCATTAGACTGGAAAAGAAGAAAAACACAAGCAAAAAAAGGAAACCCAAATACTGCTAACTAAAAATGAACAAAAAAAGAGAAAGAGAAAGAGAAAAATTGGCTCGAGCAAATGTACTTTGACAGTGAAGCGCGAGTTGATTTTGCATCGGAGCTACGCTTGAGGCAAGGGAACTAACAGACTGGGTTGGGTAAGCCGTATCTGACGGCGTGGAGTTTTTTTTTCATCTTTTCAGCGGCATAAGGAATTTAATTATGTTGGGTTGTTAGTTTTAACTTGTATTACCTAGTTTTACCTAGAATCATGTCATGCTATTGGAACAAATACAAAATTGGGAAGTAAAGAAAGAGATAACGGCGATGGTCAATTGGTGCTTTTTGGTTGTGCGTTTGTGCGCGTGTGTGAGGTTGTGTGTGAACACTTGTGTGTACTACATCTATGTACTACGTTATGAATTATTATCCGTTCATTGCCATGTGATAATCGTAATGAGCTCCACCATCTCGCCAAATAAAAGATGAAAGAGTATGAGAAGTAAGAAAAAAAGGAGGCCAAAAAAGGAGCACGATGAAAGTAGGACATGGAGAAAGGAAGAGCAGCGAAGCTCTCAACATACTCGCACGCCACAAACCTCGACGCCCTTTCCTTCAATAATAGCCTGTCTGCCAAAATACACGGCAGCAAGCTCCTGCACAAAGAGGGCGTCGCTGGCGCTCCAGACATCCAGGCCCATGGTCTCTATGGACCGGCTGTCTATGGTGACGGGGGCGAGATCGGAGTCATCGCCGCCATTGGGAATCAGTCCTTCGTTTTCCTCGTTTCCCTCGTCACCCTCGTCGCTGTCGCGGTATGTCTCATCCGCGGCATCGACAATGTCCACCATGACGGAGAGCATCTGCGTGGTGAGGCGGTGGAAGTATGTGATGATGGCCAGCTCAATGTTGGCTTCGCCATCGATGCTTGAGCGGCGGCCGGCGAGCGAGGCGATGGAGTTGCTGAGGGGTTCTGATTGTAAATGCGAGGCGGGTGGTGGAAGCGACATGGAGGCGCGGGGGCTGGCTGGGAATAGCAAATCCGCGAGAAGGGCAGCATCGCGCGTCGACTCTTCTTGCTCTTCTGAGCGGATCTGCTCACCCGCACTAGCCCACCACATGAAGCCGTTGTAGGCAAAGGCGGCCCAAGTGACGGGTTCGATGAGCTTGTCGGCAGCGCCATAGGGCTCGTCTTTGACCACGCTAGCGGAATGACTGGTCGACAGCCTCACTGCAGAGGTCTCAGATTCGGGAGATCGGGGAGCTTGGCCGGGAGTGGTGGTTGGGGTGATTGCAGCCAAACGTGCGAGGCCGGTGCGTAGTGCATTAAAGCGACGAAGATCACGCTGGGTGGCTTTGACGATTTTGCCGCCAGCATATTCTACGACTGGCCAAGCTTTGTCCTTGGCGTTTGCTGAGTACTCTGGTGGCATCGTGATGAGCATGTCCCAAAGAGTGTCCTTGGTTGCGAGGATGCTGTCCGTGGTGCAGGCAATCCACCCAGAGCCCGATTCATCGGCATCATCAACGGCGCTTTCATCGCTGCGGTCGCGCTTGGATGCCTTGAGGTCATCCATGAGAAACGAAATGTCATGCACGCCAATGCTGAACAGCGGTCGAAGACGATGGGGCGGAGAAGGTGTAGGTAGGGAGTCTGTGACGGAGAGTGGTATGTTGGATAAGATGGAGATATTATATACTTGGGCACACGTTAGTCTCTTGGTTGGCATTGCCCCAACATTTAAACAGCTACTTACCAAAGTTGCAAATCTCATGTACCGGAGCGTGACAAGAAATTAATATGCGCTGTCGAAGCAAGGCGGCGCGGTGAATGGGGAAAATCAAGGGGCCGAAACTGTCCAGCAGCTCGGGCAAGCTCCAGGCAGGATGGTAGGGAGATAGTTTGTGCTCGGGCTGAAACAGAGAAACGCCATCGGTGAGGGACGAGTGTCTGCCATGGGTCTTGCGCAGCTGGTCTGGCACCGGGGAAATGGGTGTATTGACGGTTGAAAAGGTCTCTCCTTCTTTGGCCTTGTTGGAGTCCCAGTACTTCTCTAATATTTCGGTTTGGTTGCGATTTTTGGCGAGGGTCCTTTTCGACGACATGTCGCTTAGCTAGACCTCTTGGAATGTAGAATGGAATAGAGTCTCTACTTACGCCGCCATTTGCTTCAGGTTTTCGGCATGTCTCCATGCGCGCCCCAGCCTTCCATAGCTGAGGGGGACTAGAATGCCCACGGCAATCATGCGAGCATGGCGGGCCTCTTCCTCTTCGCACGGCTCGTTGACAAATGCGCTCAAACCAGCATGTGCGCCATCGTGGACAAAGTAGATGAGGTCGTCAGACACGGTATGCAGGCCAGACGGCAGCGACTTGTACTCGACGAGACCCTCAAGTTCAACCCCCGGCGCGGATTGTTTCCAGACAATGGTGTAGCCGGCCTTGACGTCGAAATCGATGAGAAACAAGGCGGCAATGGGCGGGAGATCGACGAGGGCGGCAGCAGGGGCGGGAGGAGGGACGGAGAGGGAGGAGGGCTGGGCTCGGCGAGCTGGGGCCATGGCGATTTCGATATGGCTTTTGTATGGATCAGAGCATGATATGGATTGGGCGGACTCGAGGTACGGAGCTCATGCGAGAGGCTGGCAATGGCAGACGAGAGGCCAAGCAGGGATGGGTGGATGGAGCAGAGATGCGTCGGCACACAATCGATAGCTCATGCAATGCGGCAGAACGGAGTATCGAAGCAAAAGTGGACTTGGACTTGATTTGCGGGCTGGATGAAGCAAGAGGGATGTTTTTGATGCCTGAAGTTGGGGGAGTAAAGGAGTAGCAAAGAAAAGCAAAAGCAGTAGCAGCAGCAGCAGTCTTATGCAGCGCAATGTGCAGAGCAGCGATTCGCTCAGGACGCAGCCGCCGAAGCTCCCCGTGCAGGCAGGCAATTGGAATCAAAAGCAGAACGTCGCCATTGCGGTTCGGACAGACAGGGATGCAGCTTGCATGGCGTGTCTTTGCAACTTCTTTAAGCCGAGGGTGGATCAGAATGACCCCAGAATGGGAATAAGCAGATCACGTGATGAAAGTTGCTTGTTGTTTTGGCAGAGAAACAAAAGGGTTGCACTTTACCTATAAAACAGGCAATTAGATATTATTGAAGCAAATATCTAAAGGGAATAGTATATGATGATTAGTTTGTTTTGTTCTGAGCAGCAACTTGGCAATTAGAGAATCTGAAATACCTGTGAGTATACGGTATAAGAACATTGACACACGCTGAAGAAACGCGGGTGGAAGCAAAGAAAGTCATCCCCACATGTCAAACTGGCTACTTATGGCCAATCACAGAGCCTGAATGCCCCCAGGCCCCTCTTCTTCTGGACCAACGTCACTCGCTGGATTCATGGCTTTCCACTCCTTGATCGGTACCTGGCGCTGACGCCAATAGCACCGCTTTCCGTAGGTACACACCACTTATACGTTTACTGCATCTAACAAACTCAAACTCAGTCTTGGTCTGCCCTGCTCCTTAGATATTAGCACTACAGGTAGTTCAGTATTTAGAAGGCGCCTATAAACGATGTCGCCGTTCCCGTGACCACTAACCGTGCCCTTGCTTGTGGTTTCTTCTTCTCCATCCCCCTCTTTCTTCGAACTTGGCCCAGTGATACTCTGTATCCAACAGGAAGAGAAGTATATCACCTTAAGCAAAGGCTTCATACTCATACGACAATCAAAAATGCAAAACACGCATCAGCAGCCCTCAGAAGTCCCTCAAGCGGGGAAACGGACGTCTTCCATAAGTTCGGAAGATATCAAGTTGGCCATAGAATCCTTCACGGCCGCCGGCAATAAGACTCTCAATGCAAGCTCGTTTACGACAGGGTTCGACGACTATCTTAAGAAAGCTGCTGAACGCAACACTGGCATCCCCAGTGGCTACAAACAAGACGCAATTACTAAGGAGATGATGGCGAAAGCGTGGGCTGCCAGATCCTATCCAGGCAAGGCAGGACAAGGAAGCGACAGTCAGGGTAACTAGGCATTATATGGGAGAATAAACAACCTTGAAGAAATTGTAATACTGATAGCGCTTGTCCAATTACTGTACTTTGAAGTCTATGTGTCCGTTAAGTGGGCATTGATACAACAGCATAAACTCGTCTATTGTGATTCTAGTGGCTGCTCAAGGTAGATAATACGTACCTAGGTATGGATGCTATTAACTTTGCTTCAGAGATAGTGATGCATTAGTCCTCCTAATAGTTGGCTGATTACCCACCACCCTTTACTCGCTATCCAATAGTCCAGAGCCAAAGCACTCACTATAACCAGCGGCCGCTGCACAAACCACCTCCCCCTATAAGATATGGTCCTCCTCGGCTTGATTGCCTTGTTTGGCGGAGAGAAGCATGTGTCGCTGTCTGACTAGAAGATTGATGGCTGCAATGATGCTTCCACATGAAAGGAATACAACACATTGATTGATCTGCTTTGTTCTCTAACTACCTAGTAATATCACACAGGTACAGATACTGAAATAGATAAGCATGCCCCTAGCAGCCACTCTACATATGCTCTGGACCTTCTGATCGATAAGAAAACTTCAGGGCCAAAGAAAAACGTGTTGAGAGTTCTGGTCCCCTAAAGAAAATTGCTGCGTTCTCCCCACATGTCAAAAACCACACGGATTCCGGCCAATCACGGCGCCGGCATGCGCTCAACCCCTCTAAAAAGCCCGTTTCCCCAACGTCATTAAAGCCCACCAACCCGAGGCTGGTTCCTCGTACCTGCTGGAGACGCCCGCCGGCACTGCGCGCTGCAGGTAGCTGATACCTGCGGCCGATACAGGCACACCTCCATCTCCAACAAAATCTCCTGGCCACCAACTTTAGTTCCCGTGCCTGTGTGCGCTTGTGATTGTGTCCCTTTGGCCGTCCTTCTTCTTCTTCTTCCTTTTCCCTCCTTCTTTTCCCTTTTGATCTGGTCACATTCTCTCTCCCGCAGTCAAGAGAAGCATTCGGCTCATCGCAGGAGCATGGAACTGTAGCAGGACCAGCCTCGACCGTCTCCCCGCCCTCCTCGGTATCCTCGTTATCCCACTCTCTCGCCTCGGCTTCCGCCCTCCGCCGTACGAGACAACAGACAAGCCTCTCCAAACGAACCCGTCCATCCTCTCTCAACCATGGTCCTCTTCCTTGGCTCCATCGCCAAGTTCCTCGTCGGCTACGCCGCCCTGACAATCTCCTTCTACATGCTGTCCTACGTCGTCCCCAAGGCGGCCTTCGTGGCCCGCGTCCTCGCCGCCTACATGACGCTCATCGCCTGCGCGCTCTACGGCGTCTTCGCCTCCATCGTCCTGACCCTCGTCGGCAAGCAGCAGATTGCGCAGTGGACCGTCGCGCGGGCCTTCCACTACTCCATGCAGCTGACCACGGGCGTCGAGTTTGTCGTCGACGACCCCGGCAACGTCCTCAACACCACGCGGCCCGCCGTCTTCATCGGCAACCACCAGACCGAGCTCGACGTGCTGATGCTGGGCGCCATCTTCCCCAAGTACTGCAGCGTCACGGCAAAGGCCCAGCTCAAGAACGTGCCCTTCCTCGGCTGGTTTATGAGCCTCAGCGGCACCATCTTCATCGACCGCAAGAACAGCAAGGACGCCCGCTCTGCCATGGACGGCGCTGCCACCGAGATCAAGACCAAGCGCCAGAGCGTCTACATGTTCCCCGAGGGCACTCGCAGCTACACCAAGGAGCCCACGCTGTTGCCCTTCAAGAAGGGCGCCTTCCACCTGGCCGTGCAGTCGGGCGTGCCCATTGTCCCCGTTGTCGTGGCCAACTACAGCCACGTCCTCTACATCAAGGGCCTAGTCTTTAACTCTGGCAAGATTCCCATCAAGGGTATGTGTTTCAGATCGTGACGACTCCTAATTAATTGTATTCGTGATGCTAATATCCCTAACCCTTAGTCTTGCCCGCCATCCCCACTGCAAACCTCACCTCCGCCGATGTCGACGAGCTCACCCAGTCCACCCGCGACCTCATGCTCAAGGAGCTCCTCAGTCTCACCGAAAAGGCCCGCGGCCACCCAATCGCCGTCCCCACCTCCCTCAACGGCCACTCCACAGCAAAGAGCACCGCTATCAACTAGAAGTTGGCCGCGGCTAGACCACAGCGTATGCACTCATAGATTATGAAGTCAACGAGAAAGCCCCTTTAGCGATAGAGAAATCGATCCAATATGAAAACCTAAAGAAAAAAAAAAAGAAGAAGAAATAATGGGATGCCCCTCAAGTTAGAATAGATACGGCAGGCTGGCGGATTCAAATGGCGAAATCGGACGGTGGGTGGAAGGGTTACAGAGGGGGGTTTTGACATGTGCGAGGTCAATGTCGAATTGATACCCATTAGAAGAAAAAAAAACAAAACCCTCATATGGCACATTTTTGTATTGTATGGTGATTTTTTATATTGTTTTTTTTACTATCCCTATTTAAACAGATAGCAACTCGCCTGTACAGTTCTTCATCTATATTTCAACCTCCACCTGATAAAAGGAAAAAAGATAAGTCTAAACGCTCTGCATGCGCTTCCCCGTACGCCTCTTAAAAACACGAAGCTGCCAAACCCCAGATGCCACCAACTCTTTTTCCCCCCTTCTTTTTTTCCGATTCCACACATTACCAGGAGATTCTTTGCTTCTTCTATTCTCTTTTCTCATAAACACGGCCAACGTACACGGCGTAACCACTGTACCAAAAATAAGGGGCGGGCATCTATATTTACTCCCTCAAAGCCAAGATGGCCTGGGTAAGGGGTACAACTCTAAGACTGCGGCCTCTCTTCAGCCCGGCCTCGGTCGAGGGATTGTGCAAGAGTGTCGGGCACCGCTCGTCAGTCCACTTGCGGAACACTCTCTTCAGGTCCCGAGGCACACCCTCGAGCACAACAGTCGAGATGGGGATAAAAGGTCTGTCCTCCATGCTGGCAGCCAGGACGGCATATTCCTGAGCAAAGTCGAGGGCGGTGCGGAAGGATGCGTACTGGGACTGAGCCTGGGAGCCAACAATGATGTACATCTCAAAGAAGGCGTCGAGAATGTAGATGTTGAATGTTGACATATCGGCCTGATTGAATGGGCTAATCTCAAAGATCTAGAGAAACGGCTTGTTAGTAAAATGCATTACCAAAACACCATGATGTAACATGTTTTGCTCACCTTTTGCCGAGACTCTACATCGGCACAAAAGAGTCTGCTGTTGTATTTCCCAAAACTAGGTTTCAGTCTCCAGTGATCCGCCGAGTGAGGCTTTGATTCGCCACCCATCATGTCCCAGAAGGAAGCAGGCTCGCTGCCCTCGTCATACTCAATCAGCTGTCCAGTCACCGTCAAGTCCATACCGATGAGGCGTGCACCGCTGAGCTCATCCACATCGCTGCCCTTGCCCTTCCACAAGTAGCAGTTGCCAGAGTGCGTGATGAGATAGGCAAACCCGGCACAGAGGCTGGCCGTCGTAAAGTCAACCTCGTCAAATGCCACTTGGCCTTGATACCGTCGGCCACACAGCATAGACGGCGCAAGCGAGTCGTATCTGGTGCTTGCGCCTCTTCGGACAATGACAATGCCGCCAAGGGCCTGCAGGAGCTCTGGTGTTTCCTTGCCTTGTCTAATTTTGATGAGCTTGCCGCCAAGTTGCTTGGCCTCTTGCTGCGCAACGGCCTCTGCTGCATCCTCGTCTGCATCAGCAACTTCATCGCCGATCCAGAAGTAGACCTCGCGCACTTTCCAGCCGGCCTCATTGGTGAAATTATGCCCAGCAATGTACATCTCTTGTTCGAAGAGGATACGCTCTCGGTAAGCGGGGACAATCATCTGCTTGCCATCTCCATCAATCTGGAACATGTGGAACGACAACGTCTTGCCCTTTGCGCCAATCTTTGGGTAGTTTGTTAGGATATCAGCATAGTCCATGTCACAGGCGACGCTCTCGTATGGCGGTCCAAAGAAGTCGTGGAGTATGGCTGATACATCGTTGCCGTGGCTTGTTTGCGGCCGCGAAGGCGATGCTAATGCTGGCTCAGCCTGTGCCTGTGGTAGCCGGTGAGATAAAGCTGCCGCTGCAGGAGGTGGTGAAGCTGGCCGGGTGTCAACCGCCTTTGGTAGCCCGTTAAAGGATGCTGGCTTGGGTCCTGGCAATGGGGCTTTCACTGCAGCTGAGGCACGCTCTGGTGCAGCGTTTACCGTCTTCTTCACCGGGGACCATGGGCCAGTCTTTTGTTGGATCAGCTTCGCCGCCTCCTTGGCAGCGTCTCCGGTCTTGACCGGCTCCCATGTGCCAGTCTTCTGAGGTGAGAGCTTGCCTGGTGTCTTGGGAGTCTCAGATGTCGCTGTAGTAGCGTTATCCTTGGGCAACTCGAAGAATTTTGACATGCGCTTCAAGTTGAGTTTCTTTGGTGCTTCTACCTCCGGTTTCTGAGGTGTCTCAGGTCGCGATGATAATAGTTGGCCGACCTGGATGGCGGACTCTGTTTGTCGTCTGCGAAGATTCAAGGGGGCAACAGGCTCCACAGGTCGGCTGTCAGCCTCCGGCTTTCTCCCCTCAATAGGCTTTGGCTTAATCGGCACATCAGGCCTTGCGGCCGCTCGATCCTGAATCGGGTGCGAAACTGGTTTCCTGTCCTCAACGGGCGCAGGGAAACTCTGCATTCCAAAGGCGGCGGGCTGCCGGCTTACTGAAGATGAGTCCGCCGGGCCATTTGTAGAATTGCCGGAAGGGTTGCCCACATTAGTCGGGGCCTTTCTCCTCGGGCCACGCGCTCGACTCTTAGTCATGTGTGTCAGCTGAGGGCCTGGTTGTGCAGGTTGAATATCCCCATCGCCTCGTCCTGACTCTTCACCTCGGCTCCCGCCGTTGGAAGCTGCTGCTGGCGGTGGTCCTCGTGCCAGCATCCCGGCAAGGGCAGGGTTAAATCGTCCGGCCAGACCGCCAAGCTTTGATGGAGCACTCTTCTTCTTCAAAAGGTTGGGCAGAGACTCTTCGGTCCGGGTTGGCGTATCGGGTTCCGCATTCTCTAGTCTGGGATTCTCAGTCAAGGTGGTCTTCGTGGGAGTCAAGGATGGGCTGGACTGTTTGGCCAAGTTCACTTGACTTGACTTTCTCTGTGGAGGAGTTGGCTTTGGTGAATCGGAATTCTTCGACTGACCGGATGGAGTTCGATTCTCTAGAGGTGCGTCTTGCTGGAGCACTGCCGTTGACTTACCCAGCTCAGCCCTCATGGCGAGTCCTTCGGGGAGAATAGGCTTAGATTTGTCACGCGGTACCGTACTAGCAATTCCTGTTCCTTCGGCTTGGGCCTTTTTAAAATCATCTCTCTTCTTCTGTATGGCGTCCTTGAATTCGTCCCTAATTATCGACTTCTGTGGCCCGTCAGTCGCGTTGAGAGCAGCTTTGCCGCGGAGAATGTTGTCCTTTAGTTCATCTGGAGCCTTAAAATTTTGAGTCTTGGTCCTGCGAAGGGTACCAAAAACGGCCTTGAACTCGGGCTCCTGGGTCTTGGGAACTGGTGCTTCGGCAGCTCGTGGCTTCAAGTTGCCGCGGAAATCCAGATCCTTCTTTGGCGGAGCCTCAGGTTTGACCTTGGCAGGCGGCGGGTTGATGGGGGAGCTAATAGATTCGGATCGCCTCTCTCGCACTTGATCAAGAGCGCCCCTTGACTTTGATCTTGGCCTTTCCGGTCCATCGGTCATGGGCGTGCTAACCGAGAAATTTTGAACCGATGAGCGAGTAGTTACGGACTGTGTTCCAGGAGGTGAATAGATTCCACCCAGACCAGTGGTGTTGAGGTTCAGCCTCGAGCCCATTGGCGTGGACCTCATAAGCCCATCGATACTAACTTGGTGCTTGTGAGAGGGGGCGGCAGGTCGGCTTGGCTCGGGAGTGGGGTTACCACCACGTCCAGCCTTGTTCCTGTTGAGCTCGACCATCCATGCTGGTTGTTGCGAGGATGCCGGCTTCGGGGGTACCTTTGGCGAGTCTGGTTTGTTAAGGGCGCTCTCGAGCCAGCTTGATTTTGTCGGACTCCAGCGTCGAGGCTCCATTGTCTTGGTTGGGGAAACTGGAAGGGCTGCATCATCAAGAAGTTCATGCCTCTGGGGCTGAGGTGGACTCATGGAAGTTGGTGTTTTGGGACGCCGTTCACGAGGGCTTGTTTCGAATGATTTGGCGTCCTTTTCTCCATGGCGAGAAGTTGGTCGGGAGGATGGACGAGAAGTCGGCCTACTTGTTCCTGGCGTTGTCGTTGCCATTGCCGCTGTTGGGTCACGAACAAACATGCTTTGCGGTCTTGACGGAGCCGCACCCCTGTCAATTGAGCCACGATGAGTAGTCATGTTGTCAGGGCGAGTCAACGCAGGCGGGCTGGCAACAGACCATCGCTTCACGCTATCACTCCTCTTCATCATTGCGCTCTGCACAAATCCGCCCATGCCCTTGGTCGGAGAGGTTGTGCGCACAGGAGACGTCCGGCCAGTTGCCGTTGGGGCGATTGGTTCCGCCTTGGGCCTCTCAGTGGCTGGATTGTCGAAGCTGGGAGGGTTCAGGGAAAACGGAGATGCAAGCTTGCCAAGAACATTCTCGCCTCGCGAGGCAGGGCGCTCCCCAGAGCTTTCGCTGGTCATGCCGGGCAGCTGAGCGCTGAGTGACGACATGTCGAGTCGGTCATCGTCTTCCACCTGGTTCCGTCGGTACGCTGCAGAGTCTGCGCCTCTATCGGCGGTTTGACGGAACCACGAGGCATCCTTGGATCCAAGGCTTTTGGCGATCTGGTCCTTGGACAGAGGTTGAGTGGGAGACGGTGGCTCCTCTACAGCCGAATCGTACGTGGCAGCCGCATTTCGAGCAGCGACAACGCTCAGCGGGCGGCTGTTGGATCGGGTGGTCCGTCGCTGCCACGAGAGTTGTGAAGCTCTTTGAGAAGCTGTGGCATCATCGCCCCGCTTTGCGTCGAGATCCTCAGGGGCCTCGTTCTCTTTCGTCTGGGAGGTGGAGTACAGCATTGCATCGGGTTGTGCATCCGCCTCCAGGGGTTTCTCTGTCTCGGTCGATCGTTCACGCAGCTTGTCCAGGGACTCGCCGGCTGGAGAGTCGAGTCTCAGCGATTCGGAGAGGTTGACGGTTCGCCGGATTGTGCGTGGTGACGGCGTGTTGGCTGGCGATGATTTCTGCGGTGAGATGGATCGGGCGCGTTCTTTTGAATAAGGCGGGTCAGCGTTGTTTCATTAGTAGGCCAGGTCCCGAAATTCATATATGCTCGCTGCTTAGGGTCCCCATAGCAGATCTAGGGGGAGGTGAGGAGAGCCGTAAGAAAACATTTGAACACAAAGTAAATAAACCTTGCCTGGTGGCAACCTCAAATAGCTCGGCCAAACGAACACCATGGCAACAAGGCAGCGGCCAAGAAAAGCCAGAGCCTCACACCATCGGGTAGCCACCTAGCAACAGGTACTACACTCCCGATGTCGTGAAGAATAGCGAGAATCAAGACAAAAAGAACAAGGCACTCACCCTCTCTTCTGGCCTGGCGCTCTCGTTTGGCAGCAAGAAACTCCTCCCGCTCTCGGGCTCGCATCTCATCGTCCTCTATCTGCTGCCCCCGCAGGCGCTCGACCTGCTCGAGAAACTGCGATACTTCGTCCGACATGGTGGGATTGGCAACTCTACCGGTGCGTAAAGGCGGCTGACAATGGCATGGCACGGAGGAAAGAGGCTGCCTGTACTTATTACGCTCTCGAGGTCAAGGCCGAGGTCGACGTCGAGTTTGAGGTTAGGATTCTTATGTCTGGTGTCGTCCCTCAAAACGGATGGACGTTCATACGATAGGTAGCAGTTTACCAGAAACTGGCTAGACACGGGTTTTATTGGGCTACATAGCGCGTTGCCGTGGGCTGCGGCGGCCCGCGGGGCTGTCTTGGAGGCTGTCTGGGCATTGACGGCCCCTGTAGTCCAGCTCCAGCCAGGAGAACCACCCCGGCGCTACAGCGGCTCATGCAGGGTGCGTTCAAGGGGGTTCCGGTAATATATCCCAACGCCATGAAATTGGATCTCAAATCGGCACAGAGCACAGAGCATCTATTGCATCTCCTTTTTAGAAATCGCCAATTTGCAACGCGGCATCCCGGCCTCTCCTGAACGGTAGGCAAGGCTCGAGCTCGCTCTGTCCCAAGTTCTACGGCGAAGGGGGTTTTCGCTTTGTTTACTTTTGCCCATAACAGTCAACACACAACATAACCAAAACACGAGATTTGCTAGTGCCCGTCTCGTCAACAAACCCAAAATCTCTTCTGAACCCCCTCCAACAGCCGTAAAGGGTGCGAAGTGACATCTTTATACTCTGATTTTGTGTGGCTCCGTCTGTCTTGCCTGCGTGCCTGGGAACAGCATCTGATCGAGGCCTTGCTGCTACGGACCAATCATGGCCCTAAGACGCCCGTCAGGCGAATTTGGTGCGATGAGGCTATCCACCCGTCTTGCCATCGCCCTTGACAACTGGTCCACACGGTCTTATCACCGCGTTGTCTTTGTGCTACTTCCGTGCTCCATACCACTGATCGCCGACCATTGAGCTGGAGGTGCTGCTAGTGACATGAGGGACAAGAAGTGGTCGTGCCAATACGAGAACAACATTGATGAAGAGATCTGCTAGCCAGCAACCCCTTGATGAAGTCGCATGTGCTCGTGCCACAGCCCAGTTCTCTATCCATACGTAAAATGCGATGCTTCAATAAAATAAATACGAGTACATGGAGCACACTTCATACTCCGTCAGCAGCCTCCCCTTGGAAATTTGGATCATCTAATACAGGAACAGCCGCTTCTTCGCGTCCTCCACTACCCACGACATTCCCTCATTGAGGTTCTTGCCCGTCATAGCAGACGAGGGCAAAACATGCCATTGATGCGTCCGTATGTCGTTCAACCGTAGCAGCTAGTCAAAACTCTATTAGACGCCATTCAATCCTCCAAAATAGTCTCAAGGGGTATCTCACCGTAACAATCTCCTCTTCCGTCATGCACCCGTCCACATCCGTCTTGTTGGCAAATATCAACAAGCAGGCTCCCGCCAGACGCTACCCTAGACGTTAGCTCCCATCCACCACAACAGCGAGTCACCGGTTGCAAACCTCTTCTTCCAATAGACCGTGGAGCTCTTCTCTGCAGTCGTCTATCCGTAGCCGATCTGTTGTGTCAACGACCCAGATCAAGGCGTCTGTCTTTTCGAAATAATTCCGCCAGTATGACCGCAGCGTCTTCTGGCCACCCACGTCCCCTACAGTTGTCAATACCAATCGCGCCTTGCCAAGTCCGCAAGAGCTGCCTTACAGATGTTCAGCTTGTATCTATCATCATTTTATTAGTTTTGGGCCATATTTTTAGCTTGAGCAAGGATGAATCACCCTTCGTAGTCAATGGTCTTGATGATAAACCCGAGCGTTGGGCTGACGGTGTTCACATCTTCACCCATAATCTTTTTCACGATCGTCGTCTTTCCGGCATTGTCGAGACCTCTTTCGGTAAATTAGACTCTCGAGGCATCGGTGTAAATAAATCATTTGGCACATACAGCATCAGAATTCGCATCTCTTTATCCTTTAGGCGAGCTTTGCGTAGGATGGATAACATGTTGCTGGCGGCCCAAGGATTATCTGCCGAGACTGTGTTCTTCCTTTTGGCGAGAGCGCTTGCTTAATCTTCGACGAGGGCCTTTTTCATGTCTTTTCAATCGAGATGCCGTGTATTTAAAGATGCAATACCACCTTTAGGCACCGGTGGTCGAGAAACTCGAAATGTCAATTTATTTGTCTGCCTGATAGGTAGCTACTAAACTACTACTAATCGTGTTCTGTGCTGCAGAAGCACAGTGTATATTACACGTGATGCAGAGATTCCCCATAGTTTTTTTCAACCCTCAACTCCTGGCATAGATGCTCTTAATGCATAAATAACTTTACTGCTTTTTGTAAAAGACCAATCGTTTAGCAAATTCGATTGTACCATGTCGCGGCAGAAAGGCCCGTCGCCCCTGATTTACAGGTTGTGGGCGCCTGGAAAAAGATCCTCGATATTAGAGAGAGGTTGCGATTCCCTCGCCCAGAGAACAAGGTCAAGCCATTGGCTCTCATAGTAACGGTCGGTCTTGACGGCGCTGGGTAAATGGCACATTTTTTGGAACTCAAATTTCTGCAAAAACTTGGTCGCCAATTTGAGAGCTGGATCATCTGTGCCGGCGCAGAATGTTTCGACAAAGATCCAGGCGTATTTTCGACGATTCTGACACGCAATTGATTCATACACCTTTGAAGTATCTTGGCATTGCCACTCGTACTCTATTGCTCTTCGGTGGAACGGCGAGGTGCAAAGTAAAATTCTGTCAAGCAAAGCAGAGCCGTACAGCTTGCCACGGTGGTCGGGATGAACGATGACTTTGGCTTGGCCAGTATGTCTGGCTCCAGGGCATGGGCCTCCGAGTAGACCTTGTCTGGCTTCCACCACAAAGGCAAAGCCCAATATTTCTTGAGGAACCTTTGCCTGAGTTGAGCGGAATGCGAGGTAGCTTTGATACGCCTTTGTGGCATTCTCCGGCCAGTTGGAACGATCAATCAGAGGATCCTCAGCTGTGGTAGCGACAACAAAGGGCTGCAGATTATCTCGGCAACTGTCGTATATCTTTTGGACACTAGCAGCAGTGACATCCCTCCATTCTATGATCTGAGGGCTGTCTTTTGCCCGGCTTTCCATGTTGATTATGGCAGCGATGGCTTCAAAGTCCTCGGGCGTAGCGGGTCGTACTATGCATTCGGCATTTGGTGCAGTCGCCGGTTCAACAGGTATAGCCTGCGCTTGAGGCTGTATCTGCGACCTGATCTTGGTTGCAAGCATCTCTCGGCTTCTGATTTCTCTGGTTATTTGCAGCTCGACCGTCATGTTGGCCTGTCGCCAAGCGATATCTCTATGATCACGCGAAGGACCTTCGTGAAGGGTTTTGAAAGTATCGGGATAGCGTAGTTCCGGCAAGAAAGCTCCCGTTTCGGTGTCAATGTCCTTATTGTAATGAGAGATTGCACTCTGAGACGCCAATGAATGAGCAGTTGCAGGTGGATTGGAGGTTTGAAGCAGCCAGGTCATAGTTCGCGATACGTTGGCACCCTCGGGCGTCTCATGTTGGTCTGGCTCATCCAAGTTGCCGCCATCTGAGAGGCCTTCGCTTATGTTCCATGATGCCCTGCTTCCCTGAGACTGTACTTCAAAGCCAGTCAATCCTTCAGTGATTTGTGGCGACTCTGCTGGCATGGCCTCAGATTTAATCATCAGTCCTCGGGTCTTGGATTCTGGCTCAAGGACCCTATTGAGACTCTCCAAGATGGTCATTCGTGGTTTGGTAGCATTGAGGTCGGGTTCTCCACGATCCTGTTGGCTGGTCTCCGACATACCAGTGGCGCTTGGATAGGTAGGATCTTCAGTCATCCTAGCTGAAGCGTTGCTGGACACTTTGGTTTGGTCTGAGCTTTGATGCTCAGTGATTGCAGCAGCACTGCGGTGGGCAACCTCATGCTTTGAGAAGTTGGGTGTCTTTGGCGTCACGGGATCATTCTTCAGCCACTCTCTGAGGGCAGTGAATTTCTTTATGACCTTTCCATCCCCCGCCGAGGCGGCATTGGATTTGTGGGACACAGGTGTCAAGTCCATTTCACTAGCTATGCGTGCGGTCAGTGACTTATTCATGATAGATAGAGTGGATGGGGGCTGCAGATACCTTTGGCTGTGCTGAACTGCAGCAGCACCAGATGCAAGAGAGCGATGTTGGAGCGAGCCTGTTTGAGAAGGGAAGAATTTTGCGAGAGAAGAGAGAGATAGAGAAGGAGATTTTATAGGTACGAAGAATTGTGCGAGCAGCTGTGTGCAGAAAGCGCCGGGGAGTGCTCGCCAGCTGGCAGCTCGAGTTATCAGGGGCAGAGCAACTCACGTGCCATCACGTTACAAGTAGTTTGGAACTGCAGGAGCAATATGATGCTGGCCAATGTTTGATTGGAGAGGCTGAAGAACATTGATGAAGAGACTGGCTTTATTTTCCTGTCAATGCTATTTGAGAGCCCGAACAGCCATCAGGAGATGGTAGGTGTTGCTCTGCTTTGTTGTGCTACAGATGACTCTGCTGCTACAGGGCTCGGAGCAAAGCTGTGTATCATCTCTAATCTATGTCTACCAGCACGTAGCTTGGCTAAATGTTCTAACAGCGGCTTGGTTTGCCGCTTATCAATCCCAACACGGAACGCAAATGCAGAGCGATACACTCTGCTGTTCAATAAGCGTAAATGTCAAGATCGGCTAACCAAGTTGTAGCTGTACTCTTGCCTAGGAAATATATCAGACGAGAATACGGAATGACGTTTTAATTCATCGTAGTTATGGGACTATAGCACTGGAGATGTCGAGACTTTAAGGGATATAGAGCTTTCTTATACAATGACCAGTCTACAGATAACGGTCGTTAGCATGAGAGAAGAGCCAATCTCTCATACGAGAAAGGTAACGAATGCAGAAGCAAAAAAAGGTGCAAATACTTCATATACCCAAAGAGTTCTACCACAAACTCTGCTCGAATATTACTTTAGCGAGTCACGATGCTCTTGTGTATTCTCACAATGTGTATCCTAAAACTACCGGCACAGTAGTTGCAGCTAATTTTAATTAGAAAAGTACAGTGCGTAAAAATGATTTGCCACCTCCAAACCTCAGTATACTAAAATTGCAACGCTTGGGAACATCAAATGGGGCCGCGTGGCCTAATGGCTAAGGCGCTAGATTTCGGTTGAGAATCACCTCCTCTAGAGATTCCAGGTTCGACTCCTGGCGTGGTCGGTTGGAAATGTTCAATTTCCGCTGTTTCTTTTTTTATACTCTTGATACACTCTGTGTGTATCTCTTTTTTTTTCTTCTACGAGTCCACTGGTGGCTGGTGGGAGATTTGGATATTGATTTATGCAATGGGATTCATTAGCCACGTGCAGAGTGATCGACGTCTTGTTTGCGATTGGCTGTGGGGAAAATCAGTGACGGATTTACATACTCCATCCAGTAAGACAGGCACAGTCTAGCAGTATGTATAATATGACGGCTGCTCTTAGTATTGGTTTTCGCGGATGCCGTAAGTCAAAAGCGCCACGCTTTCTGACGGCATCCGCGACCCTCCAAACGACTCAGTTTCCCCAAATGGCTTATTCCCATTACTACAGTATTAATGTCTGTGCATCGTTCTTTGTCTTTGGGTGTGTCATGAGTGCGGGGATTTGCCGGGCTATTGGCCACTAAGAATCAACTAAAACTCATCCGAGATCGGGCTCGTCGCAAACAAATCTAGTAGTTGCGCTTATCGTCGTCTTGAGATCCGGCACAACCCTTTGGGCCAAAAGTTTCCGCACCCCGCAGGCGACGACCTTTTGGAAATTGCAACTTGGGCCGTCAATCACCAGCCTTGCTCTGAACGCCATAAACAGAGGCAGTTGGATTGTATTGTTTCGACGCCAATCGGGCTTCTTTCACCATGTCTGCCTCTCTGCCGGGATCGCGAGACCTGCCCTCGTCGCAGTATGATTTGTCCACTTACTTTGGACGGGTCAGGCACACGATAAGCATCACGGATCCAAGGTGAGCTACGACGGCTTTTGATTTGCGTGTTTGTTGTCAAGGCGGAATTGTTAACGCGTATCGTGATTCTAGCACTCTGCTCGCTGGTTCGCATGGACTCGAAAATGCCAAAAGACTTGTCACCGAGTATAAGACGGGAAAGTTGGAGCACATGACACCCGAGCTTTGGCACGCCAAGAAGATTGTCGACTCAACTCTTCATCCAGGTATGGCATTGGCGATGGGAATTTAGGAATATGCCAGGCTCAAGAGCAAAAACTGACCTTTGTGGATAGACACCGGAGAACCAGTGTTTCTGCCCTTTCGAATGTCATGCTTCGTCCTTTCGAACTTGATCGTTACGGCCGGTATGCTGCAGCCTGGTCTTGGAACAGCAGGCACCGTGGCATGGCAAGTTGCCAACCAATCGCTCAACGTTGCCATCAACAGCTCGAATGCGAACAAGTCATCCCCACTGACCACCGCGGATCTTGCCAAGTCATACGGTATTGCCGTCACGGCTTCGTGCTCGGTGGCCCTCGGACTCAACGCATTGGTGCCAAGGTTGAAAGTGACTCCTGCTACAAGAAACGTCCTGAGCAGACTGGTACCGTTTGCGGCCGTGGCAACTGCTGGAGCCCTCAACGCATATCTGATGCGACGAGGAGAGATTGTTACCGGCATCGATGTTCGCCCCGTTCTCTCCGATGCGGAAAAGAAGAAGCTGACTGAGGAGGGAAAATCCGAGGCGGACGTCCCATCTCTGGGCAAGAGCCAGAAGGCCGCCAAGATTGCTGTCTACGAAACTGCGGCCAGCCGTGTCATCAACAACACTCCCATCATGATTATCCCTGCTATGACCCTCTATCACATTCAGTTTAAGCAAGCATGGTACAAGAACTTGATGGAGAAGGAGTGGCTTAAGGCCCGACCGCGGATCGCCCAGTCCATTCCTATTGGTATCAACCTGGGCTTGATTGCTGCTGTTGGCTTTATGGCACTTCCTTTGGCATTGGCGGTATTCCCCCAGAGGCAGGCGATTAGTGCCAGCAGCCTGGAACCCGAGTTCCAGGACAAGGGCGGACACGATGGAAAGGTCTGGTTCAACCGCGGCCTGTGAAAAGCCAGCACTCTTGACGACACGAATTAGCGAGGTGACAACATTTGTGTGTTTCGGTACATCTTTCGAGCGTTTAGATCAGGCTCGTCAACTCGACGACATGCCTTGTTGAGCATACCCAGATAAACTACACTTGGCTGCCGAGAAATACATCTCAAGACATAGATGGATGCTTTGTCCAGGGGCATCCATTGGAGGAATGGGCTGGGCAGGATTTGGGAGGTGTCACAGAACCGACATGTGCCTAGCCGCCTCATTATAATGCCTAACTTGAAGAAGGCAGTGTTGGTAGATGGCGCAAGGCTGAGCGCGTGGAATTATTGCCTAGACTTTATGCGAGCTTTTTTTTTATGCGTGTGTTCCTTTTTAGACAGTAGATCAAAGATTACCACGAGTCAATATTATGGAGCAAGCCAAAGAAACGTTGCATGGACGATTGGAGGGAGATGTGCAATGGGATTCTGCAAGCCGAGCCCTGTTACATGTAGAGAGGGAGGCTATCCAGCATCCCAGGTCAATTATTCATCATCTAGCATCATAAATTATACTGTATGCTAGTAAAACCGGAAGCTATTATCAAACCCCCTCAGGCACAGGAGGAAGATAGACGGCGATAGTAACATATGTTGGTAATACTACTAGATAGAGTAAATGTACTTCCTCTGTATCTTGCTACGACACCTGAACTGTAGTCGTTTGGGCGTAAATGCTTATTTTGGGCTCCTGGATCCCTACCTGTAGCCACTCCTTAGGCACCTACCTACCTGGGTATATACAGCGTTGAAATGTAGTTGTCATGTATCATCAGTTCCTTGCATTCACATGTCAACGCAGATGGAGCCTGGACTGCGAGCTGTAAGGCTCGGTTAGGGATTATGTCAGTGGTTGGGGCTTACGAGCACGACTAAGTTACGCCGTACAATGCTTTCCAATCCAGGCAGAGCTCGGGCAACAAACAGTTGGGTATTCCGCCCAGGCGGGACATTATTAGAAATTTGTTTGCTGACAATGCAGCTTCCTCCTCTGCGCAATTGCCGAGCGGTCAGAAGAGGAATGTCGAAAGATGGATTGGAGGGACGGCATGCATGTTAACGTTGTGAACCTGGTCATCAGCAGGATTACTTCGTAAATGCAGGTACGGCCGTATGCAATCACTGGACGAGCTGGGCTGTCTTGGGCTCGATCTTTGAAATCATTCACATGGAGGTTCTGTGGTGATAAGAAACACTGATAGTAAAAGGTACGGGAGGCCTGTCCGCTCATTGCCACAAGATGATCGGATTTGTGGACTGTGTGCAAAGTACATGTCGTCGGAGTAGCTCTGCCGCATCGCTTCTAGCTGGCTGAAATGGATCTAGAAGATTGGCCTGGCCCTCGCTCGCGTAAGACGTAAGTTGCCTATCAGAGGGCTGGGCAAGCAGGTGGAGAGAGAGGGCCAGGTGAGCGGGCTTGTAAACTGGAGACACGCAAGGACATGCAGGGCTTAATGTGCGTGAGTGACGCAACTAACGGCGGAGTGCCTGTCCTGTGCAAACGGCGAGAAACAGGAACATTGTTAACCCATCCATGGTCGAGAATCGAACGATTTCCATGGCGATTGAGTGATGGAAAGGAGGGGGTGGATGTGAGTGTGAGAGTTGGCGCATCGGTGGCTTGAGTCGAAAAGGCGCAAGGCCGAGTGCAGCGGCGCGGTTCGACGGGTTTTAATTAACGGGCACCGCGACTTGGCACCAGGTTCTCGCGTTGGCGAGGAGAAGGGGGGATGGTTTGTTGCATCGAGAGGCATAGACTTGCCATTTAGCCTCTGTCCACCTGGGCGGGCGAATAAGAGCAACGCGGTTATGGGATTGCATGTTGCTGCCGAAGACGAAGACAAAGACGGCACCGTCCAGAAGTTGAGAGTGACATAATGCCTGTGACGGCGAGAGGGAGACAAGACGCGACTAAGGCAGCCCGTCCGAGATAACGTGTATGTACCGTACTAGTAGTACTCCAGACTCCAGACTCCTCCATCAACTTTGCGGAAGCGTCAAGCAGCAGAGTTTGGGTGGCGAAAGTCGAGGCACAACTGAAGTGGCCGGTCGAAACTTGTTTGCGTGAATCTGTCGGACCGGGTCTAGTGGAGGCATCGGCTTGGACGCTGCATGGAGGATAAATTGGATTTCCTGGGCTTAATATCAAGAGCCACGCTCCGGCCTTTCGTTGGAAAGCTGAAATTCAATTAGGATAAGCGCGGACAGCGGGATGCGTGACTTGCGAGTTAATGCAAGTCGATGGCAGTTTTTGCGTGTGACGTGCGAGGACGAGCAGCCCGCGCTATTGGGGCCCTTGGGATTTGGGATTAGGGAGCAGCTGAGGGTCTTGATTCGCCGAGAGGGGGCCCTGTGTGTTATTTTTTCCTTTTTTCTACGGTCGAGATTTGCTGCAATGCGAGTGAATGAAACCTCTGGACCGGCGCACGAGGGCCCGCGGCAGCGGAGATGACAGGATGGGCCGCGCTTATTATATCTTGCGGGCTGGGAGGCTTTGCTTTCTTTTTTTGGCCGTTTCTCTTGTGCAAGGGTTGGCGATGATGCCTGTAACTGGAACCTTTTTTCAGGACTCGGTCATCTTTGTACGACGGTCGAAAAGGGCAGTCCGGAGAGCAGCGGCGGACTGGGGTCTTTTTTTCTGGTCTCCGTCCTTTTCGCTTTTCTTTTCATAGTTGATTCTGATAGAGTAACGGTGTGTATTCACGCTTGGCTGTGATACGTGATACCGTAGAGAGGGCTCTAGGCAGGCAGACCCTCATCCTTCGGCTGGGCGCCCTGATAACTCCGACAGACGCGGTTGGGCTGAAGCTTCTGGCTCTGCGGCTCGTATGGCAGAGGCAGAGTACGAGCGTCAATATCATGCCGTGCCGTATCACACACACACGCTGCACTTCTGTCTGGCTACGGGCCGCACCCACGGCCTTGGACTTTGTTTCCTCCCACTCCACCCATCCCTCTGTTTTTTTCCTTTTTCGCCCCAACAGCTAAACCGATTATCGACAGCGGCACTGTTGGTTGTCCGGCAATTAAAAGGTGAAGAGGATACAACAGAGTGGCAGTGGAAGCGTGCTGTGTTTCATTTTGCCTTCTCTTTTCGACCGTAACCGGACTACTTTATTAGTAGGAGGTAGTAGTGGAATAAGAGTGGTCCCTGCGCCATGGAGAAGTACGGATGACCTGTAAGTAATGGATCAATAATTGATGACATTTGATCCGTTGAATTTGATCCGGTTTGGATTCTGCTTGGACTCTGCTTTGCATCTTGTGCTGGGATCCATCACTGGCATTTTCTTGCTGAACCTTTTTCGTCTTATTACCGTGCCTTTCCCTCTCCGCCCGCCCCAAGTAGGATCAAACTTTGACTTGCGTCGTTTGCGTATCATCAGTAATGCTTCTGTGGCAAACGTTTCGTTTCGAGTCGTGGAGGAGGCACTAGATACGGGGAACCCGCCGCCGTTCAGCTAGTGGAGGGAGGCTCGGTAAACTGCTTGTGCTGTACTCGTACAGTACGAGTACATGTACGTACCTACTAATTCCTGAAGACTCGGCACCTTGATGGGAATCGAATTGACTGCGAGCTCTGCACTGGGGAGAAATCCCACTGACTCGGTAGAGCCTCATTTTCATTACCTCTTGAACTTTGTACAGTACTGTCCATAGCATCGATAGCAAGGCGAACACCCAGCAGTGAAAAAGGGCCCGAACAAAAATGAGCGCCCTGGAGCTGCGCTCGCCTCCAGGGCCCCTGCAGCGCCTGCGTCCCCGAATTTAGCGCAGGCTTCTAGCGGCCTGAGAGGCTGGAGCGGTGCGCGCAGGGCAGTGCTACTCTGTTACTGAGCACTTGAGTTTCTCACGCACTCCAGTGTGAGCTGCTGTCTTGACCTAAAACACGCCATCGCTCGAATGGTCGTTGTCCAGACTCAATTCCAGCCCAATTCATCATCCTACGGCTTCTTCCAAATCGTTGATGATTGATCCAGACGAGAGCTGTAGTCTCTAGCCTCTGGCCTGGAAACGAAGAGAGCAAAACCCGGCAGGGCTTCCAACGTTTTCCCACGCAGCCGCTGTTTTTTTGGGGCACTTTGTTAGCAAGACCCTGCTAAAACGCCTAAACATTAAACACAGTGGGCGTCTCTTCCCTGGCTCGGGTCATCTGCCTCAGGTCTGAATCTGAATAACCGCCTCTCATTCTTTGCTCTTTGCAACTTCAACTTGAGCGTTGAGAAGCAAGCAATCTCAATCACTCAATCTTCTCGCACGGCATTCTCCTCCATATCCATCACCAGGCTGCAAACCCACGCGTGTTCTGGTCCTGAGGGACTATTGCAGCGATGTCGACTCCTACCACTGCGTCTTCTGCGGTTTCACTTTTGCCGCACATACGCTACTTGCATCACCCTTCGTACTCTTCCAACTACTCTTCTTCTTCCAACTACCGCACAACAACAACAACCGCGAATTCGCTGCTGCCCGCAACGGCAGTCGTGGACCACCAGCCGGCGCTGCAGACTCCGGCTCGCCCTCAGTCTTACTATCACCATCACCCGCCTGCTGTCAACGCGGGCTACAGTCTGACGGATGGCGTAGCCCAGAATTCACCATCCGCGCCTCGACCCCCTCACGGCCACTACAGCCATCAAGACGCCAGCTCGTCCGCGACGGCTCGCTTTGACGACAGCTACACATCCACCATGACTAGCACGACGACAGCCTCTGGTGTCGTCCCTGCCCCGGGTCGCCCTGCCGCTGAAGACCAGCCCTCCAGAAAGCGTCGGCGCTCTCGGGAGCCTGATTGGAATAATTTCTACCGGAACGGCCTCCCCAAGGAAATTATCGTCATTGACGATACGCCTGAGCCGGAGGCCAACACGGGTCGCAAGATCACAAATGGCAATACCATCGTGCCCGACTCGGCCGCTGCCACTGCTGCTCAGCAGGCCGCCAAAAAGCGAAGACGAGACGACCCGCCACTGGGCTACCACGTCCAGTATTTGGGCGGTTCACACACAGGCTCGCACACAAACACGCCCTTGCCCAACGCTACGCCTGCTGGCTCTACTCTCTCTAGCGACCGAACAAACTCGGCCTTGAATACCACTGCGCCCACATCTCTGTCTTCAAACAGCCAGTATGATGACTTGGCCGCGCCATTAAAGCGCAAGCGCACAACCCGCCAACAGGCTGCCAACGAGGCTAAGCGGAGGGATGTTGACGGCTTGGGAGGCGCCTATATGGCTTACAAGCCTCCCCCTTACCCGCCCAAGAAATCTGCTGAGGTTCCCGTTAGAGTCATTCATGATGTAAGTCTGAACCTGTGTTGTCTCTTGTTGTTTATACTTGTACCGATTAAAAAAAATGTTTTGATGAGAAATCGCCACCTGCTAACCGCTTCTTCTCCTTCCTCACAGCGTCACTATAGCAAAAACGCCAAAGTCGATGATGATGACGGCCACTATATCGTCGTCCCAGATGCAGAACTCACTGAAAAGTGTATGTACACACAAACAAGCCCGTCTCTCCTGGGACCATTGACGGCTAACACCATTGTTTCTAGATCAAATTGTTCGTCTCCTTGGACAGGGTACCTTTGGCAAAGTGGTAGAGGCCCGCGATGTCAAGAGAAACAAGCCTGTGGCTGTCAAGATTATTCGATCCGTCCAGAAATATCGCGACGCTTCTCGGATCGAGCTTCGCGTCCTGGCTACACTCAAGGCCAACGACGAGGAGAACAGAAATCGTTGCATTCATCTGCGGGACTGCTTCGACTACCGCGGCCACATTTGCATTGTCATGGACCTTCTGGGCCAAAGCGTTTTCGATTTTCTCAAGGGTAACGGCTTTGTGCCCTTTCCTAATAGCCAGATCCAAAACTTTGCCAGGCAGCTATTCACCAGTGTAGCATGTAAGTATACGAGAAACCAGAAATCCAAGCAAAGAAAATTGTGGCAACAACTGACTGGACGTCTTCTAGTTCTCCACGACCTGAACCTGATTCATACTGATCTCAAGCCGGAAAATATTCTTTTGTGTGATAACTCTTATCAAACATTTACCTATAACAGGAAGATCCCTTCATCATCTACCACGATCAATAGGCAGGCTTCTCAGAGACGAGTGCTTCTTGATACCGAGATTCGCCTGATCGATTTTGGATCGGCTACATTTCAGGACGAATATCACTCGTCGGTTGTCAGTACCCGCCATTATCGTGCGCCGGAGATCATCCTTGGCTTAGGCTGGTCTTTTCCTTGCGACATATGGAGCATAGGATGCATCCTAGTCGAGTTTTTCACCGGCGATGCCTTGTTCCAGACGCATGATAATCTCGAACATCTGGCCATGATGGAGGCTGTCGTCGGCTCCCGGATAGATACCCATCTTGTTCAAGCAGTCAACAAGATGTCTACGAGGAGTGGAGGGAACCCTGCTTCAAAGTGAGCACCGCCACTCTTTATCAACGATAATGACCATGCTAATCGGATATCTCGCAGATACTTCAAGCGCCTTAGGCTCGATTACCCAACCCCGGATACAACCAGGGGCTCCCGACGATTTGTCAAGGCTATGAAGCACTTGAGCGTATGTTTTTGAAACCACTAGCAATCAGTTATGGTGGCAGGCTAACATACAAATCAGGACATTATTCCTTCAAACTCGACTTTTTTCAAGAATTTCCTTGATTTGCTGAGGAAGATATTCGTCTACGATCCCGCGCACCGTATCACGGCCAAGCAGGCTCTCAGCCACCCGTGGTTTAAAGAAATGGCCCAGCCTGACGACGGTACCGAGGCCGCCAAGATTCGCTTCGAAAGGAGACGACTAGAAGTGGACAAGGCGCGGCAGCACGCCCACTATGTTGGATGAAGTATAACCAAGGACGATTCGACACATTTCGTTTTATAATGACTACATAAGCATGATCAGGTTCCATGGTAGCGCACACACACTGGATGTGTATAGTGGTGGAAAGCCCATTTCCCGCTGGGGGGTGCCAACATAACCCTCCAGTAGAATTGTCATTGTACTTTAGCGCTTTGAGCTGTTGCAGTTCCAACCTTCTTTCTTCTCTTTTCTATTTCTTTTGTTTTTCATTTCCTTTTTTAGCGTAGGGTTTACTCTCAAGGTTCATCGTCTGGGGGGGTTGGCGTCCACAATCACGGATTAGGGTGAGAACTGGGGATGGTTATAACACGATGCGGCAGGGCAGGGCGCGCCTCGCTTTTGGTGGACAAAGTGTGCAAAGGTCTTCTCAAAATCTAATATACCCTCCACAGTTGTGATATCAAAATGTCCAAAATCTTTTATCTACTACAACACAAACATGTTTGATTTCATATTATGGCTGCTACAGGAACTTGTGCAGATTCGAACTTGGTGGGTACACGTCTTTAAAGGGAGAAGGAGAAGAGGAATAAGACGAAGGCGAAAACGCATCTAATTTATAATACTCGACAATTAACCTTGACGGTGCCATCGAAAACAATGACGAGTCGACTGCAGACAGCAGCTGAGCTGATACGTGAAAGAATCGTGGAGCCACAGAGACTCTCTTGCAAGCTAATCGTCCGTTCGAAGCTTGCTGCTTGTGCTGTCCCTCTGTATACCGACATAACGAAGACAAGCTCACAGCAATCAAGGTTGAAAGATTTACTAGAAGCAAGTCAAAAGGGAGACATACGCAGAGATGTTGATCATTTTGCCCATGTTATGCATGCTGCCGCGTAATTGCCTTGAAAGAAATTGGAAATTTGTTGACATTGGCTGCCAAAAACTACGGTATGTTCACTCCCGCACTTCTGTTCAAGTTATGCAAGGCTACTTGGCTATAAATAATCCTCTCTTGCTCTTTTGTGAAGGGATTGCTTGAAGCTGGATGTATACGGTCTGGCAGAGTAGATGAAAGTACACCTGTGAAGGAAAAAAGGGGTAAAGGATGATGGACTCGTAGTATCTATACCACCCCATTTGGATTAATACCTCGCTGATTAACCCTTTTTAACCCTCTTTCGTTAGCTACCACCGCCTTGACTACGTCTCGAGTGAAGCTATTCGCCATCACCGTCAACAATCGCCAGGAAGAAGACGGATGGCGAACCATGTCCTTGTTCGTTCAGCGGCGAGACCCAGCTCTTGCAGAAATCTCCGATGAAGCTCTTCAACAGCTCACCAAGTTGCTTTACATGGATGCCACCGACTATTTTGGCGATCGAGCAAGAGACTGGCTCACGAAACAAGAGCAACAAGTCAAGGGGCTCGACGCCACGCTGCTGCGTCCTAGGGATCTGTTTACCCGTTTCGCCCTCACTATGATCGGACGAAGTTTCTTCTTTCCTCCCGAGGTGCCAAAACTCTGCTTGGCGCACAAGGCCTTGAATCCCAAGGTCATTCGCAGTATATTGCAGCTGATAGCAGACGAGTGTACGATCCAGACGAACCGCTATCGCAGTCTGCGACTCAAGAAGATGCTGAGTCCCTCGCTCGAGGGCTGGATGGCCAGGATGGATTCGATAACGGCACTTTGGTTAGGAGAAGATAAATTTAGGCGCATGTTTGGGTGTCGTTTCAGGGGTGAGATGCCGGATTGCGTCAGGACGAATTGTGAGGCGTGTATGTTGGCTGTTATTGGAGGCTCTGTGATGCATCTTACGGATCTTCGGGCGAGTTTACTGGCGCGACAGGCGTATAATACGAAGCTCACAGGGCGGGAACACAGGTGGCCTCGGTTACTACGGATCGTCAACTCGTGGATATCGTTCTTTCAAGAGGACTGCCAGAAGGCCATCCGTGAGTGCAGCGAGGCCATGGTGAGTGACATTGTAGAGATGCGAACCTTGGCGAGGAGGAGGCGGGATAAAGAAAACGAGAGACGGAATAGAAAGGGGAAACCGCCCAAGGTGCGCAGCAGCGCGAGAGTGAGGTTGACGAAGGAAGGGCTGCCGATTCCACGACAGCCGAGACTTCGGAAGGGTGATAGGGAGAGGCTTTCCAGGAGGATTGAGAAGATGGAGACGCTATTGTCGCCTCAGGAGACGGTGGATGAGCAACAGAAGCAGCTGTTAGATTCCTTTCATCGGCCTGTCTCGAGTGAAGCTCGTCATCCCCCGAAAATCGGCTCCTCAAACTCCTTTGCTCAAAAGAGCAACGACACTGCCGAGAAAACAATGGGCTCCAAGCCTGATAGGGAGGAGCAGAACAACTTCTGGGAAGCCTGGCTATTAGACAAGGACACCCGCAAAGAAGAAGCCGGCGAAGAAGAATGCTGGGTGCAAGAATACCGCCAGCTAACCCTCGACAGCGCGCCTTATAAGGACATTGGCGTGCGGAGCAACCTTGGCTTCAGCGCAAACATTCGCCATCCTATTAACAACACGACCGCGAGCTGGACAAGTAAAATCGACGATGAGACGTCACGCATCAGCCAAGTGCCGCTGCTGTACTGCAACGAGGAGGCCTTGCCTGTGAGGGAGACAGCGTCGAGCGTGTACTCTTGCGATGAGCGGGTTGAAACCAATAACAAGATGCTGGAGGAAGTATTTTCGATGATTTCTGGGTTTACTCGCGATTCCGCGGCTCCAGCATCGCTGTGGTGGATGAATGGGGATCTAGATGCTACACAGAGGGAAGGAGATAAGATTACGGATCACGAAACGGCATTGGCGATGTTGGAGGGCAGGGAAGAGGAAGAAGAGGCGGCGTCGTGTTATGAGACGATGGGGTGGGGAGGACCAAGAAAGGGATGACGATATGTTTGCCCCTGTTTGCTGTGAGATGGAGAGTTGCTTTTGCCATATGAACTGTGTTATATATAAACTGAAGAGGTAAGAGCAATATATATAATATATCGGGAGAGAAGAATGGATCAATGAGAAGGTTTATAGTCTTTTGTCAGGGGAGATGAGCTCGGCTCGACACGTCTGGTACGTGCAAGCGAGCAAGTAAATCTGCAGGAGTGATAGGAGATTCTATCTCGAACATCGTCTCCATCTATCTAAACAATGATTGGTTTTAAACCGGTATCCTCATGCTTACTATATACATATGACACATAACTCAATCCGCCAACTTCTCCATAAACCTCTGCACTGACGGCAAATAACACGCCGCTTTCTGGAAATCTCCTAGCTTCACTGCCATGAAATCAAACGCCAGCAGCACATCCTGCTCGACGCCCTCGACGCGCTCCCTCCTCAGCGAGTCCGACTTGGAATACCGCTGCGAAAAGTGCGTCAGCAGAGTCCGCCGCACGCCCATCTCTCGCGCCACCCACAGCGCCTCGCCCATGGTGCTGTGCTTCTTGGCCTTTGCATGGTCCTGCTTGTCATCGCCAAAGGTGCATTCGTGGACAAGGAGGTGCGCGCCGCGGCATTCCTGCGCAAACAGCTTCGACGGCCGACAGTCGCCAGAGTAGGCGATTTTGAGGCCGGATGTAAGCTCCAGTTGGGTACCAAACGAGCGCCAGCAATGAGGGACGGGGACTCGCTTGATGGAGGCGAGGCCAAAGTTTTCTTCGCCGAGGTCTTCACGGGTCGTCAGGTCCCGGTCTTTCTCCTTGGGCCAGGGGCAGCTAGGGAAGCGTAGTCGATGGTAGCCGATGTCTTCGATTTGGGACAACTCCTCCAGCAGGATTCGGTAACGTCCAATGCAGGATATTGCGAGTGTAGCGTTGCTGTTATCTTTCAAGGTCTGTTCATACCATGCCTTGATGAGCGACGGGGTGCCCATGTGATGGTCGGCGTGGACGTGGCTGATGACGATGCACCGCAGATTGCGCAGAATGTCTGCGGCTTCCTCGGCATCAAAGAGACGTCGAATCTGGCCCAGTGTTCCCTCACCGCAGTCGAGCAGGTAGTTTCCAATTCCCGGAACTCGAACCAGTGTGGCAGAAACATTTCTGTATTTGCTGGGAACTGATGATCCTGTGCCAAGAGGGATAATTTCTGCGTCACGGTTCGGGATGTCAACCTCTTCCTTCTCAACCCGCTCCAGAAACTTTGGGTCTGTGGCTTCAGAGCGAGCCTCTTCAGCCATCTTGAGGACCTCATCGTCTACCGATTCGTAGGCCTCGACCAAATCGGGAAATGGGGCGATGGCTTGGTCGTCAAATACGAGGCGTGGCATGAGCTGAAACTTATGTCCGGCTCGGCCCAGCTCAATTGGAGAGCCTTCTGAAGGGGCCGGATATCGGACTGTGTTCTCGAACTTGAGGAGAGGGAACCTCTCGGGATCGATTCGGCGCAGCTTGGTCTGAATGGTAGCAGCGCCGGGATGCGTAACCATGTTTGGGCATGCCTCATCTGCGCAGAAAATGTGCTTAATGTCGGTGTGTTGCTGAATGAATTGCTGGATTCGAGCGTCCTCGGTCATGTTTGGCCCCAAGATCCAATACATGACTGCGACATTTTCCATCAACTCTTTGTTTTTCCACTCGGGCCGCTCCATGAAAGGCTCAACAAGATCCTGGCTGCCAATGTCCGCTACAATGATGCCTCTTCCCCGCTGAGTCTCTCCGAGAACCATTTCAGGTGTCACCAGACCATCTTTCCCCTGAACGCTCTGGCCTGCAGTTAGCAGTTTAAAGTCCCGAGGCTCAACTCCAAGAGATTTCGCCACAGGAGCATTGAACTTTCCTCTGCGGTCATGAGCCTTGATGATGTAGCTCATAGATGTCTCGCCGTATGTAGTCCTGGGAAGTGGAAAGTGGTTGATTGCGAGAGCGTTATTGCTCCGCTCATCCACCCCAACCTCTCCAATCTCTGGGAAATGCCACACGGTATCATCTGGATTTGAAACCTCTGCGCCATCAGTCATGTACGGGCCCTTGTATAGTCTGATTGTGCCATTTTCTACAATGGCAGCTTTGTCTGTAGGTTTGAGATCGCGTATCTTCTTTGGTATTAATACAGATCTGTTTTTTAGGCTACCGTTGAACATGATCCGCTCGACTATTGCGCTTGCAATTTCGGGGTCTGATACGGATGATCGCGGCTGAAAGGTGGCCTCCTCCGAAGATGCATCTTCAGCCACATCCATGGCCGGATCGCTGTGTCGTCGTTTTCGGGGGCTGCTCGATCGTGCTCGCCGTACCGGTATTTTCCAGACCTTGATGGCATCGTCTGACCAATCTGGCTCGAGGTTTGCTGCATCTGTCGCTCGCGGGTCTGTCCTGTGCTCGTAGGTCCGCACGCAAATGGGCTGTCGAAAGATGACGGGACGACAGGCTGCCAGTGTGTGGCACAAGTTGTCTGCTCCGTGCACCGCAATTCCGGCATGAAGCGTCTTGTTGAGCAGCTTCTGGCCCTTTTGCTCCCTCTTGGCATTCTCCTGCGTCGTGAACTCTTTGGCTGACTCAATGGCTCCGCCGACGCTCAGCAGATAGCCACAGAGGCCGCCCAGCTGCTCCCAGTTCACACTGCCGCTAAGGAAGACGTGTTCTGTTCCTCCCATGTGTATTTTTCGGCTTCCGAATGCTCGCTGCGTTCCCTCTGAGACGCGGCCAAAGACATAGGAGCGCTTGTCGTGATGCATGTAAATGCAGGTACCAGGAGTGTCGGCCGAAGGGACAGCGGCAAGCTCGACTGTGGTCGTCATGGTTGTGGAATCGGCGTGAGTCTTTTTGAAGATTTTGGAGTAAAATCGCGTATTATGATGTTGTGAAGGTAGATATGAGGCGTGTGGCGAGCTGTCTAATCGCGATTGTCGCGGTCTCGTGGGCTTGTTGGATAGCGATGGAGAGTATCTGGCGATGGAAAGACTAGGAATGCAAAGCTGCCGCGTCCGTCTACCGGCCGGAGAGGAGAGACTTCGGAGCGGAAATGATACGGAGTAGACGAGGCGCCGGGATACACATGGTTCCATCAGCGGGAGAGGAGAAGAGGGAAAACAAAGAGGAGAAAGACTTTGTAGTCTGCATTTACAGCAGGAGGTAAGACCCCACGATGACTTTTTTTTATGCGATAGGCCGATAAGCAACAACTTTAGCTGCCTGGTGGGGTAGTCATTGTGAGCCTTGCCACCACTTCCTCGAAAGGTACTAAGGTACCTATACAGCTATTTACAAGTACTTCTCTTCATCCTCGCCGTCAGGAATTGATATTACCACCTAGGTAGGTAGGTAGTAATGGCGATGCATTACCAACGTATATTGGACGTCATTCTTATGCTGCGATAATGTGATAATGTGGTGTAGATACACTTCTATTAAAGAGCCTTTTGATAAATACATGTCTATATCTACTTGCGATTCGCTCGCTTCCGTGCCTTGGCCTCCCTCTCGTACGCATTCGCTTCTCGTCCCTCCTCGTTCTGAATCTCTGCAACGAGCCTCTTGTACTTCTTCTCGTAAGCTTCGTCCTTCGCCTTCTTGATCCGGAGATTCTCTCTCGCCATGAAGTTGGCGTCCTTCCGCAGCTCCCGCATGGCGCCCTTGCGCTCCTTCTTGTGCTCGGCCTTGAGTTTGGCCATTTCCGCCCTCTCACGATCGGGATCATAGTGCTTATCAGGATCAAACGTCTCCTCGAACTTGGGTATATATGTCTTGATCGCGAGGGGCTTGTGATGGTGAAGCTCTAGTGGCCGACGGGATAGCTGTGAAACTCGAGACATCCGCTTCAGCTTTTCCTCTAGTCTCTCTGCTTTCTCACTGACGGCTACAGGGAGATGCTCGCGTGATGCCTTGCTGTTGACGTGCTTCAAAACGTCAATTGCTTGGCTAAAAGTCTCCAAAAACGAAGACCTGCCCGTCCACAAGTCTGCAGCGGCGTCGAGTAGTTGAATGGATGTGGTGAGCAGAGAAATTTTAAGAGCCTTGCCGCCCTCCTGCGAATTTTCAGGCAAGCAATCGGAGAAGTTTAGACGCTTTAACTCAACAGCCCTGGCTTTTTGAATGCGGCTTCCGGCTGGAGGTTCGTGTACCGGAAAGTTACCCAAGAGAAGCGATGGGGCTGTTGGTGAAAGGGAGCAGATTGTGTTGAGAGAAAAATTCATCACCTCAGGAACATAACGCTTGGCCAATTGCTGATACTGCAAGCCTAGGATGGACAAATATGTCCCGATGGCGTAATCCGACATCTCTCGAGGCACCTTCTGGCCAATGTACCGGCCAATTGTTAGCATTGCTGGGGTTACAACCTGGTGGAAATGATCGGACGTTGGGAATATGGTTCCAATCGCTGTAAGGAGCGTCAAGTCCGAAGGCTGCAGCGCAATGGGCCGAGTCTGGCTGATCTCTCCAAGGTGATGCCGGAACTGCCTGGCAATTTCGATTGGAAACATCTTGGAAAGAGAGTGAATGTGACGCACAAGGCTTTCCAAGACGGAGAAAGGTGGTGATGTCTCTGCATTCCAAGGAAGAGCCACAAAATCCACCAAGGCCACAGCGAAATTTGCTAGTCTCTCCTTGTTCTTGCTGTCAAGTTTGGGATGGTGTAGCGCTCGAATGCGCTGGACAATTTTTGGCAGATTTGCGTGGTCGTAATCTTTGGTGATGGACACAAACTCGGAGCATGATTGAGGGCAAGGGAATGTGAATGGTAATCCGTCCTCGTCGTTCTTGTCGTTGGAAGAGAAGTTTGCTTGAAATATGGGGTTTTTGATTTCTGCTTCGTTCAACAAACCCTTTGTAAATTCGTCATCGTCGTCTTCGTTATTCTCAACTTGGCCGGTAGAGCCATCATCATCTTCTTCTTCTCCGTCATTGTCAAAGTCGTCGTCACTGTCCGCGAGATCTAAATCGGATCCACTAGCCACCAGGTCGTCTTCGATGATGAAATCATCTTCGTCATCGAAGCCCAGCTCGGTCGCTGTTGGTCTAGTCTTGATACCCTGTCCCAGGCCGAATCCATCCTCCTCCTCCTCCTCTTCAGCAGCGTCCATATCGCCAGAAGCGTCACGTTTCTTTTCGTCTTCGTCGTCATCGCTGTCTGATACTTCTTCACCCATCATGCGCTTCTGGCGTTTTTCCTCAAGTTTCTTGAGTCGGGTGGACTCTTCTTCTGCCTTTTCCTCGTCTGTCTTGGTGCGATTGGATGGCTGCGCCCTCTTATCTTGAGCCAGTCGTTTGACTTCAATATCGAAATTCTTGTCAAAGGTGTCTCGTTCGACACCTGCAATGGCAGATAATGGCATATTCTCCTGGTGCTTTGCACCATTGAGACCAGAAGTAAGCAGTTGTCGGATATCGAAAAGTTCCTTGTCGAGCTGCATCCGGAGGTCATCGTCATCATCCTTGGCCGCCTGTCGCTCGTATCTATGAAGCTTTGATTTTGCGATGACTTCTTCCATGACCTCTTTCTTTGTCTTTTTGCGCTCGGGTTCCCCCTCATCGCCCTCCTCCTCACCTGCTGCAATGATGGCGCGCAGACGCTTAAGTCGCTTCTCGCGGCTTGATCCATCACTGTCTTCGCCATCCTCCTCGAGATCACCTTCGTTAAAGTCGTCCACCAGGTCTTCCTGGTCATCAAAGGCCAAGGTTCGTCCCATATGTGTCAAGCCATCCATTGGCTCGTCGTCCTCCAGATCAAAAAGAGAATTCTTCTTGTGTGATTTCTGCTTTTCTCTGGCAAATCTTTCCAGCATTTTTTCTTCAGGAGTCATCGTTGGGTCGTTCTCGCCGAATCGCCGATCTAGAATACCACCGACCTTGTGACGGCGCTGCATATCCACGAGGAGGGTTTGCTTGCGCTATTGCATAGAGTGTCAGAGAAATGATAGGCGTGTAGGAGGGAGAGGCGCTTTCATACCTTTTCCTCCGCGGCAGCTTTGGCCAAACCAGGCCGTCCCTTGATGGCACCGTTTCCAGGCTTCGGCCTATTGGTAGTCACCTCGAATTTGGGCCCGCGCGCAGCATGCTTGAGGTCGAACGGATTGAATTGCTCTCGGATGCCCTCCAGAACAACGCCTCTCTGCAGACGCTTTTCGTTCCGAGACTGGTCATCTTGAGCCAGCTTCCGTCGCTGCTTCTTGGACTTTTGAGGACCTGTAATTCCTTGTTCTCTCAACGACGCCTTTAGGCGCTTGAGCTGGGAGCCGGCCATTGTTGACGATTGTTTGTCTCCACGACCAAATCTTTGATCACGAAAAGTAGCCTGCTTATCGAAATATCCTGTTACAGCGAATTGACTTGCTAAATTTTTTGACGGTGGCTTATCGATAGCAGCGTTAGCGTAAATTTCGTTGGTGGGACACCAGCAGGTGGATACATGCCTTCAAAGAGTGGGACGGGACTTAAATCAGAGCTGCGTCAAGAAGCTTCCACCTACCTATTACACCACCAACTGCATTTACTATATTTATCAATCTTCCCCATGTGATCTCGCCAGAAAAAGGCACTCGTGGGACGACATGAGCTGGTCAAGCCGGCTCTTATTATTCGCGCGCGATGAGCGAGTAATTTTAGTCAGCATTGGGCTGGCGACGTTTGGCCTGCTTAGCTCGATGGTCACAGCTCTCACGTTTATTCGAGATGACAATGAGATTCCTCCATCGGAGCCGAAGACGCAGTACATTACGCAGGATACGGAGGACTCACTTCAGTCAGAGACATTGGAAAAGCTTCTGGACCATCCGAATTTCTCCATCAAGGAAATTGCTGTCAAAATTCTATGCGACAGAGCCGCCAATGACCCTGAAGTAATAACGTACATATGGTTCGGCATTACTCGGCCAGATTACGAAGAGCGGATGGACTCTCTTAGAACACTGGCAGTGCTCACAAGTCAGACAGGGAACGAGGGACTGGCAAGGTTGCATGATGCGAGAGCCTACTCGGCCTTGGTGAGGTGCATGGAGCTGTGCATGGAAAGCGCCGACCTCCCAGATGTCACTGATATCCACTGGGACGAATACTTCCTTCGCGACATGGGAGAAAGATTCTGTCTCATGTTTATCACAGAGCTGATTAACAAATACGGGGCTACTATGCTCGTCAAGGCCAAGTTTGTTGAGAAGTGGCTCGCAAAGCAAGCTTGGGGGAGCACTGCCGAGGAAAGACGCCGCAACTTCAAGGACTACATGGGGTTTCGAAACAACCGGATAACCGACATTGTGAACCGTATCAAACATTCGCGGCGTGGTATACGTGCGTTGGAAAAGGCTGGGTTGATTGACAAAGAAAGCTCTCGACGACGAATGCGAGAGCTTCCTGATCTGCTCATGGAAGTCGAAGAGGAAATTGCAGCGGGAGAACATTCCGGAGAACAACAAAGTCGACGGACTAGGGAGCATTCCGCAGAGGAACAGAGACTTCGACGCCAACATCGCGAGGCCATGGTTCTGAATGACGGAACACGGCCTTTGGGCCGGGAAGACATCATTGAACGAGATGCATCCCCTCCAGCATAACAGGGCAGTGCATGTGGGCAAAATGCACATATCAAAGCGCACGATATGATTCTCAGACTTTGGAGGATAGACACTCACAGCGGGACGATAATGTGACCGAAATGTTTACGGGATATAGCTATGCGGTTCGTACCGCCCTTCTTGGAGGCATGTTAACCCATCTGACATGAATATAGTAGCAAGGAGACTGGGCGATCCTAGCGATGCCAGCTTCTTAGGTGCCTAGCATCTCTACCGCTGTGCGTGCTCCTCTTTACGCAGGCACAACCGGGGACCTTTGGAAGGGCATCCCTCGTTTGGTGGCTAGATGATCCATGATGCTATCACATGCTCTAATTAATAGTAATCCGTTATCGTCATACTCTGTATGATAGAGGAATAAATTGAAATAAAAATTCAGCTGACCTTGTATTCCATGCTCACATGACGCTGTGGATATGCACCCAGGTCCGCAAATACTAGATAGATTTACCTACATCTACTAGACTTATTTACAACTCCTACTCGATCAACCTACGGCTACTGGAAATATTCATGCCTACCTAGGTACCAGCTCTATCTACATCCACTGAACCAATCTACTTGTACTTCCTTCAAGAAATATTATTTGTTGCTGAAAAAAAAAAATGAAAAAAAAATTCCACCTGCTTAGTAGTAACTTCTGTTACAGTGCGCATCTTTTGACGTCTCGCATGGTTCGTCTACTGTCTACCATTTGACCCCTATTGATGTGATCTACCTTTGCTAGACAAGGGGAAAGCCTAGGTTTATGGCCCGTTAGCCCTGTTCGCCACAAAGCGCAGTGCTCTGTTATTTACAGGGACGAGGATGATACTACTGGTTCCAAGTTGCCATTGGCCATGAGCTATGGCGGCCGGGGATTGGATGGCTGCGCAGCCCCCTCAGCTCACTGCAAATAATAAACAAACATCTATTGGGCGCTGTCGCAGCATTCATCTCCTGGCACAGCACTTATCTCTGCGTTGCTTCTCTTCGTTTCGTTTTATTTCTTTCCCTTCCGCTTCTCTGCACAAATTCCAGCGCCTTTGAAACCTGATTTTTCTGCGCTTTCTTTTCCCGCTGCAGATTTATATTGTCATCTACACTTACCTATTGTTTGGCGCCTCTGTTTAATTAAAAAGGTCAGGTACCTCCTAACCCAGCATCCTACCTTGCTCATTTCGTTTCCATCCTTGTCACCCAGCCCAGCGAAAGCCGCAAAAGAGAAGTGACAGAAGCTGCTAGTATTAGTACATCAAATACGATCAGATTGCTCAATCACCGGGAGCTGCCTTTGGACCCCTTTTTTGACTTTGCGGTACCTGATCCATCCAGAACGGGGGGCGCCACTACCGGGATATCAGTGGGGTTTTCCGGGTTCTCTAATCGCACGAACCAATATGGCGATTTCAATCTCACAGGTCAAATCTCCATTCTCCCGCCTCCGAAGGCCTTCACTGTCCAACTCCAACACAGCGTCGACACCGGACTTGGCCTCTGCCTATTCGCAGTCGAAGCTGCTGCGCAAGACGTCGCTCGCGGCCCTGACTCCGAGCTCTCTGGCCAGCATCCCCGATGTCAGCGAGAGCTACGCCATCGACTCAGTTCTGAACGAAGCGCCCGTAAATACCATTCACGAGGATCCCGAGACGCCGTCCACCATGGAGCTGTCCGTCGGCGACTCTGTAAATGTGCCCGGGGGCATGGTCGGTACTGTTCGCTTTGTCGGCACCGTCCAAGGCAAGAAGGGCACATTTGTTGGCGTCGAGCTGGATTCAGAATTCGCCGCAAGGGGGAAGAATAACGGCGACGTTGATGGGTAAGGACACCCAGTTGCGGCGTCGCCTGGCGCATCGCATCACATCACAACATACGAAGAGCCGATCGCTAACATGGTCTGTCTGTCTGGGTTTACAGCGTCTCCTACTTCACCACCAACGCCGCTGGTGCTGGCATCTTCGTTCCGGTTGCCAAGGCCCTCCGAAGGTCTTCCGGTTCATCTCCCATGACACCCACGCCCGGTTCAAGTGGCCTGAAGCTGAGCATGAGCAATTCAGTCAGCTTGACGCCTCCGACATCAGGCCTTTCTAAACTAGGCGCCTCGGTAGGGCCCGGCTCTCGAGTTCAGAGCCCGCAAGGCAAGAAGCCACGGCCTTCCCTCCAGCCTGACTCACCGCAACGGAAAATGGCCATGTCGCCGGGTCCACGCCCGTCAATTTCAGCACCAGCAGTCAGGGCTCCTTCAAGACTCGGCAGTCCAACAGGGAAATTTTCGCAGAGTGTGCGCGGGACTGCCGGGCACTTGGCTGATCCCAACAAGAAAGGCCCAGCCATGGAGCGGCGGCCCAGCTTTGGGCCTCGCAGCACTTCCTCTCTAGGCCCCGAGCCGCTTTTTGACGAAGAGCCGGCACCAATAGCAATGCCTACACCGCCAGCGAAGATCAACACCAGCCTTGGGTCGCTTTCATTGCGACCACCGTCCAGGGCGACCTCTATCAACGATGAGGAGATTGAGCGGCTACGCACACAGCTAGAAGACCGAGACCGACAGCTTAAGGAGCAAGCCGCAACATTGGCTGAAATGGAGAGCAGTCTCACTGAACTTCAAACTCTGATAGAGAACCCAGATGGATTGGGCATGAGACGGAGCAGCATAGACGATAAAGATGCATCCCAGCTTCGACATATGCTACGAGAAAAGAATGACAAGATTGCCATGCTCACCATAGAATTCGATGCCCATCGAGCGGATTTCCGGAGTACTATTGACACACTCGAAATGGCCAGCACAGAGACTGAACGGGTGTATGAGAAGCGCATAGAGGAACTTATAGCTGACATTCGCGAGCTCGAGTCAAGAAACATGGATGTCGACTCCGTAGCGACGCAACTAAAGCAACTAGAAGAGCTGGTTCAGGAGCTTGAAGAGGGCCTTGAAGATGCCCGTCGTGGTGAGGCTGAGGCTCGTGGAGAGGCCGAGTTCTTACGAGGAGAGGTTGAGAGGACCCGGTCGGAGCTTCGACGGGAAAAGGAAAGAGTTATTCCTCACAATGCAGCTGCCTTGAGCGGCGACAGTGCTGCACTGGCTAAGAGCTTGGAGCAGAAGGAAGATGAGATTCGAGGACTCAAGGCGATTATTCATTCTCTCAGCCGCGACTCAATCCCTGGCGCCGAGGGTCATGCTCCTAGGCCACGCCCCGGCTCATTAATTGGCGAAAAGGATGCCATCGAGAATAAGATTGCTCGAGATAACTTGGAGAGGCAGGTCGCTGAGCTTCAGCAGGTATTGAAGGAGAAGAATCATCGGGAGGAGGAACTGCAGCATGAAATTGAATTTTTGCGGTCAAACAACGTCAACACAAGCCGTGAGTCGGCTCCTATACGGCGATCATCTGTCAGGGACTCTAGGGACACCGTCATGTCCACCCGATCCCATGAACCCCGAGCTCACGAACCACGATCGCCAGAGCTGTCGCACAAGCGGATAAGCACCCTCGATACGATGCACGAGAGTGACACCTATTCGACTGCCACCGAGAGTAGCACTCTTTGGTGCGAGATTTGTGAGACTGGCGGCCATGACATCCTGACATGCACAAACATGTTTGGCAATGATAGCGCCAAGAACTCCAAACCTAATGCCAACCCCATTAAAGAGGAAGATGAAGATGATGAAGAAGCAGAAGAGAAGGCGCGGAGAGAGAATGCCCAGGAGGACCTCAAGCCTCTTACACCCACCGGCGACGAGATTCAACACCCAGCTGTTTTAACACCCGGCATTCCCAAGGAGGAGCCCACGTCAGTTCCCGCAGTCAGGATCACCCCCAACCCTCTGGAGTCAGGACCCGTGGCTGGTAAAGAGAGTGGTGTCTTGGATCTCGAGAAGTGGTGCGCGATATGCGAGCGAGATGGCCATGACAGCGTGGATTGCCCCTTTGAAGATGCTTTCTAAGATGGTCTTAGATGAGCCGAACGGAAGAGAAAATTAGAGCAGACGATAGACGGCGGGCATATAGTACGCAGACGGCATTCACGACTTTGACGTTTCTGTGTTATGGCTGCATTTTGTATTCGAGACATGGCATTCATCCTTTTTGGCTTGGGCACTCCGTATGATACCTCCACAACCTCTTCTCTGCCACCTTTTTGTTTACTGGTGAAGAGTTGTACAGTATGACTTTTTTCTTTATTAGAGAGCCTTAGATACTACCTAGGTATGCGTCTTTCTTTTCTTGCAATAATAACATTGAATTGTACAGCTTCACATCACACCAAGGATTTGTTATCTGATGCCAAAAGACTACTAGGTGCCTACTCCTGCTCATACTTTTTCTCGTACCTACTACGATACCCGCCTCTATCTCTATTTCTTTTGGTATCGGCTAAATCATTATTACTTTTGCGGTACGGTTGCTGGATCATCAGCTTGGGGTGCTAGTTAATGGCAAATCTTACTTTTGGCCTAGGCTTCAGGCGAGCTTTAGCTTAGACAATGATTACAATAAGCTGAGTACTACGTACGACGCTATGGATTTCATTGTATTCAAGATTAGTACGTGGTTCCACAGAATGTCTGTGCAAATTACTGTATAATGGCCGAGCCTGGTCACACAAAGGATGGACGCCTTTCAAAGCCAGGGGAGTCCCGTTGATACGGCTCTGGCTGGGCATTCATTTACCAGCCAGCCGCCTTGACCGTGTGGCGGTGTCAGCCAGCCCGCTGCTTTCCATCCATCCCTTTTGTCGGAAGACGCTCGCGGGCGTGCATTGGGGCTAGTCCGCTTTGACGCTGCCAACAACGGGGTCCGCTGAGCGAGATCGATGATTTGACCAGGCAAAATCGACGGCCGACGGTTTCGTGGAGGTGCAGCGGGATCATCCTGGTCGGCCAGCTGTTCTTCATCTGTGCTGTACGAGCATGCCGCATGTACAAGCGCTGCTACCCTGCCGTGTCTGGCAGACAGGGATTTGCGTCGCTGTTAGTGCGGGCATTGGTGGAAAGACGGGACGGATAGCAGCAGAGCGAAATCTTGAAGAAGCCCGATGGTGATGGCCGAGATTTAGGTTCGGTCGTTTGGTGAGAAGCGGAGGTGGTACAGGTACAAGTGCGGAGTCCCTGAAGATGGAGAAAAGGCAGCATCGGAAAGTTTAATGCAAGAACCAGTACGAGGCAGCAGGTGCCAAGTACCAGCCATGTAGCGATACAGCCTCATTTTCGATTAGGTTCCAAGTCTCTGCCATGTGCCTCTGCTAGTACCTCTTTTGGCGGCGACAAGTGCCTGACTTACCGTCCTGGTACTAGAGCGGTACGCGGCACGGTTCGGAGAGGGCATCGAATGGAAGATGCGAGATGCAAGGATGCGAGAGTTTTTGAGTGACGAGTAACAAAGACAAGAACAAAAGCAATCACCGCTGCCTTTCAACTTGGAAGTCATGATTGCTAGATGTACCCAGTAACTCCGAGCCCTTGCTGTGAAACTCGGCATCTTCCATCTCGCTTCTGTACAGTGACAAACAAATACTCGGTGGTACCCGCTGTTAGCCCGCATGGCAGCACAAAGGTTGCCAGCTTTTGCGTTATCGGGCACCGCCACACCATCGACTTTCTTCGATACAATTCCATGAGGCGCACCAGCCTTGGGACCCCTGCAGCCGCCCTTTTAATCCTCCAAGGCGGCGCTTGATCTGCCCTTGGCTACGACCAAGGCCGCTTCCCTTGACCGGAACATTCTTCTCTTTTCTTTCAAATAAACCACTGTCCGTCACACCAGACCAGCAGATTTACTGTTGCTCTCGCCGCCATCTCGGCTTCTCTCTCGAATCCTTCTCCTCGAGCAAAAGAGACGACTTCATCCCGCAAATTTCTCCAAAGCCCCACCGTTCCCTCAGCGGCTTTCTAGGCACGCTATCTTTTTTTTCTGCTGGGCCTATTACTCAGGTACGATAAAAAACCACAAGCCATTATCATCAGCATTTGCCCCTCGGCGCAATCGCTGGCCACACTTCCGCCTTCTTCTACCGTCACCACCAGCGTTTCGCAACGTAAACCCTGCAACCTCGTGTCCAAGCTTGCGTCAACAGCACAAGTTTGATCTTTCTCTCCGCTGCCTAGAAGTTTCTACGGGCGCTCGGTTGTTGCGGATTCTTCCATTAGCTCTGACTAATCATTCATCCACAGAGCCTCTTTTATCGAACGTTTGCCGTCGCTCTCGTTGTTTTTCTCTTTTTGGCGCAAACAAAACCAGCTTTTTTTCGATATTCTATAATCCGACATCATGGTGAAGGAGACGAAGCTTTATGACACCCTTGGTGTATGTATTGGCCTTGATACACTCCGGCGGCTTGGGTATGGACGAAGAGACTAACATGCTTTGAATTAGGTCGCTCCCACAGCTACAGAGCAGGAGCTGAAGAAGGCCTACAAGATTGGTGCCTTGAAACACCACCCTGGTACGTTTTTACCTTTGATAATTGTCATCTGAAAACAACATGAGTTCTAACACGCACATTTTTAGACAAGAACGCACACAACCCCGCTGCCGAAGAAAAGTTCAAGGAGATCTCGCACGCTTATGAGATCCTTTCCGATCCTCAGAAGCGACAGGTCTACGATCAATATGGTGAGGCTGGTCTAGAGGGCGGCGCAGGTGGTGCAGGCGGCATGGCTGCTGAGGACCTGTTTGCTCAGTTCTTTGGCGGTGGCGGCTTCGGCGGCATGGGAGGTATGTTCGGCGGCATGCAGAACCGCGGTCCTCCCAAGGCCCGTACCATTCACCACACCCACAAGGTCTCCCTCGAGGACATCTACCGAGGCAAGATTTCCAAGCTCGCTCTGCAGCGATCCATCATCTGCCCCAAGTGTGATGGCCTCGGAGGAAAGGATGGCGCCGTCCGCAAGTGCACAGGCTGTAACGGAGCCGGTATGAAGACCATGATGCGCCAGATGGGCCCCATGATCCAGCGCTTCCAGACTGTCTGCCCCGACTGCAATGGTGAAGGAGAAATCATCAAGGACAAGGATCGCTGCAAGCAGTGCAACGGCAAGAAGACCACCGTTGACCGAAAGGTCCTCCACGTCCACGTCGACAGGGGTGTCCGAAGCGGCACCAAGGTTGAGTTCCGCGGCGAGGGTGACCAGGCCCCTGGCGTTCAGGCCGGTGACGTTGTTTTCGAGATTGAGCAGAAGCCTCACGCGCGTTTCACTCGCAAGGAGGACGATCTCCTCTACCGATGCGAAATTGAGCTGGTCACTGCCCTTGCTGGTGGCACCATCTACGTCGAGCACCTGGATGACCGATGGCTCAGCATTGACATCCTGCCTGGAGAGGCTATTGCACCTGGTACGTATCTCTCTTAATGCATCTTCTCTTCAACCTAGTTGCAAAACTAACACTCTCTAGACTCTGTCAAGATGGTTCGCGGTCAGGGTATGCCCTCATACAGACACCACGACTATGGTAATCTCTACATCCGCTTCGATGTCAAGTTCCCCGACAAGAACTGGACCGACGATGCCGAGGCCTTCGAGACCCTCCGCAAGATCCTGCCACCCCCTACATCACAGCCTGCTGCCCCTGCTGAGGCCATGACGGAGCCTGCTGATTTGGAAGACTTGGATACCAAGGCCCAGACCAAGGTCTTCGGAGACCCCAACGCCATGGGAGAAGATGAGGACGAAGATGGCCACCCTGGCGGCGAGCGCGTCCAGTGCGCCTCGCAGTAAAGCAGAATATATTATCTATATATAACTTGGGGCTAAAAATAGAAAAGGAGAGCAGACCATGGATGCACGCTGACGCTATGAGGTATTGGGCGCCCCTCTTTTCCAGAGGCAGCAAGCGTGTGAAGCAGGCGGAAGGGTACTGTTTGGTTTCTTTGGGGAATTGACAACTTGACGTCATTTCATTCTCTACCGCAGCACATGGGTTTTTTTCTCGCATTCTCATTGATACCTTTTGGGGGAGAGGGGGCTTTCCCCTTTGCTGCACTTGGGAAAGCGAGGGATGCGCAGGGGGATGATATTGGGCATGTCCATTTTGCCGACCATTATTATGGACTGGGTGCTTTTTGGAATGCATGACTAGGTTGGAGGGCGTTTAGGGGACATAGACGATTTGACGAGTTTTTTAAGTTGTTGCAGACTTAGACTATGAATGCGATGATATCAACCAATGCCTTTTTATCTCTCTTTGTTTCAGAGTGGCTACCCAGCCACTCAGTGACTCCATTTTTAGATTCTTGTGTGTGCTTTACTAATCTATCTGCTTCTTCGAGCAGCCGTTACTTCGACACCAGGAACGAGAGTTTCTGTTTAAGTTCTAGAGATAGGGCAATGCGGCCGAAGAGGGCTGGCATTAATTACTACGATAAAGTAGAGAGGCACTTCCTTTGTTTGAAAGATGATTGAGGATAGAATCATTAGCAAATACTATTAACACGAGATTACTCCTCGCCATCACCTGTATCTACGGCCACATCGCTATCAACATTCCCCTGCGGTGCCTCTGAGCCCCCTTCTTCGTCCGGTCCGCCTGTGACTACCTTCCGCAGGCTCTCGACAGTGTACAAAAGACTCCGGACGTCCTCTTCACTGATTTCGGGTTCGTTTGCCTCTACTTCCTTGTCCTTGAAGGAGGATTCGACATCCACGGCCAATCTGCCGTTTGTCATGGTCAGGCGGAATGCGTGAAGGCTTTGGGCCTTGGTATCCGCGTCGGGCTCAATGGCGGCAATGACGGTGGGAGCGGCGTCGTTGCTTGGGGAGATGGTGAGGGAGAGGGGCTTGCCGGGCAGTTGGATGATGCCTGGGCAGTGAAGCTCGTTGTTATCATGGAGCTTCCATGAGAAGATTGCTTTGATGCTGTGCATATTTGTTAGTCAACGAAAATCTTTCAAGTATGTTACTAATGAAATGAAAAACGTACTCTTCACAGATGGCCAAAATGTATGTCATGGGGCCGTCTTCAGAGGGGTACAACAGAGTGTAGAGACCCGAAACAGCAATTGTTGCGGTTTCAGGAGCAATTTCCTGGGCGAGAGACAGGATACTTGTCTTAAAGAGCTGCTTTCCGGCGAGCCAGTCCCAGACAAAGATGTCCTCGTCGCCGCCTCCGGAGACGAGGACATCTGGCTTGGCCGCGGGGATGACCATGTCACTGATAAACTCCTTGTGACCAAAGCAGAAGTTTTCGATAATGTGCGCGTGGGGGATGTAGCGGGACAACCGGATATGCTCATCTCTGTCCGCCGTGAGGATGTATCTGTGTCCCTGCTGCTCGCCGAGGACGAGGGCAGTCAGCATGGAGACGTGTCCCAGCAGTAGGTTGAGTTCAAAATCGGGGCCACCGGCGTTGGCGTCCTTGGATTGACTGGCAAGCTCAGCTTGTTTGATTTGGTTCTCAAGGGCGAGTCGGTTGCCTTTGGAGTGGACGGTGAGCGTGGTGGCGGTAGGCTTGAAGGCCTTTTTGGAGGGAAGGGGTAAAGATGATAGTGATGCCGAGGACTTTGATCCATCAGCTGAGATGAGTAGTGGCACAGCGTAGACGTCTCCAAACTTGTCAGCACTGATGATTTGAGAATCTGGTCCAATGGCGACAGCGCTTGGTCGCTTGGGCATAGTCCTACACCATATGTATTAGTATGGGTCACTTCTCAAAAGGACATTGTAGTGAATGATAGCCATACCTTTGGCTAAGCTGCTTCAGCTGGCCATTTCCATCATGTTCAAACACCCAAATGGCCTTGTCATGTCCCGTTATGGCCACGACATGGCTTCCATCAGGAGTACTTGTCAGATGAGTTATCACGGGCCGATCTGGCACACGGGCGAAACGGGTTTTGCCATTATCAAAGTCCTTTCCTGCCTTTCCTTTGCCCTTCTTCCCCCTGCCATCAAAATGGCCGGTCTGGGATTTTTCATCTTGGACTGTCGTAGGAGCAGGAGCCTCTGCGTTCACTGAAGTGCTCTCACTCTCGCCATCCAGCTTCTGCCGCTTAGCTGGGGGGCCGTCGCTTTCAGTTGCTGGAGTGTCTGCCTCTGCTTTGGGCGTAGCTTCGGCCTTGGCCTCGTTTATAGCTTTGATAGATTGTGCGACTTTGTCGGCATCAGGGTGCTTCCATGATGAGATTCGGCTGCCATCTGTGAGACTGAATGTGTGGATTGCGCCTCCACGAGCAGCAAAGAGGATTTGCCCTTGCACGTGGACTTTGTTATAAGGAATCTTCATTTTCTATGAAATGCTTCGAATGAGGTATTACAAATTGGGTACACCTGAAAGTGAGATCCAATTGGAGCTTGGAGGAATCACGTACTAAGATCCTTTGCCGTATCATGAACTTTTTTTCGACAAGGCTTCCGAAAAAAAGGTACTTTCTGTTTGTACCTTAGCTTCAGCAGCTTGCCCACATGCAAAAAGGTACGTACTGCCCCACCATATTGCTGACAAAGAAAATCAGCTCTCACCGCTTGCCCGAATCAGGCTAGCAAAGCTATGCCCTAGCCATTCGACACACATTTTCTCACTGGCTGCAAAATCCGGAAATTTGGCTCCTCTCTTCTTTTTTCCGGATAGACATCAAGTCACCAAAATTTCCATATACTAAGATACCCTTTTGCCCTTAAATAACCTGCCTTCATAAAAAAGAAGATATGGGGGGCAAAACAGCGAACAAGGCCGGCTACTTCGACAAGCTCAAGGGCTTGCTCGAGGAGTACAAGTCCATCTTCATCGTTGAGATCGACAATGTCTCCTCCCAGCAGATGCACGAGATCCGACACTCCCTTCGCGGTAAGGGAGTTGTCCTGATGGGCAAGAACACCATGGTATGGCAATCGCGCAATTTCTGAAACAGCTGGATCCTAAGAAGCAAAAGACTAATGGCACTGCTTTATAGGTTCGCCGAGCTCTCAGGACCTTCGTCATTGATACTCCCGAGTACGAGCGTATCCTGCCTTTCGTCAAGGGCAACGTCGGTTTCGTCTTCACCAACGGCGACCTCAAGGAGGTCCGTGACCAGCTTCTCGCCAACCGTGTCGCTGCTCCCGCTCGTGCCGGTGCCGTCGCTCCCGTCGATGTGTGGGTTCCTGCTGGAAACACCGGTATGGAGCCTGGCAAGACCTCTTTCTTCCAGGCTCTCGGTGTCCCCACCAAGATTGCCCGTGGTACCATTGAAATTACCACCGATCTTAAGCTCATTGATGCTGGCAACAAGGTCGGCCCCTCCGAGGCCTCGCTGCTCAACTTGCTGAACATCTCTCCCTTCACCTACGGTATGGGTATTGCTCAGGTCTACGACCAGGGCCAGACCTTCCCTCCCTCCATTCTCGACATCGGTGAGGAGCAGCTCCTTAAGGCTCTTTCCACCGCCATCACCACCGTTGCCACCATCTCCCTGGCCATCAACTTCCCCACCCTGCCTTCCGTCATGCACTCTCTTGTCAACTCCTACAAGAAGGTTCTGGCTGTTGCCGTTGAGACCGAGATCAGCTGGCCCGAGATTGAGCAGCTCAAGGACCGCATCGCCAACCCCGATGCCTATGCTGCCGCCGCTCCCGCCGCCGCTGCTGGTGGTGCCGCTGCTGCTGCTGAGGCTGCTCCCGCTGAGGAGAAGAAGGACGAGTCCGAGGAGGAGGATGAGGAGGGCTTCGGCGGTCTCTTGTATGTGATACCCTTAAAATCTCTTCTGAACTTGAAACTAACATGCTTAACAGCGACTAAACAATCAATAACGGTACTGGGTCGGCTTTCAGGGCTTGTTCGGCTTGTTTCACGGTATATGGATCTAAATATGGTGCATAGGTCATTGGTTGGTCAGATTAGGACCAATGCAATGATTACATGAGACACGAAAAATCAATGAAAGTTGCAAGTCAACTATTGAAGAAAAACTGAAATGGGCCAACTTGTGCATATCGAATCGTGATGGTGATGGCTGGACAACCATTCATTGACAAAAGGTTAGTCTTTCTTTTTTTTTCTGGTGAATTATCCCCATCTGCCTTTGAATGATTATAAATTTATTCATGAGCTTTTTAACCCTGAAATCTCCTGATGAAAACAAATATTCAACAACACCTTATGACTATAACCCCTATTTTACCTATATTCTATTGCATTACTTTCTTCATGATGAATCAAGGCTAATGTACAAAAGATTTTACAGGATTTGCACACCAACTTCCAATCGTAAACGTGATATGCCCATGGTTTATGCAGCACAGTGAGACTTTGCCTCTGTGGCATCCAACGCATTCCGGGCAATGTCAATTGCGTGTTGCGGTAGACCTGCCAGGCGTGCCACTTTGAGAGCGTGGCTCTGGCGATTGACTCCCGGTCGTAGTTTGTGCACGTAGACGAAGCTTCCATCTTCATTCTCCTTTATATCTGTGCAGTAAGTCTGGACGAGGCCAGTTTGCGGGTGACAGAATCCTTCAGCAACTGCCAAGTCAGTTATATCATGAAAATGTGTCGCAAATAGAGTTCTGCATTGGTTAACCGTCACGAGATGGTGCAGACAGGCAAATGATATTGCCGTGCCGTCCTCCGGTGTGGTTCCTCGACCTATTTCGTCCATTATGACAAAGGACCGCGGCGTGGCCTGTCGTAGAATCTGGGCAGTCTCGAGCATCTCAACCATGAAGGTGCTCTGGTCATGGTATAGGTTGTCAGCGGAACCCACGCGACTGAAGATTGCATCAACAATGCCAATTTCGGCATGTTTGGCAGGGACATAGCATCCAATCTGAGCCATTATCGTAATCAAAGCGTTTTGGCGAAGAAATGTGCTCTTGCCAGCCATATTCGGTCCTGTGATTAACCAAACCAGGCCGTTTGGTGGTGGCCCGATTACACAGTCGTTGCGAACAAATCGACGACCTTTCTCCAGTAGACTCCCTTCTACTGTAGGATGCCGGCCACCAATGATGACGTGAGTCGTCGAATCATTCAGTTTGGGACGGACAAAGTTCTGCTCAATGGCGAGTTTTGCAAACGACGTTACAACGTCGATTTCGTCCAGCACAGCTGCAACACGCCGCAGCTTAACCAAGTTTTTAACGACACGTTCGCGAAGAGCATAAAACACCCGCTGCTCCTCGCGGCGAATTCGAAACTTTGCTTGGTCTATACGCTGGCCAAGGGCAGTCCATTCAGCAATATGCAACGATCTCGTGCTGCGGCTCGAAGAAACCGCCTTTATCTCAGTGAGGTTTTTGGCGTCTTTACCCTTGATATGGGCAATATGGCCGAGAGACGATACCCATTTAAGGGTCAAGCTTGCTGCTCCTAGGCGTTTGCGAAGTTCTTCTCCAAGAGTATCCTTATCCTTTAAAAGCAACGCGAGGTCATCGTGAAGATTCTGGAGCTCTTTGCTCGCAGCTGGTTTCATAATCCATGGGCCGTTATCTTCGCCGTATTGCTCTCTGATGGTGCTTGGCTTCTTCCGCTTTCCCTTGGCCAAGGCAGCAGCATCATCCTGGGAGCCTTCGGAGGAAACAATGTTTTGGGCTAGAGCCATTATCTCCTCTGCTTCGGAATCCCTTACCACCTGCTGCTGGGCAATGCCTTCCTCATCTATAGACTCTTGAATCCGATACGCGAGCTTAAGAGTGTCTCCAAGCTCAATTCGGGACGCGAGCTTAGCGAGACAGTCTGGTGAAGATGAAGTGTTCTCTTGCCCCAATTCTTCTTTCAGCAAAGTCGTGATTTCTTCAGCTGCGCGAATTGTGTGGGCTATTCCGAGCAAATCATCGGGTTCACCTCTTCCCATGGCAAATTTTTGAACAAGTCGTTGGCAATCATGGCTCCGCCGTAACAAAACGATCAAAGAATCCCTTAAATCACTTGATTTTATAAAACGAGCAACAAGGTCTTGTCGAGCTTCGATAACCTCTAAAGATGTGGAAGGAGAGCCAAGCCATTCGTTGAGCAACCTAGCGCCACTCTTGGTAACTGTGCGGCGTATCGCATGGAGAAGACTGCCACGGAAAAAGCCATCGCGAATAGTTTGTTTGATTTCTAATGCCCTCAAGCTATTCTTGTCGATGGACATGGTCTGCATATTTTCGTATCGAAGGGGTGGCTGAAGCTTCATGCTCATCCCCTGCAGCCGATTCTTGACATAACTCAGCACCAGACCACCCGCAGTGACCTCATCGTCTGTAAAGGACGTTCGAGCAGCTTGAGAGATTTCTGATTCTAAATATGGTGCCCAGTCATCAATATTTGCTAGGCTCTCGTGAGGTGAAAATGTGACGAGATGCCGGTCATCTGTCAATATTGAGAAGACATCGTGATCTTTTTTTAGTTCGAATGACTGTTCGAGAACAACTTCTCGAGGGGCTATTCGGGACAAGATAGACGGGAGTGATGATAACGTTGCTGATTGGGTGAAGAATTGTCCAGTGGAAAGATCAAGCCATGCTAGACCTAACGGTGTAGAATTTGCGACTGTAGCATCTGAACCCTGATGAGACGAGGAAGCGTCTGACTGAGCATTTTCAGCAAGAGCACCTTGAGAAACGTGAATTGCCATGATGTAATTATTGGCGTATGGGTCAATAAAGTTCTCATCGATGAGAGTTCCCGGAGTGATAATTCGAGTAACTCGACGATCGTGCATGAGACCACCCGACTTGATTTTCTCAGAGGCATCGTTGGGAAACTCTTCGGCCACGGCGACGTGCCGATTCAAATCTTGAACCAAGATTTTCAGAATCCGTTCTATCTGAAAGAAAGGAAACCCGGCCTGTATACACTTGTTAGCTGGCTTGAACTCTGAGATTCACATATACACGGGGAAAGCAAAGGTTGGAATATACCATAGGCACGGGCCCGGCATTTGTTTTTTTAGAGGTCAACTTAAGGTTGAGTAGCGCCGCGTACTCCTCAGCATTTTCGAAATAGAGCTCATAGAAACTTCCCACTCTTGTAAGGAGAACGCACGTCTCAAATTTGTCCATGTTACGGCGCGCTTGGAGCACGACGGTTGGGTAAGCCGGCTCATGTTGCTCCTCAGGTGAGAGAGGAGACACCGCAACTTTTCCTTGAGGCAAGTCGGAAAGCTTGACAGTCGTTCTCGATCGCTTCACGGATCGCTTCACGGCGGCCTGAAGATGAGCAGACGTAGTAAGAGGCAGAGCAAACGCAGCTCCATGATGTGCTGTTAGAGCTGAGGCCGATGAGCGGCGAGCATAGAGGGGCCGAGACCAAAAGCCATGAGCCGCACGTTGTCGAAGCATTCCTGCTCACTTGACAAGATCACCTGCTCCTTTGGCGAAACCTTTATGAATTTGTGAAACCCTCAACATTGAGCTCGTGAGCTGGGCGAATTTCCATGGAGTGGGTTGTTTTTTTAGGTATCGAGGCCGTGTTTGCGGCCGGCCCCACCCAACAGGCGGGTGGCCGGTGCCTGAAGCGCCGTTGAAGCGCGCCACCACGGAATGGAAAATGGCGGCGGCAATAGACAGTTGAGGGGCTGCTCAGAGCAGAGTGAATTGAAGCCATGGTGAATTATGTGTATCAGCGTGATCGGTACCTAGGTAGGAGAGGGAGTGGTGTTGACCAAAAAATAATGGAAAATAAAATAAAGTTCATAGCTACACTTGTGGTACATGGTACTTGGTAAGTGGAAGGAGCTGGTTGGGCAGCTGCAGGAGGCTCTCCTTCTCATAGCACGGCTTATTACCTGATCAAATGCATTACTAGGTATTACCTTACCTTAATAGTACCTACAGTAGCACTTCTACCCATGCTGCGGAATTGGGGAGCTTCTTTCATCTCCATCCTCCTCTCCATTCTTTATACTTGACTGTATCAGCAGCTTCGAACCCTCACCTCTTATCCACTGTAGCCGCTGGCCATTACAGAGTCCGTATCGGAGCGAGTCTACCCTGTTGCTGGGTCGGCCTTGACTCTCGCGTTCCTCGCGTTTCTCGCCTTGGTTCGTCTTCATTCTGCAGAGTCAAGCGATACTTGATCCGTACAAAGTACGTTGAGAGCATTGACGTTCGATCGATTCGGCTCTGGGTTACGTCTGCGGCGTCTCTTCTCTTCTCACCTAATCACCATCATCCCTGTCTGCCTGAGAATTGTCCCTGTTCTATTCAGTCCTGAACACTTTCCGCCATCCTCGATATTTGAGCCCTATTCTTGGCATCATTGGTTACTTATTCCTTGCTGAAGCAACATCGCAAGCATGAGGTGCGTACTTGAGCACTAGAAGCATCATTCCAGCCATGCCATGACCCCTGAGAAGAGGCGGGATCGGGCCAAACTCCCCCGCACACAGCGCCTCTTTTCCGTCATTAGCGCCCCATGATTTGTTACATCGCCTAGGAAACGGGAATCTTTGAAGCGGTCACCCCCCACCTCCCCACAGCGGTGACAGCCAGAGCTTCCCCGAAGGCTTCGCGCATCGCAGGGTGTGCTGCTGGAGCTCTGCACTATATTATTATATAATCCCGAGTTCACGCTGGCGGACCTTTCTTCTCTCATTCACGTCACACCCCTTAAGAATCAACCGCCCACGCGTTCGCTCTTGGGTGTCCGGGTTGTTGCTTGTTTCAACTCGCTGATTGGACTCTGCAGTTACAACGACAGCTTAATTGACCACCTCCTCCCCGTCTCCTCCGATTGCCCCCAGCATTCGCCTTCTTCAGACAACCTTCAGCCTCTACCAGGCAAGCTTCGGCGACTGTCCAATCGATCAGCACCACCGGCTCCAGGACACGACGCTCTCGCAATGGGTGGCGGCGGCGAAATCAGGAGCAACGTCTCCTACCCTGTCTTTGCGCAACGGCCTGTCGGCGTTCCTAAAACTAGCATTCTCAAGGGCCGTATTGAGCCATTCTACAAATCAGGACAGTATGACAAGGTGAATTTGCTAGCGTATGTCGCCCTGAAGCTCCCCTATACTCCCGGTGCCGACCTATTGACATTCGCCATGTAGGAATCTCTACAATGCCAGATACTCGGGCAAGCCACACGTTCAGCTCTCTGTCTGGAGTGCTCCTGGACAAGAGCGACCAACCTTCGAGCATGCGGTTTCCCAGCAGTTTAAAGAGACTCACATTGGCGCCTCCTTTGGGCCTTCATGGTCCACTCATTGGTTTAGAGTTGTCTTGACTGTCCCCGCCGCAATCGCTAACGAGGAGCTGCTCGAGCTCCAGTGGGACGCGAACAACGAAGGCCTTGTGTGGACAGAGGATGGTATGCCGCTCCAGGGCTTGACCGGTGGGGGTGAGAGGATCGAATGGGTGATCCCTCGCTCGTTCCGTGACGGTAAACCGCACACTATTTATATCGAGATGGCTTGCAACGGAATGTTTGGAAACGCGCCAAACGGTAAATCCAGCATCATGCCGCCAGACCCGAATCGATACTTTGGTCTTTCAAAAGCTGACATCGTCGCCGTCAACGTTCCTGCCCGCGGTCTTTACTTTGACATGTGGGAGATTGGTGACGCCGCCCGAGAACTTCCTGAGAACTCTGCGGAACAGGGCCAGGCGCTGGCGGTTGCCATGAAGATTATCGACACCTTCGAAGTGAATAACCAACAGTCCATTCTCGAGTGTCGAAAAATCGCACAGCAAATCATTGGCCCCGATGCCGACTCTCATCGAGTGTATGAAGTTGGCCCAGAGCCCGTTGTTTTTGGCATTGGCCACTGCCACATTGACTCTTGTTGGCTATGGCCGTTTGCAGAGACAAGACGCAAAGTGGCTCGATCTTGGTCAAGCCAGTGTGATCTGATGGACCGTTACCCGGAGGCTCATTTTGCTTGTTCGCAGGCTCAGCAGTTCAAGTGGCTGAAACAGCTCTATCCCAAGGCCTTTGATCGTGTAAGGCGCAAGGTGAGCGAGGGCCAATTTCACCCCATCGGCGGCAGCTGGGTCGAACACGATACCAATATGCCCGGCGGCGAGTCTCTTGTGCGTCAATTCTTCTACGGCCAGCGGTTTTTCGAGGCGGAATTTGGGTCACGCTGCCGCACTTTTTGGCTTCCTGACACATTTGGCTACTCCAGTCAGCTGCCCCAACTCTGTCGTTTGGCAGGCATGGACCGTTTCATGACTCAGAAGCTCAGCTGGAACAACATTAACAACTTCCCCCACACTACCTTCATGTGGGTGAGTCCCGACGGAAGCCAAGTCATTTGTCACATGCCTCCGTCCGAGACATACACTGCTGAAGCCGACTTTGGCGATTTGAGACGCAGCATTTCCCAACACAAGACCCTTCGTGTGGATAATTCCTCGCTATTGGTGTTCGGCAAGGGTGATGGCGGTGGCGGCCCGACCTGGCAGCACTTGGAGAAGCTTCGAAGAATTGCGGGAATCAGCAACACCACTGGGTCTATTCCAAAGCTGAAGCTCGGCCTCAGCGTCGATGACTTTTTTGACCGCCTTGCTCCAAAGGCCAATGACCTTCCCACATGGTATGGTGAGCTATACTTTGAGCTCCATCGAGGCACCTACACCACACAGGCCAACAACAAGTATTACAACCGCAAGGCTGAAGTCTTGTTGCGAGACCTTGAGCAGCTCGCTACACTGGCCTCTCTCAAGAATAAGGCATACAAGTACCCTACCGAGAAGATTGATAACATGTGGGAAGGCGTTCTCCTATGCCAGTTCCACGATTGCCTTCCCGGTAGCTCTATTGAAATGTGTTATGACGACTCTGACAAGGTAAGAGAAATCATTCCTCCCTTATAATGTTCACGCTGACCAGTCATTAGATTTACAAAGATATTTTTGAGACGGGCCACAAGCTGCTTGCGGAAATTTACAAGGCCTTGGGTGCTAGTGATTCAAAAGCGGATGACCACGAGTCGGTCGTTCTCAACACACTGCCTTGGCATCGCAAGGAGCTCGTTGAGGTGTCTGACACCCAGGTTGGCGTTGCTTGCGGACAAGGTCCTCTCCTTGCTCTCCGCAGCTTCAAGATCCAGGAGGACAAGCCCGCTGTTTCGCTTCAGCAGGCGGGCAGCCAGTTCATCTTGGAAAACGACGACCTCCGCGTTGTTGTCGAAGGTGGCTGCATCACGTCACTGTACGACCGAGTCAATAACCGCGAAACTATCGAAAAGGGTGGCAAGGCCAACAAATTTGTCATTTTTGACGACATTCCTCTGTTCTGGGAAGCCTGGGATGTCGAAGTCTACCATCTCGAGACCCGCCGAGAGCTCAACTACGGCCACACAAGCATCCACGAGGTGAAACCACACCGTGTCACTCTTGCCACTGAGATTCAGATCAGCAAGCACAGTTCCATTAAGTCTTACATTACTCTGTCGGCGGCCCTCAAGGGCCAGCCGTCCTGGGTCGAGTGCAAGGCTGAGGTGGACTGGCACGAAAACTCCAAGTTCCTCAAAGTAGAGTTCCCCGTAGACATTGTCAACACAGAAGCCTCGTATGAGTCTGCATACAGCATCACCAAGAGGCCAACTCACTACAATACTAGCTGGGACATGGCCAAGTTTGAGGTTTGCTGCCACAGATTTGCCGATCTGTCGGAGCACAACTATGGAGTTTCCATCCTCAACGACAGCAAGTACGGTTTTGCTACTGCCGGCAAGCTCATGCGACTATCCCTGCTTCGATCCCCCAAGGCCCCTGATGAGCATGCGGATATGGGCCGCCACTCGATCCGATGGGGCATTCTTCCTCACAAGGGAGCGCTCTCCGCGACCACCGTCCGAGCGGGCTATGCCTTTAACAACCCTCTCAAGGTGTTGACCGCACCAAAGGCCACGATTGCAAGCTTGACCAGTGTTCCCATCCAGCTCATCAACTCGGATGAGTCTGCGTCCATTATCCTGGACACCATCAAGCGAGGCCATGACGATGCGGACGTCAGCCGCCGCGAAGGCCTTCGGGTCAACAACGGACAGAGCATCATTGTCCGCCTGTACGAGTCCTTGGGCGGGCGCAGCCGAGGAACCATTCAAACCGAGTTCAACGTCAAGCGCGTCACCAAGGTCAACATTCTCGAGGATGAGATCGAGGAGGTTTCCTTGGCGGATGGCAAGTTTGACATTGTTCTTCGGCCGTTTGAGGTGGCAACATACAAGCTGCAGCTGTAGGGAAGCAAAGACACTTGTATATGCCCTGACTCTACCATTCGCATAATGCTGGGATACGAGGCGATATGACCAGGTGCTGCTACGTTTGTGATATGTGACAGTCTGGAACAGTTTTATCACAAGTCTCTGTTAGGCAATAGTAATTCTTTTACG